CCCTCAGGGTCATCGAGAGACCCCCAGAAAGGACAGAGAGACCCCAAAAATCACAGAGAGACCCCCAAGGTCACAAAGAGACCCCCCGAGACCCCCAAAAATCATCGAGAGTAGCACCAGGACCCCCAAATGATCCCCAGGACCCCCCAAAAATCATCAATAGGGGCCCAGAGAGACACAAAAAATCACAGAGAGACCTCCGAGACCCCCAAAACAATTGAGAGGGACCCCAAAAATCATCGAGAGGGGTCAGAGAGACCCCCCAGACCCCCCAAACCACCAAGAGCAGCACCAGGACCCCCCAAAAATCATCGGGAGGGGTCAGAGAGACCCCCCAGACCCCCCAAAACCACCGAGAGCAGCACCAGGACCCCCAAATGACCCCCAGGACCCCCCAAAAATCACAGAGAGGGGCCCAGAGAGACCCTCAGGGTCATCGAGAGACCCCCAGAAAGGACAGAGAGACCCCAAAACCACCGAGAGCAGCACCAGGACCCCCAAACGACCCCCAGGGTCCCCCAGGACCCCCCAGGACCCCCAAGAGGAGCCTCAGGACCCCCAAAACCACCGAGAAAAGGCCCAAAATGGCGCCCAGGACCCCCCAGAGGGGACTCGGGACCCCCAAAACCACCGAGAAAAGACCCAAAACTGCGCCCAGAACCCCCCAGGACCCCCCGGAGGAGATTCAGGACCCCCAAAACCACCGAGAAAAGGCCAAAACGGCGCTCAGGACCCCCAAAAATACCCCAAAGACCCCCTAACTCCCCTCACCCCGTACCTGTCCTCGTTTGACCCCTCCGAGCCCCCGTACCCGCCCTTCCCTCACGCAAGCCCCGCCCCCTCGCCGTCCCCATGGCAACGCGCGCCACCCGGCGGTCACGTGGGCGGGGCTGAGTGGGCGGGGTCTCCGCTTTTGGCGCGCCGTTGCCATGGCAACGAGCGCGGGATGGCGTTGCCGGGGCAACGCGGGGGGAGGGGGCGTGGCCTGGGAACAGCGCGGGGGGAGGGGGCGGGGCTTGGTTGCCGTGGCAACGGCGTGGGAATGGCGGGAATTTGGGGGGGGGATTTTGGGGGGAATTTTGGGAAATTTTGGAAGAATTTGGGGATTCCTGAGGGGAACTCGGGGGTGGAAGGAGGAATGAGGGTGGGGGGGGGTTTGGGGGGGGATTTTTGGGGGAAATTTTGGGAGATTTGGGGGAATTTGGGGGGGATTTTGGGGGATTTTGGGAATTTTGGGGGAATTTTGGGGGAAATTTTGGGGAATTTTAGGGGAATTTGGGGGAATTTTGGGATTCCTGAGGGGAACTCGGGGGTGGAAGGAGGAATTGGAATGGGGGGGGGGAATTTGGGATTAAAGGTGAATTTTTTGGGATTTAAGGTGAATTTTGGTGTTTTCAGGTGAAATTTTGGGGGTTTAAGGTGAATTTTGGGATTTAAGGTGAATTTTTGGGGATTTCAGGTAAATTTTGGGATTTAAGGAGAATTTTTGGGGAGTTTAAGGTGAATTTTAAAAGATTCAGGTGAATTTTGGGATTTAAGGTGAATTTTGGGGATTTTCAAGTGGATTTTTGGGAAATTCAGGTGAATTTTGGGGATTTACGGTGAATTTTGGGGATTTCAAGTGAATTTTGGGAATTTCAGGTGAATTCTTCACAATTCCCGTAGATTTTAGGGGAATTTCTGCAATTTTGGGGTTTTATGGCCAATTTTGAGGATTTTGGGGCTCTTGGTGCCATTTGGGGCCAAATTTTGGGGATTTGGGATCAATTTGGGGCATTTTAGGGGATTTTAGGGACAATTTTGGAGTTTTTAGGGAAAATTTTGGGATTTTACAAATTTAAGGGTCGATTTTGGGGTTTTAGGGTCGATTTTGGAGCTTTTAGAGCCGATTTTGGGGTTTTGACTTTTTTGGGCCGATTTTGGGAGATTTTGGGGGTTTTGGGGCTGATTTTGTGGTTTTGTGCCAATTTTGGGGGGTTTGAAGAATTTAGGGCAAATTTTGTGGGATTTCGTCATTTTGGGGCTGATTTTGGGGGGTTTGGGGCCGAATTTGGGGCATTTTGGGGCTTCGGGATGTTTTGGGGGATTTGGGGTTTTTTGGGTGGATTTTGGGGTTTTCTTGGGTGGATTTTGGGGGGTTTTTAGTGTGGATTTTGGGGGTTTTTTTGGGTGGATTTTGGGGTTTTTTTGGGTGGATTTTGGGGTTTTTTTGGGTGGATTTTGGGGGTTTTTTGGGTGGATTTTGGGGGTTTTTTTGGTGGATTTTGGGGGTTTTAGGGCTGATTTTGGGGCATTTTGGGATTTCAGGTTGGGTTTGGAGGATTTTGGGGGTTTTAGGACAGATTTGGGGTTTTAGGGCCAGTTTGGGGGGATTTTGGGGGTTTTTAGGGCAGATTTTGGGATTTCAGGGCAGGTTCGGGAGATTTTGGGGTTTCAAGGCAGATTTTTGGGATTTCAGGGCAGATTTGGGGTTTCAGGGCCAATTTTGGGGGATTTTGGGGGGTTTTGGGAGTTTCAGGTGGGATTTGGGGAGTTTTGGGTGAATTCCAGCAGATTTTGGGGGTTTTGGGGCGGATTTTTGGGGGTTCCAGGTGGGATTTGGGGTTTGGGGGCAGATTTTGGGGTTTCAGGGTGAATTCCAGCAGATTTTGGACTTTTTCGGGGGGATTTTGGGGGGGATTTTTGGGGGTTTCAGGGCAGATTTTGGGGTTTCAGGGTGGTATTTGGGGTTTCAGGCTGAATTCCAGCAGATTTTGGGGTTTTTGGGGCGGATTTTTGGGTTTTTTGGGGCGGATTTTTGGGGTTTCGGGCCGGATTTAGGGTTTCAGGCTGAATTTCTGGAGATTTTGGGGGTTTTCGGGAAGATTTTTGGGGATTTTGGGCGGGATTTTGGGGTTTCAGGGTGAATTCCAGCAGATTTTTGGGATTTTAGGGAAGGTTTTGGGGTTCCAGGGCCGGTTTTGGGAGATTTTGGGGATTTTGGGGAGTTTCAGGCGGGATTTGGGGTTTCAGGGTGAATTTCAGGAGATTTTGGGGTTTTTGGGTGGATTTTTGGGGGTTTAGGGCCGGTTTTGGGGTTTTGGGTTGAATTTCAGGAAATTTTGGGGGGTTTGGGCGGATTTTTTGGGATTACAGGTGGATTTTGGGGTTTCAGGGTGAATTCCAGCAGATTTTTGGGATTTTAGGGCAGGTTTTGGGGTTCCAGGGCCAGTTTTGGGAGATTTGGGGGGTTTTTGGAAAGTTCCGGGTGGGATTTGGGGTTTCAGGGTGAATTCCAGCAGATTTTGGGGTTTTTGGGGTGGATTTTTGGGGGTTCCGGGCGGCATTTGGGGTTTCAGGGTGAATTTCAAGAGATTTGGGGGGGTTTTGGGTGGATTTTTGGAGTTTCAGGGCAGATTTTGGGGATTTCAGGCGGGATTTGGGGTTTCAGGGTAAATTCCAGCAGATTTTGGGGGTTTTGGGCGGATTTTTGGGGATTTTGGGTTGGATTTAGGGGTTCAGGGTGAATTTCAGGTAATTTTGGGGTTTTTTGGGCAGATTTTGGGGTTTTTGGGGCAGATTTTGGGGGATTTCGGGCGGGATTTGGGGTTTCAGGGCCGGATTTGGGGTTTCAGGGTGAATTTCAGGAGATTTTGGGGTTTTTGGGGTGGAATTTTGGGGGTTTTGGGCGGGATTTTGGGGATTTCGGGTGGAATTTGGGGTTTTGGGCCGGATTTGGGGTTTCAGGGTGAATTCCATCAGATTTTGGGTTTTTTGGGGCGGATTTTTGGGGGTTCCGGGCAGGATTTAGGGTTTCAGGGATGGATTTGGGGTTTGGGGTTGAATTCCAGCAGATTTTGGGGTTTTTTGGGGGGATTTTTGGGGGTTCCGGGCGGGATTTGGGGGTTTTGGGTCAATTCCAGCAGATTTTGGGGTTTTTGGGGCGGATTTTTGGGGTTTCCGGGAGGGATTTGGGGTTCCGGGTGGGATTTGGGGTTTCAGGATAAATTCCAGCAGATTTTGGGTTTTTTTGGGCAGATTTTTGGGGGTTCCGGGCGGGATTTTGGGCCCCCCCCCGCCCCCACGTGCGCTGTCCCCTCCCCCGCGCGTTGCTATGGAAACGCCGCGGCCGCCACGTGGTGACACCCCCGAGATTTGGGGGGACACCGCCCCTCCCCCACCCCCAAAAACCCCCCAAAAAACCCCAAAAACCCCCCCGGGAACCCCAAAATCCACGAGAGGTCAGAACCCCCCAAAATTCCCCCAAAAAAACCCAAAATCTGCCCCGAAACCACCACAGGACCCCCCAAAAATGCCCCAAAATTCCCCAAATCCCCCCAAAATCTCACCCGGGACCCCCAAAATCAACCCCGGAGCCCCAAAATCCCCCAAATCCTTCGGGAACCCCCAAAATCTCTCCAGATCCCCCCAAAATCCTCTCGGGATCCCCAAAACCTCCCCAGGACACCCCAAAAATCCCCCCCAGACCCCCCAAAAAACCCCTCGGGACCCCCCAAAATCCCCCCAGGACCCCCCAAATCCTCCCCGGAGCCCCCCAGGACCCCCCAAAACCCCCTCAGAGCCCCAAAATCTCCCCCAGACCCCCCAAAATCCCCCCAAAACTCCCCCAAATCCCCTCGAGACCCCCCAAAATCCCCCCAAAACCCCCTCGGAGCCCCCAAAAAACCCCAAAATCCCCTCGAGACCCCCCAAAATCCCCCCCCAGGAACCCCCAAATCCCCCCCGAACCCCCCAAAATCCTCTCGAGACCCCCCAAATCTCCCCCAAACCCCCTCAGGATCCCCCAACCCCCCCCAGACCCCCCAAAAAACCCCAAAACCCCCTCGGAACCCCCAAAATCCCCCCCTAAAATCCCCCCAAATCCCCCCCCCGGAGCCCCCAAACCCCCCCCAGACCCCCCAAAAAAGCCCCAAATTCCCCCAAAATGGCCCCAAAATCGCCCCGAAGGCTCCGGGGCCCCCCCCGCGGTTTTGGGGTGAATCCGGCGGGTTTTGGGGTACCTTGGTGGTGACGATGCACAAACAGTCCATGGCCGCCGCTCATGGGCCGGGGGGGCCGCGGGGGAGGAGGAGGAGGGGGAGGAAGGCTCGGGAGGGGGAGGGGGAGGGGGGGGGTGGGGGGATGAAGGCTCGGGGGGAAGAGGAGGAAGAGGAGGAGGGGGGAGGAAGGCTCGGGAGGAGGAGGAGGAGGAAGAAAAGGTGGGGGAGGATGAGGAGGATGGAGAGGATGAAGGGATGAAGGGATGAAGGCCCCGGAGGAGGAGGAGGATGAGGAGGAGGAGGAGGGGGGGGTGGGGAGGATGAAGGCTCGGGAGGAAGAGGAGGAGGAGGAAGAAAAAAGGGGGGGAGGATGAGGAGGATGGAGAGGATGAAGGGATGAAGGCTCCGGAGGAGGAGGAGGGGGGGATGAAGGCTCGGGAGGGGGAGGAGGAGGAGGAGGATGAAGGCCCCGGAGGAGGAGGGGGGGGTGGGGAGGATGAAGGCTCGGGAGGAAGAGGAGGAGGAGGAGGAGGAGGAGGGGGAGATGAAGGCCCCGGAGGAGGGGGGGAATAGGGGGGATGAAGGCTCGGGAGGATGAAGAGGAGGAGGAGGAGGAAGAAAAAAGGGGGGGGGCGATGAGGAAGATGAGGAGGATGAAGGGATGAAGGCTCGGGGGATGGAGGAGGAGGAGGAGGAAGAAAAAAGGGGGAGAGGATGAGGAAGATGAAGGGATGAAGGGATGAAGGCCCCGGAGGAGGAGGAGGGAGAAATGTGGGGGGAGGAAGAGGAGGGAAAACGGGGGGATGAAGGCTCCGGAGGAGGGGGAGGAAGAGGAGGAGGACGATGAAGGCTCGGGAGGAGGAGGAGGAAGAGGAGGAGGAGGATGGCAAAGTGGGGGGGGGGGGATGAAGGCCCGAGAGGAGGAGGAGGAGGAGGATGAAGGAGCAGGAGGAAGAGGATGGAGAGGATGAAGGGATGAAGGCTCGGGAAAAAGAGGAGGGGGGGGGGGGATGAAGGACCAGGATGGAGGAGGAGGAGGAGGATGAGGATGGAAGGGATGAAGGCTCGGGGGGAATATGGAGAGGAGGAGGATGAGGATGAGGATGAAGGGATGAAGGCTCGAGGGGGGGAGGATGGAGAGGAGGAGGAGGAGGAGGAGGAGGAGGATGGAGGGGATGAAGATCTGGGGGGAGGAGGAGGAAGAGGAGGAGGAGGAGGAGGAGGAAGATGCGGCAGCGGGAAGGGAGGAAGAGCGGGAGGAGGAGGAGGAGGAGGAGGAGCGGGAGGAGGAGGAAGGCCCGGGAGGAGGGGCCGGGAGGAGGAGGAGGAGCGGGAGGAAGGCCCGGGAGGAGGAGGAGGAAGAGGAAGATGAAGATGAAGACACCGAAGGGATGAAGAACGAGGAGGAAGAGGAGGAGGAGGAGGATGAAGATGAAGGAGCCCCCGGGAGGGGGGAGGAAGAGGAGGAGCGGCGCGAGGAGGAGGAGGAGGAGGAGGATGCGGGAGGGGAGGAAGGCTCGGGAGGATGAGGATGGAGCCGGGAGGGGAGGAAGGCTCGGGAGGAGGAGGAGGAGGGGGAAGGGAGGAAGAGGAGGATGAAGGCAAAGCGGGAGGAAGGCTCGGGAGGATGAGGATGGAGCCGGGAGGGGATGAAGGCTCGGGAGGAGGATGAGGATGGGGGAAGGGAGGAAGGCTCGGGAGGAGGATGAGGAGGAGGAGGAAGATGAAGATGAAGAGGAAGGCTCGGGGATGCGCAGCCGGGAGGATGAGGATGGAGCCCGGAGGGGATGAAGGCTCGGGAGGAGGATGAGGAGGAGGAGGAAGATGAAGATGAAGAGGAAGGCTCGGGAGGAGGATGAGGATGGAGCCCGCAGGGGAGGAAGGCTCGGGAGGATGAGGAGGAGGGGGAAGAGGGGGAGGGGGGAGGGATGAAGGCTCGGGAGGATGAGGAGGAAGATGAAGATGAAGATGAAGATGAAGGCTCGGGAGGATGACGATGGAGCCGGGAGGGGATGAAGGCTCGAGGGAGGATGAGGAGGAGGAGGAGGGGGAGGGGGGAGGGATGAAGGCTCCTGGGGGGGGGCGCGTGAGGAGATTCGGGGGAAAATTCGGGAATTTCGGGGGAAAATTCGGGAATTTCGGGGGAAAATTCGGGAATTTGGGGGGAAATTTGGGATTTTTGGGGGGAAAATTCGGGATTTTGGGGGGATTCGAGGGGGGAAATTGGGAATTTTGGGGATTTAGGGGAAAAAAATGGAAATTTTGGGGGGAAATTTGGGAATTTCCGGGGGAAATTTGGGATTTTTGGGATTTTAGGGGGGAAAATTTGGGATTTTGGGGGGATTTGAGGGGGAAAATTGGGAATTTTGGGGGGAAAATTTGGGAATTTTTGAGGGAAATTTGGGATTTTGGGGGGAAAATTCGGGATTAGGGGATTTTAGGGGGAAATTGGGATTTTTGGGGGGATTCAAGGGGGAAAATTGGGAATTTTGGGGGGGAAATTCAGGATTTGGGGGGAAATTTGGGGTTTTTGGGGGGATTTGAGGAGAAAAATTGGGAATTTTTGGGGGAAATTTTGGGGATTTTGGGGGGGCGCGGGGGGGAGGGGCTAAAGGGGGGAGGGGTTTGGGAATTTTGGGGTTTTTGTGGCAATTTTGGGTTTTTTGGGGGGATTTGGGTTTTTTGGGGGGAATTTGGGGATTTTTTTGTGGGGATTTTTGGGTTATTTTGGGAGTTTTTGGGGTTTTTGGGGGGAGATTTTGGGGTTTTTTGTGGAGATTTTGAGGAAATTTGGGGGGTTTTGTGGAGATTTTGGGTTATTGGGGAAATTTTGAATTTTTTGGGGGGAATTTTGGGTTTTTTTTGTGGCGATTTTGGATTTTTTGGGGGGATTTGGGGTTTTTTGGGGGAGATTTTGGGGTTTTTTTGTGGAGATTTTGAGGAAATTTGGGGGTTTTTTGGGGGAGATTTTTGTGGGGATTTTTTTAGGGAAAAATTTTGGGTGAAATTTGGGAATTTTGGGGTTACCCGGGGGCGGGGGGAGGGGCCGCTCACGGAGGTCTCGTAGCTCTCCTGAATGTCTGGGGGGGAGGGGAAAAGGGTGAGACCCCCCAAAATTTCCCAAATTCCCCAAAATCCCCCCAAATTCCCCCAAAATTCCCAAAATTCCCCCAAATCCCCCCAAAATTCCCCGAAAATTCCCAAAATCCCCCCAAAATCCCCCCAAAACCCCACAAAATTCCCCCAAAATTCCAATTATTTCTCCCAAATTTCCCCCCAAAATCCCTCCCAACCCCCCCAAAATCCCCCAAAAAATCCCCCAAAAAATCCCCCAAAATTCCCCCAAAAAATCCCCCAAAAAATCCCCCAAAATTCCCCCAAAATCCCCCCAAATCCCCCCAAAATCCCCCCAAAATTCCCCCAAATTCCCCCAGAATTCCCAAAAATCCCCCAAAATCCCCCAAAATCCCCAAATTTCCCCCAAAATTCCCAAATTTCCCCCCCAAATCCCTCCCAACCCCCCCCAAATCTTTCCCAAACCCCTCAAAATCCCACTCAAAATCCCCCAAAATTCCCAAATTCCCCCCAAAATTCCAGAATTTCTCCCCAAAATCCCCAAATTTCTCCCCAAAATCCTCTAAAAAACCCCCCAAAATTCCAATTTTCCCTCCCAAATGCCCCCAAAATTCCCAAATTTTTCCCCAAAATCCCTCCCAAACCCCCCAAATCCCTCCCAAACCCCCCAAAATTCCCAAATTTTCCCCAAATTTCCCCAAAATTCCCAAATTTTCCCCAAAATTCCGAATTTCGTACCGAGCAGGGCCTGGAACAAGGGGCTCTGGAGGACCCCCAGGAGCCGCCGCGCACCCGGCCCTGCACCCCAAAAATGGATCAGGGACCCCAAAATTCGGGTCAGGGACCCCAAAAATGGGGAGGGGACCCCACGAAATCCCATCAAAGACCCCGAAATTCGGGTCAGGGACCCCAAAAAATGGGGATGAGATTCCCGAAAATGGGTCAGGGGGCCCCAAAAATGGGTCAGGGTCCCCGAAATTCGGGTCAGGGACCCCAAAATTTGGGTTTGGGACCCCTAAAATGGGAATGGGACCCCAAAATTTGGGTCAGGGAGCCCCAAAAAATGAGTCAGGGACCCCCAAAAATGGGGATGGGACCCGAAAATTTGGGTTTGGGACCCCCAAAAATGGGTCAGGGACCACCAAAAATGGGGAGGGGACCCCAAAAATGGGTCAGGGACCCCAAAAATGGGGAGGGGACCCCAAAATTTGGGTCAGGGACCCCCAAAATCGGGTCAGGGACCCCAAAATCCCATCAGGGACCCCTAAAATGGGGATGGGACCCCCAAAATTCGGCTCAGGGACCCCCAAAAATGGGGAGGGGACCCCAAAATTTGGGTCAGGGACCCCAAAAATGGGTCAGGGACCCCCAAAATTCGGGTCAGGGACTCAAAAATCGGGTCAGGGACCCCCAAAAACGGGTCAGGGACCCCGAAATTCGGGTCAGGGACCACAAAATTTGGGTCAGGGACCCCAAAATGGGGAGGGGACCCCCAAATTTGGGTTTGGGACCCCAAAAATCGGGTCAGGGTCCTCCCACCCCAACTGGGACCCCCCAAAAACCCCCCGAGACCCCCCCAAAAATCCCCCCCAGAGCTGCCGGAATGGGGCCGGACCCCCCCCAAAACCCCCCAAAATTCCCCCAAATTTCACCGGGACCCCCCAAATTTCCATCGGGACCCCCCCAACCCCAATTAAGACCCCCGGGAGCCCCCAAAAATCCCCCGAGACCCCCCCAAAAAGGCTCAGGAGCCCCCCCAAAACCCCCCCAGAGCTGCCGGAATGGGGCCAGACCCCCTAAAAATCCCCCCAAAACCCCCCAAAGTTCCCCCAAATTTCACCGGGACCCCCCAAAAATTTCCCGAGGGACCCCCCAGGACACCCCAAAACCCCCCGGGACCCCCAAAAAAGGCTCAGAACCCCCAAAATTCCCCCCAGGACCCCCCCAAAATCCCCCCAGAGCTGCCGGAATGGGGCCGGACCCCCCCAAAATCCCCTGAAAATCCCCCAAAATCCCCCCAAAAATCGCCCAAATTTCACCGGGACCCCCCAAATTTACAGCGGGACCCCCCAGGACACCCCCACCCCAATTGGGACCCTCAAAACCCCCCGGGACCCCCCAAAAATCCCCCGAGACCCCCCCAAAATCCCCCCCAGAGCTGCTGGAATGGGGCCGGACCCCCCCAAAAATCCCCCTAAAACCCCCCAAAACCCCCCCAAAAATCCCCCAAATTTCACCGGGACCCCCCCAAATTTACAGAGGGACCCCCCAGGACCCCCCAGCCCCAATTGGGACCCCCCAAAAACTCCTCGGGACCCCCAAAAAAGGCTCGAGACCCCCCCCCAAAACCCCCCCAGAGCTGCCAGAACTGGGCCTGACCACCCCAAAATCCCCCCAAAACCCCCCAAAAATCCCCCAAATTTCACCGGGACCCCCCAAATTTCCAGCGGGACCCCCCAGGACCCCCCAAAATCCCCCAGGAGCCCCCAAAAAAGGCTCAGAATCCCCCCAAAACCCCGCCGGGACCCCCCCAAAATCCCCCCAGAGCTGCCGGAACGGGGCCGGACCCCCCCAAAATCCCCCAAAATGCCCCAAAAATCCCCCAAATTTCACCGGGACCCCCCAAAATTTCCAGAGGGACCCCCCACCATAATTAGGACCCCCCAAAATCCCCCAAAAAACTCCTCGGGACCCCCCAAAAAAGGCTCAGGAACCCCCCAAAATTCCCCCAGAGCTGCGAGAACGGGGCCTGACCCCCCCAAAAATCCCCTGAAAATCCCCAAAAATCCCCCCAAAAATCGCCCAAATTTCACCGGGACCCCCCAAATTTACAAAGGGACCCCCCAGGACACCCCAAAACCCCCCGGGACCCCCCAAAACTCTCGGGACCCCCCCAAATCCCCCCGAGACCCCCCCAAAATCCCCCCCAGAGCTGCCGGAATGGGGCCAGACCCCCCTAAAATCCCCCCAAAACCCCCCAAAAATCCCCCAAATTTCACCGGGACCCCCCAAATTTCCTGAGGGACCCCCCAGGACACCCCCAGCCCCAATTGGGACCCCCCAATTCCCCCCAAAATCCCCCGAGACCCCCCAACCCCCCCCCCCAGCTGCCGGAACGGGGGCCGGACACCCCAAAATCCCCCGAAAATCCCCCAAAATCCCCCCAAAAATCGCCCCAAATTTCACCGGGACCCCCCAAATTTTCCACAGGGACCCCCCCCATAATTAGGACCCCCCGGGACCCCCCAAAATCCCCCCGGGACCCCCAACCCCCCCCCGGCCTCACCCCTGGGCGGCAGCGCCATGCTCGGGGTTAATCCCGGATTTGGGATTTGGGGGATTTTGGGGGATTTTGGGGGGATTTGGGGATTTTCGGGGGGGTGACCCCCACGTGACCCCCCCCAGGCTCGGGAATTGTGGGATTTGGAGTTTTCCCAAAAAAAATCCGGGAGCAAACGGAGCGGGAAAAGGGTTTTTATTCCTTAAGGCACAAAATTCGGGAATTTTGGGGGATTTTCCCCAAATTTAGGGAAAAGGGAATGGGGAAAAAATGGGAAATTTGCCCCAAAATGAGGGGGAGAAAGGCACCGAAAATGGGGGAAAATCCCCCAAAATATCAGGAAAATTCCCTGAAAATTCCATTAAAATTGAAGGAAAATTCCCTCAAAATTAAAAGAAAATTCCCTTAGAATTTCAGGAAAATTCCCTGAAAATAGAAGGAAAATTCCCTGAAAATTGAGGGAAAATTCCTTCAAAAATTAAGGAAAATTTTCACCAAATTGAAGGAAAATTCCTTCAAAATGGATGAAAAATTTCCTGAAAATTGATGGAAAATTCCTTCAAAAATTAAGGAAAATTTTCATAAAAATGAAGGAAAATTCCATCAAAATTAAGGAAAATTCCTTCAAAATTGAAGGAAAATTTCCTCCAAGTTTTTGGTGGAATTTTGGATTTTTTGGGAGGATTTGGGATATTTTTGGGGGCATTTTTGACCCTCAGAAGCCCAGGGGGGTTTGGGGTTCTCAGGGTGGTTTTTGGGGTGTTTCAGGGTGGTTTTTGGGGTATTTTGGGGTGTTTTTGGGGTGTTTCTGCTGTCAGAATCCCACGGGGATTATTGGGGTGGTTTTAGGGTGGTTTTTGGGGTGTTTTTGGGGTATTTTAGGGTGTTTTTGCTGTCAGAATCCCAGGGGTGTTTTGGGGGTGTTTCAGGGTGGTTTTTGGGGTATTTTGGGGTATTTTTGGGGTGTTTTTGCTGTCAGAATCCCAGGGGGGTTTTGGGGGTGTTTTAGGGTGGTTTTTGGGGTATTTTTGGGTATTTTTGGGGTATTTTTGGGGTATTTTGGGGTGGTTTTGACCCTCAGAAGCCCAGGGGGGTTTGGGGCTCTCAGGGGGGTTTTTTGGGTGTGTCAGGGTGGTTTTTGGGGTATTTTTGGGGTGTTTTGTTGTCAGAAGCCCAGGGGTGTTTTAGGGTGGTTTTTGGGGTATTTTTGGGGTATTTTTGGGGTATTTTGGGGTATTTTGGGGTGTTTCTGCTGTCAGAATCCCAGGGGGGGTTTTGGGGGTGTTTTAGGGTGGTTTTTGGGGTGTTTTTGGGGTATTTTGGGTGTTTTTGCTGTCAGAAACCCAGGGGTTTTTTTGGGGTGTTTTAGGGTGGTTTTTGGGGTATTTTGGGGTGTTTTTGGGTGTTTTTTGACCCTCAGAATCCCAGCGGGGTGGGCACCACCACCCCCCCGCTCTCCACCACGGCCCCCGACAGGTCCCGAAGGTTCCGGAAGTTTCTGTTCGGGAGCGGCCGCAGCGAGGCCAGGACGCGCTCGTGGGCCTGGGGAGAGTCCCAAATACCCCAAAATCAGCCCAAAAATGGCCCCAAATCAGCCCAAAATCGGCCCAAAATTAACCCAAAATCAGCCCCAAATCCGCCCAAAATAACCCCAAAATCCCCCCAAAATCAGCCCAAAATCGGCCCAAAATTATCCCCAAATCGGCCCAAAATCAGCCCCAAATCAGCCCAAAATTATCCCAAAATCGGCCCAAAATCAGCCCAAAATAACCCCAAAATGATCCCAAAATAACATAAAAATTATCCCAAAACCAACCCCAAATAAGCCCAGAATTAGCCCCAAAATTATCCCAAAATCAGCCCAAAACTGGCCCCAAATCGGCCCCAAATCACCCCAAAATCAATCCCAAAATCAGCCCCAAAATAACCCAAAATTATCCCAAAATCAGCCCTAAATCACCCCAATATCAGCCCCAAAATCATCCCCAAAATAACCCAAATATCAGCCCCAAAGTCCCCCAAAATCAGCCCAAAATTGGCCCAAAATCAGCCCCAAATCCCCCCAAAATCAGCCCCAAATCCGCCCAAACCCCCCCAAAATCAGCCCAAAATAACCCCCAAACTATCCCAAAATAACCTAAAAATTATCCCAAAACCAACCCCAAAATGATCCCAAAATAACCTAAAAATTATCCCAAAACCAACCCCAAAATTATCCCAAAATCAACCCAAAATTGGCCCCAAAATTGGCCCAAATCACCCCAATATCAGCCCCAAAATCAGCCCCGAATCCCCCCAAAATCAGCCCAAAATTATCCCAAAATAATCCCAAAATAACCCCAAAATGATCCCAAAATAACATAAAAATTATCCCAAAACCAACCCCAAATAAGCCCAAAATCACCCCCAAAATCAGCCTAAAATCACCCCAAAATAACCCCAAAATGATTCCAAAATCACCCCAAAATCAGCCCCAAAATAACCCAAAAATCAGCCCCAAATCCGCCCAAAATTATCCCAAAATCAAGCCCAAAACAACCCTAAAATTATCCCAAAGCCAACCCCAAATCAGCCCAAAATTTCCCCCAAAATCCCCACAATTCCCCCAAAATCCTCAACAATTCCCCCAAAATCCCCCCAGAATCCCAAATTTCTCCAAAATTCCCCTAAAATTCCTAAAAATTCCCCCCAAAATTCCCCAAAAATCCCCCCAAAATCCCAAAATTCCCCCCAAAATTCCCAAATTCCCCCCAAAATCCCTCCCAAAATTCCCCAAAAATCCCCCCAAAATCCACCCAAATTTCCCCCGAAATTCCCAAATTCCCCCCGAAATTCCACTAATTTTCCCCAAAATCCCCCCAAAATTCCCCAAATTTCCCCCCAAAATCCACCCAAATTCCCCCCAAAATCCCAAATTTCCCCCCAAAATTCCCGAATTCCCCCGAAATTCCCGAAATTCCCGGCTTTACCTCCTGGCACCAGCTGAGGGCGAGCAGCCGCTCGTGCTGCGCCGTGGGGAGCCCCGAATTCAGCGACCTCGAGGCCCTGGGGGAGGGGAGGGGGGGGAGGGGGGGACCCCAAAATTTGGGGAGGGGTCCCCAAAACCCCCCCCGGAAAAACAGGAAAAAATTCGGCCAAAATCCGGCAAAATTCGGCCGAAATCCGGCTGAAAATGCCCAAAATTCACCCCGAAATTCAACTTAGAGACAACGAAATCCCTCCCAAATTCCCCAAATTCTCCAAAATTCGCCCGAATTTCTCCCTCTGATCCATGGGAAGTTCCCAAAAATCCCAAAATATCTGCAAATCCACCCAAAATTCCCAGAAAACCCCAACCAGAATTCCCAAAAATACGCCCAGAATTCAAAAAAAATGCCCCAGTTCCCAAAACCCACCCAGAATTCCCAAAAATCCCCCAAAATGCCACCAAAATTCCCAAAAAATCCCCCAAAATTCCCAAACATTGCCCCAATATTCCCAAAACCCAACCAGAATTCCCAAAAATAGTCCCAAAATCCCCAAAACCCACCAAGAATTCCCCCAAAAACGCCCTAAAATTCAAAAAAAGTCCCAAAATTCCCCAGAATTCCCCAAAATACCCCAAAATTCCCAAAAACCCACCCAAAATACCCCAAAATGCCCCAAAATTCCCAAAAATGGTCCCAAATGTTCCCAAACCCACCCAAATTTCCCACTAACCACCCAGAATTCCCAAAAATTCCCAAAAAATTCCCCCAAGCCCACCCAGAACTTCCAAAATCTCCCCCTAAATTCCTAAAACCCACCCAAAATTCCCAAAAATGCCACAAAATTCCCTAAAATTTCCAAAAAATGCCCTAAAAATCCCAAAAATTCCCCCAAAATTCCCAAAAACACACACAGAACTCCCAAAATTTTCCCCAGAATTCCTAAAATTAGGCCCCAAAATTCCCTTAAAACCCCCCCCAAAATCCCCCAAAACCCACCCAAACTTCCCAAAAATGCCCCGAAATTCCCCCATAATTTCCCAAAAAAATCCCCCCAAAATTCCTCAAAAATTCCCAAAACAATCCCCAAAATTCCCCCAACCCCCCCAAAATTCCCTTAAAATCCCCAAAATTGCCCCAAATTTCCCAATAATACCCCAAAATTCCCCAAAAAATCCCCCACAATTCCCCCCAAATTCCCAAAAGTTCCCAAAACCCCTCCAAATTCCCAAAAATGCCATAAAAATTCCCCAAAAATTCCCCAAAATCCCCCCAAAAAATCAAAAAAATTCCCCCAAAGTCCCTCAAAACCCCTCTAAATTCCCCCAAAATCCCCCAAAAATTCCCAAAAAATCCCCCAAATTCCCCCCAAAATTCCTCAAAATTCCTCCAAAATTCAAAAAAAATCCCCCAAATCCCCAAAATTCCCAAAAAATTCCCCAAAATCCCCACTCCGGCCTCACCGGGACAGCACCACGGCCATGGCGTAGACGTCGATGGCGGCGTCGGCCACGCGCTTCAGGGCGAACTGCTCCTCTTTGGGGCGGATTTCGGGGTTCAGCACCCCAAAAATCCACCCCGGGACCCCCAAAATCCAACTCGGCGACCCCGAAAACCCCCGGGAGCCCCAAAATCCCCCAAAATTTGGGGTAAAAAAGCCACAAATGGGGAAAAAACGGGAAAAATTCAACTAAAAATTCAAATTTTTTGCACGAAAGTGCCCAATTTTTGCCCAAAAAGCCCCAAATTTTGACCCAAATCCATCCTGGGAGCCCCAAAATCGAACTCCGAGACCCCAAAAACCCCCAGGAGCCCCAAAGTCCCCCAAATTTTGGGGTAAAAAAGCCCAAAAATGGGAAAAAAACGGGAAATATTCAACTAAAAATCTGAATTTTTTGCACAAAAGTGCCCGAATTTTTCCCAAAAAGCCCCAAATTTTGACCCAAATCCATCCTGGGATCCCCAAAATCGAACTCGGAGACCCTGAAAACCCCCGAGAGCCCCAAAATCCCCCAAAATTTGGGGTTAAAAACCCAAAAATGGGAAAATTTGGGTGAAGCTCAGCCCCAAATATCCAAAATTCCACCAAAATCCCCCAAAATTCCCCAAAATCCCCCAAAATTTCGGATTTTTGGTTCCTCCCCCCACCCCCAAATTTGGGGACCCCCAAAAATGGATTTAAAACGCCTCAAAAATGGAGAAAAAACCCAAAAAATTTGATTTAAATCCCCAAAAATGCCCCAAAATTTTGGATTTTTGGGGTCCCCCGGCCCCTCCCAGGTCCCAAATTTTGGGATTTGCCCAAAACTTGGGGAATTTGCCCCAAAATCTCACCCACGATTCTCTTGCCGTGCTTGAGCAGCAGCGCCTCGGCCGTCGTGGCGAAGAGCTCCAGACACTGCTGGGTCTGGAGAGCCAAAAACGCCCAAATTCAGCCCAAAATTCAGCCCAAATTCAGTCCAAATTCAGCCCAAATTCAGCCCAAAATTCAGCCCAAATTCGGGGAAAATAGAGGAGAAATACGGGAAAAAGTCAGGGAAAATTCACCCCAAATTCGGTCCAAATTCAGCCAAAATTCAGAAAAAAATCAGAAAAAAATTCAGAAAAAATTCGGAAAAAAATTCAGAAAAAAATCAGGAAAAATTCAGCCAAAATTCAGAAAAAAAATCAGGAAAAATTCAGAAAATTTTTGGGGAGCATTTTGTGTATTTTGGGGTGAATTTTGGGGTGAATTTTGGGGTGAATTTTGGGGATTTTGGGTGGATTTTGGGGTGAATTTTGGGGTGAATTTTGGGGTGAATTTTGGGGGTTTTGAGTGGGTTTTGGGGTGGATTTTGGGGTGATTTTTGGGGAGAATTTTGTGGGTTTTGGGGTGAATTTTGGGGTGAATTTTGTGGTAATTTTTGGGGTGAATTTTGGGGTGATTTTTGGGGACAATTTTGGGGGTTTTGAGTGGATTTTGGGGTGAGTTTTGGGGTGAATTTTGGGGTGAATTTTGAAGGTTTAGGGTGGATTTTGGGGTGATTTTTAAGGTGAATTTTGGGGTGAATTTTGGGGGTTTTGAGTGGGTTTTGGGGTGGATTTTGGGGGTTTTGGGGATAATTTTGAGGTGATTTTTGGGGTGAATTTTGGGGGTTTGGGGTGAGTTTTGGGGTAATTTTTGGGGTGAATTTTGGGGTGAATTTTGGGGTGATTTTTGGGGTGAATTTTGAGGTAATTTTTGGGGTGAATTTTGGGGTGAATTTTGGGGTGAATTTTGGGGTGATTTTTGGGGTGAATTTTGAGGTAATTTTTGGGGTGAATTTTGGGGTGAATTTTGAAGGTTTAGGGTGGATTTTGGGGTGATTTTTAAGGTGAATTTTGGGGTGAATTTTGGGGGTTTGGGGTGAATTTTGGGGTGAATTTTGTGGGTTTTGAGGTGAATTTTGGGGTGAATTTTGAGGGGTTTGGGTGTATTTTGGGGTGAATTTTGGGGTTTTTTTGTGGATTTTGGGATGGATTTTGGGGTGAATTTTGGGGTAATTTTGGGGTAATTTTTGGGGTGAATTTTGGGGATTTTGGGTCTGCACTCACCTGCTGGGCCCCGTCCTTGAGCTCCGGGTGCACCAGGTGCTGCAGGGAGAGCCCCGAGCCCAGCCCGGCTTTCCTAAAAAACAGAAAAAACGGCATTTTTGGGAAAAAATAGCAAAAAATGGGATTTTTAGGGAAAAAAATAGCAAAAAATGGGAATTAGGGAAAAAAAAAACAGCCAAAAATGGGTTTTTTTGGGGAAAAAATAGCAAAAAATGGGATTTTTGGGGAAAAAAACAACCAAAATTGGGATTTTGGGGAAAAAAAAAACAACCAAAATTGGGATTTTGGGGGAAAAAAAACAACCAAAATTGGGATTTTGGGGAAAAAAACCTGCCAGAAATGGGATCTTGGGGAAAAAACAGCCAAAATTGGGATTTGGGGAAAAAAATGGGATTTGGGGAAAATAAAAAAGGTCAAAATTGGGATTTTGGGGGAAAAAACAGCCAAAATGGGGATTTTTGGCAGTTTTTGGGATAATTTGGGTGATTTTGGCAGGTTTTGGGATATTTTGGGTTGTTTTTGGCCATTTTTGGGATATTTTTGGGCTGATTTGGGCCATTTTTAGGTTCATTTGGACTATTTTGGATTATTTGGGGTGATTTTGAGTGATTTTGGGGTGTTTTTGGCCGTTTTGGGGTGATTTTGTATTGTTTTGGATTATTTTGGGTTATTTTGGGTGATTTTGGATTATTTGGGATATTTGGGGTGATTTTGGGGTGATTTGGGGTGATTTTGGGATATTTGGGGTGATTTTTGGGATATTTTGGGGTGCTTTTGGCCGTTTTGGGGATATTTTAGGATATTTAGGGTGATTTTGGGATATTTTGAGGTGATTTTGGCCGTTTTTGGGATATTTTGGGTGATTTTGGGGTGATTTTGGGGTGGTTTTGGCCATTTTTGGATTATTTTGGGATATTTTGGGTGATTTTGGGGTGCTTTTGGCTGGTTTTGGGATATTTTGGGTTATTTTGGTGATTTTGGATTATTTTGGATTATTTAGGGTGATTTTGGGGTTTTTTTGGCCGTTTTTGGGTTATTTGGGGTGATTTTGGGGTGCTTTTGGCCGTTTTTGGGTTGATGTTGTATTGTTTTGGATTATTTTGGATTATTTGGGGTGATTTTAGGGTGCTTTTGGCCGTTTTTTGGATATTTGGGGTGATTTTGGGGTGATTTCATCCGTTTTTGGTACCTGCGCAGCCGCCGCGTCACTTCCCCCGTCAGGACGCCGACGTTGCCCAGGGGGTCCCTGAGCGCCGCCTGAACCCCCCGGAGCTGCGCCCCCAGACCCTGCGGGACACCAGTACGGACCAGTATGGACCAGGATAAACCAGTATAAACCAGTATGGACCAGTATAGACCAGTATGGACCAGTACGGACCAGTATAAACCAGTATAAACCAGTATAAACCAGTATGGACCAGTATAGACCAGTATGGACCAGTACGGACCAGTATAAACCAGTATAAACCAGTATAAACCAGTATAAACCAGTACGGACCAGTACGGACCAGTATGGACCGGTATGGACCAGTATAAACCAGTACGGACCAGTACGGACCAGTATGGACCAGTATGGACCAGTATGGACCAGTACGGACCAGTATAAACCAGTATAAACCAGTATAAACCAGTATGGACCAGTATAGACCAGTATGGACCAGTACGGACCAGTATGGACCAGTACGGACCGGTATGGACCAGGATAAACCAGTATGGACCAGGATAAACCAGTATGGACAGTATAAACCAGTATGGACCAGTATGGACCAGTACGGACCAGTATGGAGCAGTACGGACCAGTATGGACCAGTATGGACCAGTAAGGACCAGTACGGACCGGTATGGACCAGTATGGACCAGTATGGACCAGTACGGACTAGTATGGACCAGTAAGGACCAGTATGGACCAGTATGGACCAGGATAAACCAGTATGGACCGGTACAGACCAGTATAAACCAGTCCAGACCAGTCCAGACCAGTCCATTCCCAGTATAAATCAGTCCAAACCAGTCCAGATCAGTCCATTCCCAGTATAAACCAGTATAAACCACTCCATTCCCAGTATAAACCAGTATAAGCCATTCCAGACCAGTCCATTCCCAGTATAAACCAATATAAACCAGTCCAAACCAGTATAAACCTGTCCATTCCCAGTATAAACCAGTGTGGACCAATATAAACCAGTATGGACCTCTACAGACCACTATAAACCAGTCCAAACCAGTCCAGACCAGTCCATTCCCAGTATAAACCAGTCCAGACCAGTCCATTCCCAGTATAACCAGTCCAAACCTGTCCATTCCCAGTATAAACCAGTCCAGACCAGTCCATTCCCAGTATAACCAGTATAAACCAGTCCAGACCCATCCATTCCCAGGATAAACCAGTATAAACCAGTTTAAACCAGTATAAACCTGGTAATTCCCAGTATAAACCAGTCCAAACCAGTCCATTCCCAGTATAAACCAGTCCATTCCCAGTATAAACCAGTCCAGACAAGTCCATTCCCATTCTATTCCCAGTCCAAACCAGTACAGACCAGTCCAAACCAGTATAAACCAGTCCATTCCCAGTCCAAACCAGCACAACCAGTATAAACTACTCCAAACCAGCCCAAACCAGCCCAAACCAGTCCAAACCAGTCCATACCAGTCCAAACCAGTATAAACCAGTATAAACCAGTACCTGGAAGCCCTGCAGGGCCACGAAGAGCCGGAGGATGTCCTGAAACCCCTCCCAGTCCAAACCAGTCCAAACCAGTATAAACCAGTATAAACCAGTCCAAACCAATCCAAACCAGTGTAAACTAGTATAAACCAGTCCAAACCAGTATAAACCAGTATAAACCAGTATAAACCAGTACCTGGAAGCCCTGCAGGGCCACGAAGAGCCGGAGGATGTCGTTGGTTCCCTCGAAAATGCGGAAAATCCTCAAATCCCGCAGCACCCGCTCCACGCCCTGCTCCTGCACCCCAAAATTCCCAAAAATTACCAAAATTCCCCAAAATTCCCCAAAAATTCCCACCAAAAATCCCACAAATCCCAGAAAAAGCATCAAAAATCCCAAAACATCCCCAAAATTCCCAAAAATTCCCACCAAAAATCCCCCAAATCCCACAGAAAGCATCAAAAATCCCAAAACATCCCCAAAATTCCCACCAAAAATCCAACAAATCCCACAAAAAGCATCAAAAATCCCAAAAATTCCCAAAAATTCCCACCAAAAATCCCCCAAATCCCACAAAAAGCATCAAAAATCCCAAAAATTCCCACCAAAAATCCCCCAAATCCCACAAAAAGCATCAAAAATCCCAAAAATTCCCAAAAATTCCCACCAAAAATCCCACAAATCCCACAAAAAGCATCAAAAATCCCAAAAATTCCCAAAAATTCCCACCAAAAATCCCACAAATCCCACAAAAAGCATCAAAAATTCACCAAAACATCACAAAAATTCCCAAAAATTCCCACCAAAAATCCAACAAATCCCACAAAAAGCATCAAAAATCCCAAAACATCCCCAAAATTCCCAAAAATTCCCACCGAAAATACACCAAATCCCACAAAAAGCATCAAAAATCCCAAAAATTCCCAAAAATTTCCCCCAAAAATCCAACAAATCCCACAAAAAGCATCAGAAATCCCAAAAATTCCCAAAAATTCCCACCAAAAATCCAACAAATCCCACAAAAAGCATCAAAAATCCCAAAAATTCCCCAAAATTCCCACCAAAAATCCACCAAATCCCACATAAAGCATCAAAAATCCCAAAAATTCCCACCAAAAATCCACCAAATCCCACAAAAAGCATCAAAAATCCCAAAACATCCCCAAAATTCCCAAAAATTCCCACCAAAAATCCCCCAATCCCACAAAAATCCCAAAAATTCCCACCAAAAATCCCCCAATCCCACAAAAATCCCAAAAATTCCCACCAAAAATCCAACAAATCCCACAAAAAGCATCAAAAATCCCAAAAATTCCCAAAAATTCCCACTGAAAATCCACCAAATACCACAAAAAGCATAAAAAATCCCAAAAATTCCCCAAAATTCCCAAAAAAACCCCACAAAACAGCCCAAAAAATCAAATAAAAAAAAATCCCACAAAAATCCAAAAATATCCTTAAAATTCCCACAGAAATCCCAAAAATTCCCCAAAATAATCCCAAAATGTCCCACAAAAAAACCCCAAAAATGGGGAAAAAAAGCACTGAAAAATAGGGAAAATGGGAAAAAAAACCCCAAAATCTTAGGATTTTCCCCCAAAATTCCAACAATTCCCAACCCCCAAATTCCAGAATCCCCCAAATCCCAAAAAAGCCCAAAAATCTCAGGATTTGACCCCAAAAATTAGGGAAAAAAAAAAAAAGAAAAAATGGGGAAAAACCCCCAAAAATCAGGGAAAAAAAACCAAAATCCCAGGAATTTCCCCCAAATTCCAACAATTCCCAACCCCCAAATTCCAGAAGCCCCAAAATTCCAGGACTTGACCCCAAAAATGGGAAAAACACCCAAAGAATGGGGGGGAAAAAATGGGAAAAAACCCCACAAAATCAAGAAAAAATCCCCAAAAATCAGGAAAAAACCCCAAAATCCCGGGAATTTCTCCCAAAATTCCGACAATTCCCAACTCCCAAATTCCAGAATCCCCCAAAATCCCGAAAAGCCCCAAAATGTGGGGAATTTGCCCCAAATCTCACCTGCATGAAGCCCATCCCCCCCATGATCTGGATGCACTCGTCGGCCACGGCCCAGGCGGCCTCCTGGGGAGGGAAAAAACGGGAATTTCGGGAAAAATCCGGGAATTTCGGGAAAAATACGGGGATTTTGGGGAGAATTTGAGAATTTGGGGAGAAATTCAGGAGTTTTGGGGAAAAAATTGGGAGTTTTGGGGAGAAATCCAGGAATTTGGGGGAATTCTGGGGGGAAATTTGGGAATTTTGGGAAAAAATTCAGGAGTTTTGGGGAAAAATTCAGGAGTTTTGGGGAGAAATTCGGGAATTTGAGGGAAAATTTGGGAATTTTGGGGAGAAATCTGGGAATTTTGGGGGAAAATTCAGGAGTTTTGGTGAGAAATTCGGGAATTTGAGGGAAAATTTGGGAATTTTGGGGAAAATTTGGGAATTTGGGGGAGAAATTCAGCGGTTTTCGGGAGAAATTCAGGAATTTGAGGGAAAATTTGGGAATTTTGGGGAGAAATTCAGGAATTTGGGGAGAAATTCGGGAATTCTGGGGGGAAATCTGAGAATTTGTGGAGAAATCTGGGAATTTTGAGGAAAATTTGGGAATTTTGGGGAGAAATCTGTGAATTTGGGGGAAAATTCAGGAGTTTTGGGGAGAAATCTGGGAATTTGGGGAAAACTTGGGAATTCTGGGGGGAAATTTGGGATTTTTGGGGAAAATTTGGGAATTTTGGGGAGAAATTTGGAAATTTGGGGGAAAACTCAAGAACTTTTGGGAAAATCCGGGAATTTGGGGAAAAATTCAGGAATTTTGGGGAAAATCCGGGAATTTGGGGGTAAAATCCACCCTGGAAAAGCCCAAAATTCCCAAAAAATCCCCCCAAAATTCAGGAAAATCCCCAAATCCCCCCCCAAAAATCCCTCCCAAACTCCCCCAAATCCCCCCAAAATTCCCAAAATTCCCAAAATTCCCGAAATTCCTCACGGAGCCGAAGATTTTGCTGATGGCCGCCTCGATCTGGAAGTCGGGGTCACCTCGGTCCATGTTGGCGCTGATCATGAAGGCCATGGACTGGATTTGGGGCAAAAAAACGGGAATTTGGGACATTCCCCAAAAATTCGGCAAATTCCCAACATTTCCGGGAATTTCCCTGAATTCCACCCAAAAAACCCTCCCCAAATTCCCCCAAAATCTTCCCAAATGTGCCCCAAAAATCCCTCCAAAACCCTCCAGATTTTTCAGGTTTCTCCCCAAAACTTCCAAAATTCCCAAAATTTCGGGAATTTCCCCAAATTCCCCTCAAAATTCCTCCAAAATCTTCCCAAATTTCCCCCAAAATCTTCCCAAATGTGCCCCAAAAATCCCTCCCAAACCCCCCAGATTTTTCAGGATCCTTCCCAAAATTCCCAAAATTCCTGGAATTCTGGGAATTTCCCCAAATTCCCTCCAAAATCCCCCAAAATCTTCCCAAATTTCCCCCAAAATCCCTCCCAAACCCCCGAATTTTTTCAGGATCCTTCCCAAAATTCCCAAATTTCAGAAATCTCCCCAAATTTCCCCCAAAATCCCTCCCAAACCCCCTAAATTTTTCAGGATCCCTCCCAAAATCCCCAAAATTCGGGAATTTCCTCAAATTCCCTCCCAAATCCTCCCCAAATCCCCCCAAAATCCCCCCAAAATCTCCCCAAATTCCCCCCAAAATCCATCCCAAAGCCCCTGAATTTTTCAGGCTCCTTCCCAAAATTCCCCAAATTCCCGAAAATTCCCGGAATTCCCGAATTTCCCACCTCGGTGACGTAGTGCAGCAGCGCCATCCGGGCCAGCTTCTCCTGGATGGCCCCAAATTTGTGGATTTTGGCCCCAAATTGGGTCCGGGTGGAGGCGTGGGCGACCTGGAAAAGCCCAAAAATCCCCAAAAATTCCCAAAAATTCCAAAAAATCCCAAAAAATCCCCAAAAATTCCACAGGGGAGGGAAAAGGAGCGGCTGGAGGGGGGATTTTGGGGGAATTATTGGGATTTTTTAAGGGAATTTTGGGGATTTTTGGAAATTTTGGGGGTTTAAAGAGAATTTTGAGGGATTTTTGAGAATTTTTAGGGAATTTTGGGGAATTTTGTTGGGATTTGAGGGATTTTTTGGGGAATTTTTTTGGATTTTATGTATTCTTTTAGGAAATTTTAGGGAATTTTTAGGGAATATTTTAGAGAATTTTGAGGGATTTTTTTTAGGGAATTTGGAGGGATTTTTTAGGGAATTTTTCGGGGGTTTTTTTGAGATTTTGAGATCCCATGAATCCCAGCATTCCCAAAGATTTGGGAATCTCAAATCCCAGCAGAATGTGCTATCACTATACTCAGATTTGGTGAGATATTTTGGGATTTTTTGCCATTTTTTTGGTTTTTCTCCAATTTCCTCGGGGTTTTTTCTCACTTTTTTGTGTTTTTTTTGGGATTTAGGAATTCCATGAATCCCAAACTTTGGGAATTTTTGGGAATAGCAAATCCCAGTAGGATTTAGGGTCCTTTTTATCCAGATACTCTCAGGAATTTTGGGTTTTTTTGCCATTTCCTCATTTTTTCTCCGATTTCCTCAGGGTTTTTTCCCACTTTTTTGCCATTTTTTTGGGAATTCCGGAATTCCATGAATCCCAAACATCGGGAATTTTCGGGAATCTCAAATCCCAGCAGAATCTGATATCACTATTCTCAGATTTGGTGAGAAATTTCGCTGTTTTTTGCAGTTTTCTCTTTTTTCATTCAATTTCCTTGGGGTTTTTTCCCACTTTCATGGGTTTTTTTGGGATTTGGGAATTCCAGGAATCCCAAACTTTGGGAATTTTCGGGAATATCAAATCCCAGCAGAATGTGCTATCACTATACTCAGATTTGGTGAGAAATTTTGGGATTTTTTGCCATTTTTTTGGTTTTTCTCCAATTTCCTCGGGGTTTTTTCTCACTTTTTTGTGGTTTTTTTGGGATTTAGAAATTCCATGAATCCCAAACTTTGGGAATTTTCGGGAATCTAAAATCCCAGTAACATTTGGAGTCATTTTAGCTCACAGTGTCTGGGGAATTTTCGTTTTTTTGCCATTTTGTCATTTTTTCTCCGATTTCCTCGGGGTTTTTTCCCGTTTTCTCAGGATTTTTTGGGAATTCTGTAATTCCCTGAATCCCAAACTTTGGGAATTTTTGGGAATCTCAAATCCCAGTAAGATTCAGGCTCATTTATCTCAGATTAGGTGAAAAAAATTGGGGTTTTTTGCCGCTTCCTCATTTTTTCTCCGATTTCCTCGGGGTTTTTTGCCGTTTTCTCAGGAATTTTTTGGAATTTCAGAATTCCATGAATCCCAAACTTTGGGAATTTTCGGGAATCTCAAAGCCCAGTAACATTTGGAGTCATTTTAGCTCAAAATCTCTGGCAAATTTTCGGGTTTTTTGCCATTTTTTCGGTTTTTCTCCGATTTCCTCGGGGTTTTTTCCCACTTTTTGGGGTTTTTTTTGGGAATTCCATAATCCCACGAATCCCAAACTTTGGGAATCTCACCGCGGCCTGCAGCAGCCCCCTCATGGTGCCGGCCATGGCCGCGGCCATGATGGGAATTCGGGGATTTTTGCCATTTCCTCATTTTTTGTCCAATTTTCTCGGGGTTTTTTCCCACTTTTTCGGGTTTTTTTTGGGATTTGGGAATTCCAGAAATCCCAAACTTTGGGAATTTTCAGGAATCCCAAACTTTGGGAATTTTCGGGAATCTCAAATCCCAGCAGAATCTGGTATCACTATACTCAGATTCGGTGAGAAATTTGGCGTTTTTTTGCCGTTTCCTCATTTTCGCTCTGATTTCCTCGGGGTTTTTTCCCGTTTTCTCAGGATTTTTTGGGAATTCTGTAATTCCCTGAATCCCAAACTTTGGGAATTTTTGGGAATCTCAAATCCCAGTAAGATTCAGGCTCATTTATCTCAGATTAGGTGAAAAAAATTGGGGTTTTTTGCCGTTTTGTCATTTTTCCTCCGATTTCCTCAGGGTTTTTTGCCGTTTTCTCAGGATTTTTTGGGAATTTCGGAATTCCAGGAATCCAAACTTTGGGAATTTTCGGGAATCTCAAAGCCCAGTAACATTTGGAGTCATTTTGGCTCACAGTCTCTGGGGAATTTTCATGTTTTTTGCCATTTTCTCGGTTTTTCTCCGATTTCCTCGGGGTTTTTTCCCACTTTTTCGGGGTTTTTTTGGGATTTCGGAATTCCCTGAATCCCAAACTTTGGGAATTTTTGGGAATCTCAAATCCCAGTAAGATTCAGGCTCATTTATCTCAGATTAGGTGAAAAAAATTGGGGTTTTTTGCCATTTTGTCATTTTTCCTCTGATTTTCTCGGGGCTTTTCCTGTTTTCTCAGGATTTTTTTGGGAATTCCGGCATTCCGTGAATCCCAAACTTTGGGAATTTTCAGGAATCTCAAATCCCAGTAACATTTGGAGTCATTTTAGCTCAAAATCTCTGGGGAATTTTCATTTTTTTGCCATTTTCTTGGTTTTCCTCCGATTTCCTCGGGGTTTTTTGCCGTTTTCTCAGGATTTTTTGGGAATTCCGGAATCCCACGAATCCCAAACTTTGGGAATCTCACCGCGGCCTGCAGCAGCCCCCTCATGGTGCCGGCCATGGCCGCGGCCATGCCGAAGCGGCCGTTGTTGAGGATGTTCATGGCCACCTTGAAGCCGCCGCCGAGGCCGCCGAGGACGTTCTGCGCCGGGACACGGACGGAGTCGAAGTGCAGCGACGTCGTGTTGGAGGCGCGGATGCCCAGCTTCTTCTCGCTGGGGCCGCTGGAAAAATGGGGGGAAAAATGGGGGAAATGGGAAAAAAACAGAGAAAAATGGGTGAAAAATGGGAAAAAACGGGGGAAAAACGGGGAAAAATGGGGAAAAACAGGGGGAAAATGGAGAAAAACAGGCGGAAAATGGGAAAAAACAGGGGAAAAACAGGGAAAATGGGAGAAATGAGGGGAAAAAACAGGGATTAGTGCAAAAAAATGGGGAAAAATGGGCGAAAAATGGGGGGGAAATGGGGAAAACGGGAAAAATGGGGGAAAATGGGGAAAAACAGGCAAAAAATGGGAAAAACAGGGAAAAATGGGGAAAATGAGGGGAAAAACAGGGGGGAAATGGGAAAAAACGGGGATTAGTGCAAAAAAAATGGGGAAAAACGGGTGAAAAACAGGGAAAAACGGGTGAAAAAACGGAGAAAAATGGAAAAAACGGGGAAAATGGGTAAAAACAGGGAAAAATGGGGGAAATGAGGGGGAAAAATGGGGAAAACGGGGAAAATGAGGGGGGAAAAAAGGGAGGAAATGGGAGAAAATGGGAAAATGGGAATTATTGCAAAAAATGGGGAAAACAGGCAAAAAATGGGGGAAAATGGGGAAAAACAGGCGAAAAATGGGAAAAAAAGGGGAAAAAAAGGGGAAAAATGGGGGGGAAATGGGAAAAATAGAGAAAAAAGAGGGAAAATGGGGTAAAAGTCCCTTAAATGCCCCCAAACCCGCCTCAAAAATTCCCAAAAATTCCCCAAAATTCCCAAATTTCCCCAAAATCCCAGAATTCCGACTGTGTGACGCCGCCGAAGCCCCTCTCGACGAGGAAGGCAAAACTTCCAAACTCCCCGTAAAGTTCCCTAAAATCCCTTTAGACATCCCCAACCCCCACTAAAAATTCCAAAAAAATTCCCAAAATTCCCAAAAATTCCCAAAATTTCCCAAATTCCCAAAAATTTCCCAAAATTCCCCTCCTAAAATTCCCAAAAAAATCCCCAAAATTCCCCTAAAATTCAAAAAACAGCCCAAAAATCCCCCTAAAAATGCCCTAAAACGCCCCCGAACCCGCCCGAAAAATTCCCAAAAATTCCCAAAATTCCCAAAAATTCCCAAAATTCGGGAATTCTGACTGTGTGACGCCGCCGAAGCCCCTCTCGACGAGGAAGGCAAAAGTTCCAAACTCTCCCTAAAACTCAAAAAAAATCCCCTAAAATTCCACTTAAATGCCCCAAAGCCTCCCTAAACTTCCCCAAAAATTCCCAAAATCCCCCAAAATCCCCCAAATTCCAAAAAATCCCCAAAATTCCCCAAAATTCCCCAAAATTCCCTGAATTCCTCCCCTTAAAATTCCCTAAAATTCAAAAAAATCCCAAAAATCCCCCTAAAACCCCCTAAAAATGCCCTAAACCCCCCCAAACCCGCCCCAAAAATTCCCAAAAATTTCCCAAAATTCCCAAAATTCCCAAATCCCCAAAATTCGGGAATTCTGACTGTGTGACGCCGCCGAAGCCCCTCTCGACGAGGAAGGCAAAATTCCCAAACTCCCCCTAAAACTCAAAAAAAATCCCCTAAAATTCCACTTAAATGCCCCAAACCCCACTAAAAATTCCCCAAAAATTCTCAAAATTCCCAAAATCCCCCAAATTCCAAAAAATCCCCAAAATTCCCAAAATTCCCCAAAATTCCCTGAATTCCTCCCCTTAAAACTCCCTAAAATTCAAAAAACAGCCCAAAAATCCCCCTAAATCCCCCTAAAAATGCCCTAAAGCGTCCCCGAACCCCCCCAAACCCACCCCAAAAATTCCCAAAAATTTCCCAAAATTCCCAAATTTCCCAAAATTCTCAAAATTCCCCTCTAAAATTCAAAAAAAATCCCCAAAATTCCCCTAAAATTCAAAATACAGCCCAAAAATCCCCCTAAAAATGCCCTAAAACCCCCCCGAACCCGCCCCAAAAATTCCCAAAAATCCCCAAAAATTCCCAAAAATTCCCCAAATTCCCAAATTCCCCAAAATTCCCAATTCCTGACTGTGTGACGCCGCCGAAGCCCCTCTCGACGAGGAAGGCGGTGATCCTCTCGCGGCTCTCCCCGCTCCGCTCGTCCCTCACCGGCGTCTGCGCGAACACCGTGAACAGCTCGGCCAGGCCCCCATTACTGCCAAAAAAACGGAATTTTGGGGGAAATTTGGGGTTTTTGGGGGGAATTTGGGGGTTTGGGAAAAATTCGGGGAATTTAGGGGAAAAAAAATGGGGATTTGGGGGGAGAAAATGGGATTTTTGGGGGGAAAAAAGGGAAATATGAGGGGAAAAAAGAGGATTTGCGGGGAGAAAATAGGAAAAAAATGGGTATTTGGGGGGGAATGGGAATTTTGGGGGGAAAATTGGGATTTTAGGGGGGAAAAAATGGGATTTTTGGGGGAGAAAATGGGATTTTGGAGGGGGAAAATGGGATTTTTGGGGGGAAAATGGGATTTTTTTTGGGGAAAAAGGGAAATATGAGGAGAAAAGAGGATTTGCGGGGAGAAAATGGGAAAAAATGGGGATTTGGGGGGAAAAAATGGGATTTTTGGGGGGGAAAAAGGGAAATATGAGGGGAAAAAAAGAGGATTTGGGGGGAGAAATTAGGAAAAAAATTGGGATTTTGCAGGGAAAAAGGGAGATTTGGGAAAAAAAGGGGGATTGGGGGAGGAATGGCGATTTTGAGGGGAAAATTGGGAATTTTGGGGGGAATTCGGGGATTTGGGAAATTTTTGAGGAATTTAGGGGGAAAAAAATGGGGATTTCGGGGAAAAATGGGATTTTTGAGGGGGGGAATGGGATTTTTAGGGGGGAAAATGAGAATTTGGGGGGGAAAATGGGAATTTTAGGGGGAAAATGGGAATTTTGGGGGGGAAAATTGGGAATTTTGGGGGGAAAATGGGAATTTTGGGGGGAAAATGGGAATTTTAGGGGGAAAATGGGAATTTTGGGGGGGAAAATTGGGAATTTTAGGGGGAAAATGGGAATTTTGGGGAGGAAAATTGGGAATTCCCCCCTCCCCCGAAAATTCCCAAAACTTCGGAAAACCCCAATAAAAAACCCCTAAAATTTGACTTTTCCACCAAAAAAAATCCCTAAAATTCATCATTTTCCCATTAAAATCCCCCAAAATCCAGAATTCCCCCCAAAATTTGGAATTTCTCCTCCAAAATTCGGGATTTCCCCCCCAAAAATTCCCAAAACTTTGGAAAACCCCAATAAAAACCCTCAAAAATTTGATTTTTCCAACTGAGAAAACCCCGAAAAATCGATATTTTCTCACTAAAACCGCCCGAAACTTTGGGGTTTTCGCCCACAAACCCTCCCTGCCACCGCCAGAATTCCCAAAATTCCCGGAATTCCCGGAATTCCTGACCTGATCCAGATTTTCTCCCCGTCCAGGGTCCAGAAGGAGCCGCAGGGGCTGGGGGTGGCGCGGGTGCGGATGGAGGCGGCGTCGGAGCCGCTGCCCGGCTCCGTCAGGCAGAACGCCGCCACCCACTCCCCTGAAAAATGGGAATTTTGGGAATTTTGGGGGATTTGGGGGATTTGGGAAGGGGCAGAGAGGGAAGGGGGTCGGAAAATTCCCGAAAACTGCGTTCAAAAAGAGGGAAAAATGAGAAAATTACACACGAAAATGGAAATATTCCAGCCAAAAATGGGAATATTCCACCCAGAAAGTGCCAAAAATGAGAGATTTCCACCAAGAAAGTACCAAAAAGGCAAAATTTCCACCCAGAAGTTGCCGAAAATGAGAAAATTACATCCAAAAAAGCGAAAATTCCGCCCTGAAAGTGCCAAAAATGGGAAAATTCCACCCAGAAATGGGAAAATTCCAACCAGAAAGTGCCAAAAATGAGAAAATTCCACCCCAAAACTCCTCAAGTTATCCCAAAAATTCCTAAAAATGGGAATTTTGGGAATTCTGGGTGAATTCCTGGGAATATTTGGGTGAATTTCTGGGGATATTTCAAGACATTTTGGGACAATTTTTGGGGTGAATTTTGGGACTATCTGAGTGTATTTTTTTTAATATTTCAGGACAATTTTTGGGTGAATTTGGGGAATACCTGGGTGAATTCCTGGGGATATTTCAGGATATTTTGGGACAATTTTTGGGTGAATTTTGGGAATACCTGGGTGAATTTCTGGGAATATTTCAGGATATTTCGGGACAATTTTTGGGTGAATTTCTGGGAATATCCGGATGAATTTCTGGGGATATTTCAGGATATTTTTGGGCAATTTTTGGGTGAATTTTTGGGAATATTTGGGGTAAATTTTGGGAATATCTGAGTGAATTTTTTGGAATATTTCAGGATATTTCAGGACAATCTTTGGGTGAATTTCTGGGAATACCTGAGTGAATTTTTTTGAATATTTCAGGATATTTCGGGACAATTTTTGGGTGAATTTCGGGAATACCTGGGTGAATTCCTGGGGATATTTCAGGATATTTCGGGACAATTTTTGGGTGAATTCCTGGGGATATTTCAGGACATTTTGGGACAATTTTTGGGAATATTTGGGGTGAATTTTGGGAATATTTCAGGATATTTTGGGACAATTTTTGGGGTGAATTTTGGGACTATCTGAGTGTATTTTTTTGAATATTTCGGGACAATTTTTGGGTGAATTTTGGGAATACCTGGGTGAATTCCTGGGGATATTTCAGGATATTTCGGGACAATTTTTGGGTGAATTCCTGGGGATATTTCAGGATATTTTGGTGCAATTTTTGGGTGAATTTTGGGAATACCTGGATGAATCCTGGGGATATTTCAGGATATTTCAGGACAATTTTGGGGTGAATTTCTGGGAATATTTGGGGTAAATTTTGTGGAATATCTGGGTGAATTTTTTTGAATATTTCAGGATATTTTGGGACAATCTTTGGGTGAATTTCGGGAATATTTGGGGTGAACTTTGGGACTACCTGGGTGAATTTCTGGGAATATTTGGGTGAATTTCTGGGAATATTTGGGTGAATTTCTGGGAATATTTGGGTGAATTTCTGGGAATATTTAAGGATATTTTGGGACAATTTTTGGGAATATCTGGGTGAATTCCTGGGAATATTTGGGTGAATTCCTGGGGATATTTCAGGATATTTCGGGACAATTTTTGGGTGAATTTCGGGAATATTTGGGGTGAATTTTTGGGAATACCTGGGTGAATTCCTGGGGATATTTCAGGATATTTTGGGACAATCTTTGGGGAATATTTGGGGTAAATTTTGTGGAATATCTGGGTGAATTCCTGGGAATATTTGGGTGAATTTTGGAAATACCTGGGTGAATTCCTGGGGATATTTCAGGATATTTTGGGACAATTTTTGGGAATAGCTGGGTGAATTCCTGGGAATATCTGAGTGAATTCCTGGGAATATTTCAGGATATTTCAGGACAATTTTTGGGTGAATTCCTGGGGATATTTCAGGATATTTCGGGACAATTTTTGGGTGAATTCCTGGGAATATTTCAGGATATTTTGGTGCAATTTTTGGGTGAATTTCTGGGAATATTTGGGGTGAATTTTTGGTAATACCTGGGTGAATTCCTGGGAATATTTCAGGATATTTTGGGACAATTTTCGGGTGAATTTTTTGGAACATTTCAGGATATTTTGGTGCAATCTTTGGGCGAATTTCGGGAATATTTGGGATGAATTTTAGGACTATTCTGGGATGTCTCACCCGTGGCCAGGCGGGGCAGGTACTTCTCCTTCTGGGGGGGGGTCCCGTAGAGCAGCAGCCCCTTGAAGCCGATGGACTGGTGCGCGCCCAGCGTGATCCCCACGCCCAGGTCGTGCTGCCCCACGATCTGCACCAGCCGCGCGTACTGGGGGCACTGGGAGTTACTGGGAGGCACTGGGAGGGACTGGGAGAGCACTGGGGTGGAGATTGGGGGGTCCCAGGGGGTCCCAGGGGGATTTGGGGGGGACTTGGGGGAATTTTGGGGAGGTTTGGGGAGGTTTGGGGAGGATTTGGGGGGATTTCAGGGGATTTTGGGGAGGTTTGGGGAGGATTTGAGGGGATTTGGGGGGTACTGGGGGCACTGGGAGTTACTGGGAGGCACTGGGAGGGACTGGGAGAGCACTGGGGTGCAGATCGGGGGGTCCCAGGGGGTCCCAGAGGGATTTGGGGGGGATTTGGGGGGATTTGAGGGGATTTCGGGGAGGTTTGGGGAGGATTTGAGGGGGTTTGGGAGGATTTGAGGGGGTTTGGAGGGTACTGGGAGCACTAGGAGTTACTGGGAGGGCACTGGGAGGGACTGGGAGGCACTGGGAACCCCCTGGGATGGAGATTGGGGGGGTCCCAGGGGGTCCCAGGGGAGTTTGAGGGGATTTTGGGGAAGTTTGGAGGGCACTGGGAGTTACTGGGAGGGACTGGGAGCCCCCTGGGGTGCAGATCGGGGGGTCCCAGGGGGATTTGGGGGGGATTTGGGGGGATTTGAGGAGATTTTGGAGAGGTTTGGGGAGGATTTGAGGGGATTTGGGGGGTACTGGGAGCACTGGGAGTTACCTGGAGGGCACTGGGAGGCACTGGGAGAGCACTGGGGTGCAGATCGGGGGGTCCCAGGGGGTCCCAGGGGGATTTGAGGGGGATTTGGGAGGATTTTGGGGAGGATTTGAGGGGGTTTGAGAAGGACTGGGAACACTGGGAGTTACTGGGAGGCACTGGGAGATCACTGGGAGTTACTGGGAGGGACTGGGAGTGCACTGGGGTGGAGATTGGGGGGTCCCAGGGCATCCCAGGGGGGTTTGGGGGGGATTTGGGGGGATTTCGGGGAGGTTTGGGGAGGATTTGAGGGGGTTTGGGAGGATTTGAGGGGGTTTGGGGGGTACTGGGAGCCCTGGGAGTTACTGGGAGGGCACTGGGAGGCACTGGGAGAGCACTGGGAGTTACTGGGAGGCACTGGGAACACCCTGGGGTGCAGATCGGGGGGTCCCAGGGGGGTCTGGAGGGGATTTGAGGGGATTTGGGGGGATTTGAGGGGATTTTGGGGAGGTTTGGGGAGGATTTGAGAGGATTTTGGGGAACTTTGGGGGGCACTGGGAGTTACTGGGAGGCACTGGGAACCCCTTGGGGGGGAGATCGGGGGGTCCCAGGGGGTCCCAGGGGGATTTGGGGGGGATTTGGGGGATTTCAGGGGGTTTGGGGGGTACTGGGAGCACTGGGAGTTACTGGGGGGCACTGGGAGGGACTGGGAACCCCCTGGGGTGCAGATCAGGGGGTCCCAGGGGGGTTTGGGGGGGATTTCGGGGGATTTGATGGGATTTCGGGGAGGTTTGGGGAGGATTTGAGGGGATTTGGGAGGGACTGGGAACACTAGGAGTTACTGGGAGGGCACTGGGAGGGACTGGGAGATCACTGGAAGTTACTGGGAGGGACTGGGAGCCCCCTGGGGTGCAGATCGGGGGGTCCCAGGTGGTCCCGGGGGGGATTTGGGGGGATTTGGGGGGATTTTGGGGAGGTTTGGGGAGGATTTGAGGGGGTTTGGGGGGTACTGGGAGCACTGGAAGTTACTGGGAGGCACTGGGACAAACTGGAAACCCCCTGGGGTGGAGATTGGGGCATCCCAGGGGGTCCCAGGGGGGTTTGGGGGCGATTTGGGGGGCATTTGGGGAGGTTTGGGGAGGATTTGAGGGGGTTTGGGGAGGATTTGAGGGGGTTTGGGGAAGTTTGGGGGGCACTGGGAGTTACTGGGAGGGACTGGGAACACCCTGGGGTGCAGATCGGGGGGTCCCAGGGGGTCCCTGGGGGGTTTGGGGAGGACTTGGGGGGGATTTGGAGGGATTTTGGGGAAGTTTGGGGGGCACTGGGAGTTACTGGGAGGCACTGGGACAAACTGGAAACCCCCTGGGGTGCAGATCGGGGGGTCCCAGGGGGTCCCAGGGGGGTTTGGGGGGGATTTGGGGGGATTTCAGGGAGATTTGGGGAGGATTTGAGGGGATTTGGGGGGTACTGGGAGCACTGGGATTTACTGGGAGGGACTGGGACAAACTGGGAACCCCCTGGGGTGAAGACTGGGGGGGTCCCAGGGGGATTTAAGGGGATTTGAGGGGGATTTGGGGTGAATTTGAGGAAATTTATGGTGAATTTGACGAGTTTTGGGGTAAACTTCAGAAGATTTGGGGTGAATTTCAGAAGATTTGGGGGATTTTTGAGTTACTGGGAGTTACTGGGAGTTACTGGGAGGGGATCTGGGGAGTCCTGGCAGATTTGGGGGAATTTAGGGAGGATTTGGGGTGAATTTGAGGAAACCTGGGAGAAATTTGAGGAGATTTGGGGTGAATTTGAGGAGATTTGGGGTGAATTTCAGAAGGTTTGGGGGATTTTGGAGTTACTGGGAGTGACTGGGAATTACTGGGAGTGACTGGGAGGGGATTTTGGGGTTCCCCAAATTTGGGGGGGGTCTCACCTGGGTGTTGTTGAGCCCCAGCCCCCCAAATTCCAGGGGCACCTGGAGGCCGAAGGCCCCCAGCTCCTTTAACCCTTTCATGGTCTCGTCCTCCACCTTCTCCAGGGCGTCGTTCTTGAAGGGGTTGTTCACCTCCTGCCCCGAATTTTGGGAATTTTTGGGAATTTTGGGAATTTTGGGCAGAATTCCCAGAATTCCAGAGGGTTTCCCTGGAAGGGGGGAGGGTGGGATGGGGGAAATTTGGGGTTTTTACCTCAAAGAAGCGGCTGAGGGGACCCACGAGCTCCCGCAGGGTTTGTTCTTGTTCCTCGGTCAGGACTGGGGAGAAAAGAGGGAATTTTGGGGAAAATGATCCCAAAATGATCCCAAAATGATCCTGAAATTCTTCTGAAATTGTCCTGAAGTTATCCCAAAAATCTCCCAAAATTACCCCGAAATTGTCCTGAAATTCTCCTGAAAATGTGCTGAAATTTTCCTGGAATCATCCCAACGTTATCCTGAAATTATCCCAAAATTGTCTTGAAATTATCCCAAAAATCTCCCAAAATTACCCCAAAATAATCCTGAAATTCTTCTGAAATGGTCCTGAAATTATTCTGAAATCATCCCAAAGTTACCCCAAAATTATCCCAAAAATTATCTGAAAATTGTCCTGAAATTGACCTAAAATTACCCCACAATTGTCCTGAAATTATCCCAAAAATCTCCCAAAATTATCCCAACATTGTCCTGAAATTATCCCAAAGTTATCTTAAAGTTATCCCAAAATGATCCCAAAATCATCCTGAAACTATCCCAAAGTTATCCCAAAACTATCCCAAAACTGTCCTGAAATCATCCCAAAATTATCCCCAAATTCCCTCAAAATTCCCCCAAAATTCCCTCAAAATTCCCCCAAATTTTCCCCAAAATGTCCCCAAAATTCCCCCAAAATTGCCCAAATTTTGGGGGGCCCTCACCTGAGGGGTAGGGGAACACCTGCTCGGCGTTGAGGCGCCCCAAAAACATCCCCACAGCGAAGGATTTCGATTCCTGGGGGGGAAAAAGAATTTTAGGGGCACCCCAAAAACCCCAAATCCCACCAGGACCCCCCCAAATTCTCCTGAACCCCAAAATCGCCCCAAAAAAATTATCCTGAACTCCAAAATCCCAAAAAAAAATTATTCTGAACTCCCAAAAATTCTCCTTGGCACCCAAAAATCCCCCTCAAAAATTATTCTGAACCCCAAAATCCCCCAAAAAATCATTCTGGACCCCAAAATCCCCCCAAAAAATCCTTCTGGGCGTCCAAAATCCCCCCCAAAAATTCTGGGTACCCAAAATCCCCCAAATTGTTCCAGGAACTCCCAAAATCTCCCCCAAGACTCCAAAAATCTCCCCAGGACCCCCCAAAATCCCTCCAGGACCCCCCAAAAAATCCAAAACTCCCTGAATTCCCCCCAAAAATCCCCCCAGGACCCCCTAAAATGCCCTGAATTCCCCCCAAAGTCCCTCCAAGATGCCCCAAAATCCCCCAAATTCTCCCCAAAATCTCTCTAAGACCCCCCCACTCACCTCGAGGCTCCTCTGGGCTTTTGGGGGGGCTGCCGTGGCCGTGGTGGTCCCAGTTTTGGGGAGCACGGCCTGGAGAAAGGGGGGAGAATCCCAAAAAAATCATCAGAGAACCCCAAAAAATCATCAGGGAACCCCAAAAAATCATCAGAGAACCCCAAAATCATCCCCAAAATCTTCTCAGGACTCCCAAACCCTCCCCAGGACCCCTCAAATCTACTCCAGACTCTTTCAGGGCCCCCAAAATGCCCCCAGGATGCCCCAAATCCCCTCCAGGACCCCCAAAATCCCCTCCAGGACCCCCAAAATTCCCTCCAGGACCCCAAAATCCCCTCCAGGACCCCCAAAATTCCCTCCAGGACCCCAAAATCCCCTCCATGACCCCCAAAATTCCCTCCAGGACCCCCAAAATTCCCCCAAATCCCCTTCAGGACCTCTCAAATCCCCTTTAGGACCCCCAAAATCCCCTCCAGGCCCCTCCAAACCCCCCCAAATCCCCTCAGCACGCCCCCAAATATCCCCAAAGCCCCCCCAAATCCCTGCCCTTGACCTTTCCCCCAGTTTACACCGCCCGACCTTTGCCCCAGTTCTGACGTCACGAGCGCGAGGGAGGGGCGGGGCCCTGGGATTCTTTTGGGATCAGATTTTGGGGATTTGGGAAGGATTTGGGAAGGATTTGGGGGGATTTGGGGGGTTTTGGGGTCCCTACCTGCGCTTCCTGCGTGCTCTGCAGCCGGGACCCCCCAAATCTATGAATTGAGGGATGGGGGTTTAAAAAGGAGCCCCCCAAAAAAATTCCCATTCTCCTTCCTCCCCAAATTCTGGGGATTCCCCAGAATCCCCACAAGATTTGGGATCTCCCACCAAAAAATGCCAGAACCCCCAAAAAGCTCCGAGATCCCCCAAATTCCTCAGTCCGGGACCCCCACCCCGAACCCCAAAAATCCCGGGATCCCCAAACTTCCAGAACTCCTCCCAATTCCGAGAGGTCCCAAAAATTCCAACCTTCCCCCCCACCTCAAAATCCCGAACTCCCCAAAATCCCAGAACTCCCCCAAATCCCGAATGCCCCAAATCCCAATCCCAGGAGGCCCCAAATCCCAGAATCCCCCAAACCCCAATCCTGGGATCCCCCCAAAATCCCAGAAACCCCCAAATCCCAGAACCCCCCAAATCCCAGAACCCCCCAAATCCCAACCCCAGACCCCCCCCAAATCCCGAATCCCCCAAACCCCAATCCCGGGACCCCCCAAAATCCCAGAACCTCCCAAAATCCCGAATCCCCCAAACCCCAATCCCTGAACCCCCACAAATCCCAGCCCCCCTCAGGACCCCCCAACTTCCAGAACCTTCCAAGACACACCCCCCCCCCAAAACCCCCAAATTTTGGTGTTTCTCCCCCAAAGCCTCACCCGGGCGGGATCCGCCGCAGCAGCCGCAGCCCCGCTCCCATCCCCAGCCCGGCCATGTCGCCGCTGTCGCTGTCGCTGTCGCCTCTGTCGCGATAAACTCGGGGGTGTCCCCGAGCCCCCCCCACCTCCCCTCAGACAAGGTCACGGCCGTGGGCGTGGCCTCGGCGCGCGGGGCACGCTGGGAAACGTAGTGAACCCGCCTATTTCCATATGCTAATCTATGCTAATGAAGCGAGGTTATAATACGCGCCGCGCTGTTGCCATGGTGATGGTTGATGTGGGCGTGGCCTGAGGGGCGGGGTTTAAAGGCTCAGGCGCGGTACCAAAGGGGCTTAAACTGAGGTAAATTCTTTTTTTTTTTAGCATTTTGATTTAGAAACTCCTTTTTCTAAATAACTATTTTTAGGAATTAAAATTTAAAGCGAATCCTGGTGTGTTTTTTTGCTGTTTCCTCTTATCCCTCACATTTCCCTTCCTTCTCCCCTCACATTTCCCACTCTTTTCTCCCTCACGTTTCCTGTTATTTCTCATGTTTTCCACCCTTTTTTCTCTTAAATTTTCCCCTCATATTTCTCACCTTTTATCCTTCACATCTCCACCCCTTTCCCCTCACATTTCCCACCATTTTCCCCTCATATTTCTCACCCTTTATCCTTCATGTTTCTTGCCCTCTCTCCCCATTTCCCGCCTCTTTTCCCCTCGCATTTTCTGGTTTTTTCTCCCTGTTTTCTGTTATCCCTCACATTTCCCGTCCTTTTCCCCTCACATTTCCCACTCTTTTCCTCCTCACGTTTCCTGTTCTTATGTTTTCCACCCTTTTTTCTCTTAAATTTTCCCCCTCATATTTTTCACCTTTTATCCTTCACATTTCCCTTCCTTTTCCCCTCACATTTCCCACCATGTTTCCCTCACATTTTTCACCTTTTATCCTTCACATTTCCCTTCCTTTTCCCCTCACATTTCCCACTCTTTTCTCCCTCACGTTTCCTGTTATTTCTCATGCTTTCCATCCTTTTTTCTCTTAAAATTCCCTCCCTCACATTTCCCACCATTTTCCCCCTCATATTTCTCACCTTTTATCCTTCACATCTCCACCCCTTTCCCCTCACATTTCCCACCACTTTCCCCTCATATTTCTCACCTTTTATCCTTCACATTTCTCACCCTCTCGCCCCGTTTCCTTCCCCTTTTCCCCTCACGTTTTCTGTTTTTTTCTCAGTTTCCTCTTATCCCTCACATTTCCCGTCCTTTTCCCCTCACATTTCTCACTTTTTCCCCCTCACTTTTCCTGCTATATCTCACGTTTTCCACCCTTTTTTCTCTTAAATTTTCCCCCTCATATTTCTCACCTTTTATACTTCACGTTTCCCGCCCTTTTCTCCCCTCACGTTTCCCGCCCTTTTCTCCCCTCACATTTCCCGCCCTTTTCTCCCCTCACGTTTCCCGCCCTTTTCTCCCCTCACGTTTCCCGCCCTTTTCTCCCCTCACGTTTCCCGCCCTTTTCTCCCCTCACGTTTCCCGCCCTTTTCTCCCCTCACGTTTCCCGCCCTTTTCTCCCCTCACATTTCCCGCCCTTTTCTCCCCTCACGTTTCCCGCCCTTTTCTCCCCTCACGTTTCCCGCCCTTTTCTCCCCTCACATTTCCCGCCCTTTCCCCCCTCACATTTCCCACCATTTTCCCTTCATATTTCTTATCTTTTATCTTTCACATCGCCACTCTTTCCCCCTCAAATTTCATGACCTTCTCCCCTCACATTTCCCACCATTTTCTCCTCACATTTCCTACCTGTTATCTCTCACATTTTCCACCCTTTTTCCTCTCACTTTCCCCCTCACATTTCTCACTTCCCCCCCCCCCGAATTTCCTACCTGTTCTCTCACATTTTCCACCTTTTTTTCTCTTAAATTTTCCCCCTCATATTTCTCACCTTTTATCCTTCACATCTCCACATTTTCCCCCTCACATTTCCCACTCTTTTCCCTCTTATTTCTCACCTTTTATCCTTCACATCTCCACATTTCCCCTCACGTTTCCCGCCATTTTCTCCCTCAAGTTTCCTCTTATCCCTCACATTTCCCATCCTTTCCCCCTCACATTTCTCACTTCCCCCCCCCCGAATTTCCTACCTGTTCTCTCACATTTTCCACCTTTTTTTCTCTTAAATTTTCCCCCTCATATTTCTCACCTTTTATCCTTCACATCTCCACTCTTTTCCCCTCACATTTCCCCCTCATATTTCCTGCTGTTTTCTCCCTCAGGTTTCCTCTTATCCCTCACATTTCCCGTCCTTTCCCCCCTCACACTTCCTACCTGTTATCTGTCTCATTTTCCACCCTTTTTCCTCTCACATTTTCCCCTCAAATTTCTCACCTTTTATCCTTCACATCTCCATTATTTTCCCCTCACATTTCCCACCATTTCCCCCTCATATTTCCCACCATTTCCCCCTCATATTTCTCACCTATTGTCCTTCACATCTCCACCACTTTTCCCTCACATTTTCCATTTTCCCCTCCCATTTCCTGCCCTTTTCCCCCTCACATTTTCCATTTTCCTCCCCATTTTGGGGGCTCCTTTTGGGGTTTTTGGGGTGCAGCAGACGGACAGACAGACATGAACCCCGCCCAGGTACGAAGCAACGGCGCTGTTTATTTACAACTGGAGGGGCTGCAGCCCCCCAAAATCCAAAATATTATCCTTCAAACAAAGAGGGGAAGGGAATAAAAGGTGGGGAGGGACCCCCAAATTCCAATGGGGGAGGTTTAGTGGGGGGAATCCCCCAAATCCCTCCCTTAAACTCCCCCCAAACTGGGACTGACCCTTCCTGTTTTGGGGGTGCCCCCCCTGTAAAATGATGCTCTAAACACCCCCAAAAATTTGGGGGAGGCACCCCCAAAAAAGTGGGGTGCAGGGAACGTTTAGAAAAATAACACACATGAAAAAACTTGTTTCCAAAACCTCGGAGTTTGGGGGTGAGGGGACCCCCCAAATCCCCCTCACCAATTTAGGGGTGTGACCCCCCCTCCAAAATCTTGTACAGGGGTTGAGACACCCCAAAACCTCATGAATTGGGGTACAGGACCCCCAAACTTGGTGCCCTGGGGGGATTAAAAAACCCCAAAACCTCTTGAACTTAATGGGGTCCCTCCAATTTTAACTGTGACCCCAAAACCTCATAACACGGGGCAGGGAACCCCAAAACTCTTTTATTTTGGGGCAGGGGACCCCAAAACCTTCTCTTTCAGGGAAGATTTCCCCAAATCGTAGTCAGGGGGTCGGGGCCCCCAAATTCTCCTTTTCTGGGGGGTGGGACACCCCAAAAATTTCATGATCTGGGGCAAAGAACACCCCAAAATCCCCCTATTTTAGGGGGAGTCCCCAAAATCTTTTTGTCTGGGGTGAAGGACTCCCAAACCCTCTGTTCTTGGGGGTAGGGGACCCCAAAATCTCATAATTTGGGGTAGGGGACCCCCCAAACCTCCCCTATCTAAGGGGGGTTCCCCCAATCTTAATTTGGGGTGAGGGAACGCCCCCAAATCTTCCCAATCTTGGGGGTGAGGGACCCAAAAAAAAAAAAAAAATCTCATGATCTGGGGTAAGAGCCCCCCAAATCTTGTACCCCAAAATGGGACCCCAAAACCCTCCTGGCCTGCAGATGAGGGACCCCAAAACCACCCCCAAATTTTAACTGGAACCCCAAAACTTATAGGGGGGAGGTAAAAGTCCCCCCGAATCTCCTCATTTTTGAGGGAGCTGGCCCCAAAATCTCACAATTTCAGGGGTTTTATAAACCCCAAACCCTCATAATTCGGGGTGGGGGGAGGTTCCAACCCCCAAAATCTCCAAATTTTGGGCACTTTCCAACCCCCAAACCTCCCAATTCCGGGGAGAGCCACAACCCCAAAATCTCCAATTTTGCGGGAACCTTACAAACCCCAAAACCTCACAATTCTAGGGTGACTTCCCCCCAAAAAAACCTCCAAAATTCGGGAACCTCACAACCCCCAAACTTCTCGTTTTTTGGGAGGAACCTCCAAACCCCCAAAGCGCAGGGGAAAGGTGGCAACCCCCAAAATTTCCGATTTTGAGCGCGTTCCACCCCCCAAATCCTGCCGGAAGCGAGGCCGGGGAGCCCCAAAATCCCATTTTTTGGGGGGTTTAGGGGTCGCCGGTGGGGCGGGGGGTGGCGGGGGGGGCCCGGCGGGGCCCCTCGCGGCATTTTTGGCAATAAAAGACGTCGGGAACGTTGTTTTTCTTCACCTTGGCGCAGGACAGGTGGATCCAGGTGCCGCACTGGCTGCACTCGATCATGGGCCGGCCGGCGAAGGGCTTTTGGCAGTAGCAGGTGATCAAATCCCACGAATCGTCACCTGGAAAAACCCCAAAAAAGGTAAAAAATGCAGAAATCCATAAGGAATCACAGTCTGAAAAAATAGGGAAAAACAGCAGTGAAAAAGGAGGGATTTGGGTTGTGATATCCACAAAAAAATTTGTGAAATGTTACGGAGGTGGTGAAATATCCTGAATTTATGTCCCAAATTCTGCTCTGGGATCAATCAAATCCCAAAATTCACGTCTCAAATATCACCCGGGACTCCTCAAACCTCCCCTGAGAACCCCAAAAATTCCTTCAGGACCACCCAAACTTCAACTGAAATCTCCAAACTTCACCAAAAAAACCCCAAATCCCCCAAAATTCACCCACCTCCACCATGATGTCCTCGTCCATGACCTGTGTGTCCCCTCCAGGGACCCCAAACTCCCCTGAGACCCCCTAAAACTCCTCCAGGAACCTCGAATTTCCCCCAAATTTCCCCCAAATTTCCCCCAAATCTCCCCCAAAACCCCCAAATTTCCCCCAAATCCCCCGAATTTCCCCCAAATCTCCCCGAACTCACCCGACTCCACCACAATGTCCTCGTCCATGACCCACATATCCCCTCCAGGGACCCCAAATCCCCCAAATCTCCCCCAAATCTCCCCCAAAACCCCCAAATCTCCCCTGAAATACCCAAATCTCCCCCAAAACCCCCAAATTTCCCCCAAATCTCCCCCAAAATCCCCAAATCTCCCCCGAGCTCACCTGACTCCACCACAATGTCCTTGTCCATGACCCACACATCCCCTCCATGGACCCCAAACCCCCTGAGACCCCCCCAAATCTCCCCTAAAACCCCCAGATCTCCCCCAAAACCCCCAAATCTCCCCTGAAAGTCCCAAATTTCTCCCAAATCTCCCCTAAAATCCCCGATTTCCCCCCGAACTCACCCGACTCCACCATGATGCCCTCGTCCATGACCCACACATCCACTATAGGAACCCCAAATCCCCCAAGTCTCTCCCAAACCCCCAAATTCCCCCCAAATCTCCCCCAAAACCCCCAAATCTCCCCCAAAATCCCCCAAACTCACCCAACTCCACCATGATGTCCTCATCCATGACCCACACATCCCCTCCAGGGACCCCAAATCCCCCTCAGACCCCCCAAATCTCCCCCAAAATCCCCAAATTTTCCTCAAATCTCCCCCGAAACCCCCAAATCTCCCCCAAAACCCTCCAATTTCCCCCCGAACTCACCCGACTCCACCATGATGTCCTTATCCATGACCCACACATCCCCTCCAGGGACCCCAAACCTCCCCGAGACCCCCCAAACCCCCCTGAGACCCCCAAATCTCCCCTAAAATCCCCTAATTTCCCCCAAATCTCCCCCGAACTCACCCGACTCCACCACGATGTCCTCGTCCATGACCCACACATCCCCTCCAGGGACCCCAAACCTCCCTGAGACCCCCTAAAACCCCTCCAGGAACCCGCAATTTCCCCCAAATCTCCCCCAAAACCCCCAAATCTCCCCTAAAACCCCCCAAATTTCTACCAAATCTCCCCCAAAATCCCCAAATCTCCCCCGAGCTCACCCGACTCCACCACGATGTCCTCATCCATGACCTACACATCCCCTCCAGGGACCCCAAACCCACCTGCGACCCCCCAAATCTCCCCCAAAACTCCCAAATCTCCCCTAAAACCCCCAAATTTCCCCCAAAACCCCCAAATCTCCCCCAAACTCACCCGACTCCACCACGATGTCCTCATCCATGACCCAAACATCCCCTCCAGGGACCCCAAACCCCCCAAATCTCCCCCAAAACCCCCAAATCTCCCCCAAAATCCCCAAATCTCCCCCAAAACCCCCAAATCTCCTCCAAAATCCTCCGATTTCCCCCCGAACTCACCCGACTCCACCACGATGTCCTCGTCCATGACCCACACATCCCCTCCAGGGACCCCAAATCCCCCAAATCTGCCCCGAATCCCCCAAATCTCCCTCAAATCTCCCCCAAAATCCCCAAATGTCCCCCAAGCTCACCCGACTCCACCACAATGTCCTCGTCCATGACCCACATATCTCCTCCAGGGACCCCAAACCTCCCTGAGACCCCCCAAATCTCCCCCAAAACCCTCAAATCTCCCCTGAAATACCCAGATCTCCCCCAAAACCCCCAAATCTCCCCCAAAATCCCCAAATCTCCCCTGAACTCACCCGATTCCACCATGATGCCCTCGTCCATGACCCACACATCCACTATAGGAACCCCAAATCCCCCAAATCTCCCCCAAATCTCCCCCAAAATCCCCTGAAACCCCCAAATCTCCCCTAAAACCCCCAAATTTCCCCCAAAATCCCCAAATCTCCCCCAAATCTCCCCTAAAATCCCCTAATTTCCCCCAAATCTCCCCCGAACTCACCCGACTCCACCATGATGTCCTCGTCCATGACCCGCGCGTCGCTGTCGCTGCCGTCGCCGTCCCTGCTGGTCTCGGTGCTCCCCCCTTCCTTCCCCACCCCCAGCACCCCCCCGGGCCCCCCCAGCACCCCCAATTTCCCCCCCTCGGGGGGCAGCGGCGGGGGAGGGGGCGGCGGCGGGGGAGGGGAGGGCGGCTCCTCCTCGGAATCCGTCTCCTCGCTGGGGGACCCCCTCCCCAAAACTCCCCTCTCCCCTTTTTTCCAGCGTCTTTTTTTGCTCTTTTTCACCCGAATCCGCGAATTCTCCCGCCGGGAGCCGCCCCCCACGGCCGCGTCCCCCCCCCGGCGGCCGCGGCGCTCGCGGCGTTTTTGGGGGGTCGCTCCCCCCCCCGGGGTGTTTTGGGGCGAGGGGAGGTCGAACAGGGAGTCTTTGAGGCGCATTTTGTCCAGGATGGCCGATTCCGGCGGGGCCAGGGCGCGTTTTTTGGAGGATTTGGCTTTCCGGACGAAGGTTTCGATGGTTCGAAGAGCGGCCGGAGCTGAGCCCCACGTGTCACCCCCGGCCGGGCGCGGTGAGCTGGGGCTGGACGAGGGCCAGGGGGGGTCCTGGGGGGCAAAAGGGGCAAAAGTGAGGGGGGACCCCAAAATACAAACCGGGAACATCAAATTCATCCAGAAATCCAACCCAGGAATGTCAAATTTACCCAAAAATCCAAATCAGAGCCCCCAAATTTACCCCAAAATCCAGCCCAGGAACCTCAAATTCACCCAGGAACATCAAATTCATCCCAAAATCCAACCCAGGAACCTCAAACTGACCCCAAAATCCAAACCAGAGCCCCCAAACTCGCCCCAAAACCCAACCCAGGAACCTCAAATTGACCACAAAATCCAACCCAGGAACCTCAAATTCATCCCAAAATCAAATTCAGAACCCTCAAATTCACCCCAAAATCCAACCCAGGAACCTCAAATTGACCACAAAATCCAAATCAGAATCCCCAAAATCCAACCCAGGAACCTCCAACTCACCCCAAAATCCAAATCAGAGCCCCCAAAATCCAACCCAGGAACCTCAAATTCACCCCAAAATCCAAATCAGAGCCCCCAAAATCAAACTCAGAACCCTCAAACAAACCCCAAAATCCAACCCAGGAACCTCAAATTCACCCCAAAATCCAACCCAGGAACCTCAAACTCACCCCAAAATCCAACCCAGGAACTTCAAATTTATTCCAAAATCCAACCCAGGAACCTCAAACTCACCCCAAAATCCAAATCAGAGCCCCCAAATTTACCCCAAAATCCAACCCAGGAACCTCAAACTCACCCCAAAATCCAACCCAGGAACTTCAAATTTATTCCAAAATCCAACCCAGGAACCTCAAACTCACCCAAAATCCAACCCAGGAACCTCAAACTCACCCCAAAATCCAACCCAGAAACCTCAAATTCACCCCAAAATCCAACCCAGGAACCGCAAATTCACCCCAAAATCCAACCCAGGAACCGCAAATTCACCCCAAAATCCAACCCAGGAACCGCAAATTTATTCCAAAATCCAACCCAGGAATGTCAAATTTACCCAAAATCCAAACCAGGAACCTCAAATTCACCCAAAATCCAACCCAGGAACCTCAAACTCACCCCAAAATCCAACCCAGGAACCGCAAATTCATCCCAAAATCCAACCCAGGAACATCAAATTCATCCAAAAATCCAACCCAGGAATGTCAAATTTACCCAAAAATCCAACCCAGGAACCTCAAACTCACCCCAAAATCCAAATCAGAGCCCCCAAACTCACCCCAAAATCAAACTCAGAACCCTCAAACTCACCCAAAATCCAACCCAGGAACCCCAAATTCACCCAAAATCAAACTCAGAGCCCCAAATTTACCCCAAAATCAAACCCAGGAACCGCAAATTCACCCCAAAATCAAACTCAGAACCCTCAAACTCACCCAAAATCCAACCCAGGAACCTCAAATTGACCCAAAATTCAACGCAGGAACCTCAAATTCACCCCAAAATCCAACCCAAGGCCCCAAAATTTACCCTAAAATCCAATTCAGGAACCTCAAGTGTACCCCAAAATTGAGCGTGAACCCCCAAACCCACCCCAAAATCCAACCTGGGATGTCCAAAATTCACCCAGGACCCCCAAAATTACCCCAAAATCCAACTCAGGATGCCCAAAATCCACCCAGGACCCCAGAATCAACTCCAGGACCCCCAAGTCCAAGCCAGGACCACCAAATTCCACCCCAAAACCCTCTCAGAACTCCAAAATCAACTTCAAAACCCCCATATCCACCCCCAAACCCCCTCAGGACCCCCAAAATCCGCCCCAAAACCCCCCCAAAAACGAACCCCCGCCTCAACATGGCGCCGCCGCGCAAAGAACGCCGGGACTTGTAGTCCCAACACCAAGCACCGCCTACACCTCCCAGCATCCTCCGCGCCGCACAGAGGGCGTGGCCATGCAAATCACGCCGCCATTGGTCCCCGCGAATGGGCGGGGCTTTCCCCCTCGGGGAGCTCCCCGCTGTGGGCGTGGCTTAGGGCAGGACGCCACGCGATTGGCGGAGAGCGTGGGAGGGGCGGGGTTTAGCGCGCTGTCAATCACGCGGGGGCCGCGCGGGGCACGCCGGGAGCTGCCGGGGCGGCGGCGGGGCCGGGGGGAACCGGGGGGGGGGGGGGGAACGGAGGGGGAACTATGAAGAACCGGGGATCCCCCCCCGCCAACCCTTAAAAACCTCCCGCCCCTTTAAACCCCCGCCCGGTGCCTCCCCGCGACCTCCCGGTGTCCCTCCGGTACCTCCCGGTAACTCCCGGTGTTCTCCCGGTGGCCCCTCCGGTACCTCCCGCAAGCCTCGGCTGCCCTCCCGTTACCCCCGCGATCTTTCCCGGCGCCTCCGCGGTTTTCCCGGTGTTTCCCCGACCCTCGCGGTGCCTCCCCGGTAGCTCTCGGTAACCCCCGGTGACCTCCCGGTGCTTCCCCGGTTACCTCGGCGGCCGCCGGGATGTAACCGGCGTAGGCCAGCACGAAGCTGCAGAACTTATTGAAGTCCTCGATCGTTCTCCGCCGCTTTTCCGGGGGCTGCCGGTACCGGGAACCGAGTAGGGAGGAGAGAGGGGCTCACCGTGAACACCGGGATTTTCCCGTTAAACCCCCCCCAAAACCCCGGGACCCCTCCCGGTTACACCGGCAGCGGGGAAAGGATTGAGCAGCGGGGGAATCCCCGTCCCCCCACCCCTCCCGGTGCCTCCCGGTGCCTCCCGGTGCCCCCCCTCACCTGCGGTTCGCTTTTCAGCGGCGGCAGCGCTTCTGTGTAACGGGAATGGACCGGGGATCGCACCGGGAGCGGCACCGGAGCCTCCCCGGTATCGCTACCGGGGCTCCGCACGCTCCGATCCCCCCCCGGTACCGGCTCCAAACTCCCCCCCCCGTCCCGTTCCCCCCTCGGTTCTGCGCTCCCGCTGCTCCCGCTCCCTCCGGTACCGGTACCGGGACTCTGAGGGGTCCGAACCCCCCCCGGTACCGGCTCCGAACCCCCCGGTACCGGCTTTAAATCCGCTCCGGTACAGCCTCGATCTCCCCCCGGTCCTCGCTTCAAACCCCCTCCGGTACCGGCTCCAAACTCCCTCCGGTTCCTCCTCCAGCTCCCCCCCGGTACCGACTCGAAACCCCCCCGGTACCGGCTCCAAACTCCCTCCGGTAGCAGCTCGATCTCCCCCCGGTACCGCCGCTCTGAGAGCTCCAAACCCCCCCCGGTACCGGCTGCAAACTCCCTCCGGTTCCTCCTCCAGCTCCCGCCGGTACCGACTCGAAACCCCCCCGGTCACCGCTTCAAACTCCCTCCGGTACCGGTTCCAAACCCCTCCGGTACCGGCTCCAAAACCCGCCGGTCCCCGCTACAAACTCCCTCCGGTACCGGCTCCAGAACCCCCCGGTTCCCCCTCCAGCTCCTCCCGGTACCGTCTCCAGCCCCGCCCGGTTCCGCCGCTCTCCTCTCCCTTATCCCGGTACCGCCACTCCCGGTACCCCCCCCTCCCTCCCCCCGCCTTTCCATTACCGGGAGCCCAACCCCGCCGCTCCCGGCACTGCGGCGGCCGCGGCGCCGCCGCTGCGGGGCTGCCCCGCGCCGCTGCCGCGGTACCTCCGGGCTCGGCCATGGCCGCGGCCCCGCCGGGCCCCCCCCGGTTGTTCCGGGCCCCCCCCGGTGCCGCTCCCGCTCCCTCCGGTGCCGCCTCGGACCGCGCCGCCCCCGCCAGGCCCCGCCCCCGCCGGGCCCCGCCCCCGACCGCCGCGCGCATGCCCAGAACCCGCCCCCTCTGCCAGGCCACGCCCCTCTATGGGCACCGCGCTCCTCGCCGCGCTCACTTTGAGTTATACGCATGCGCAATATCTTAATTATGCAAGCCACGCCCCTCTATGGGCACAGCACTTCTCGCCGCGCTCACTTTGAGTTCTACGCATGCGCAACGTACTAGCTATGCAAACCACGCCCCCTCCGGGCTGTTCTGGTGCTCGTGGCTCATTCCAAATTTTCCCCATTCCCAAATTTCCCCCCCAAAGCCCAAATTTCCCCCCCAAATCCCAAATTTCCCCCCCAAATCCCAAAATTCCCACCCCAAATCCCAAATTTCCCACCCCAAATCCCAAATTTCCTCCCTCAAATCCCAAATTTCCTCCCTCAAATCCCAAGGTTCCAGTCGCATTCCCAAATGTGAACCACGCCCCCTTTTTTTTTTAGTCTTAGTTTGGTTTTTACGCATGCGCGCGGCGTTCATTATGCAAATAGAGCCATCGCCCCGCCCTGAGTTTGCGTTACGTGCGTCCGCAAGGCGCTCATTATGCAAACCACGCCCTCTCCTCGCCTAGTTTGGGTCCCTGTAATTAGGGCTCATTATGCAAGCCACGCCCCCTCCTCTACTAGGTTGGCGCTCTGCGCTTGGCCTTATTATGCAAGCCACGCCCTCTATTTGCATAGTATGGCATCCTGCGTTTGCGCGCGGAGCTCATTATGCAAGCCACGCCCCCACACTGCTCTTACTCTTTTCCGCATGCGCAGAAACCTCATTATTCAAACCCCGCCTCGCCACGCCCATATTTGGCAATTCACGCGCGCGCCCTTGCTCATTATGCAAACCACGCCCCCTCCGCAACACTGCGCGCGCGGCTTATTATGCAAATTACGCCCCCTTCAAGCCACGCCCACTTCCGGTCCTGGCCCTGAGGCGGCTCCGTCGCTTTTATTGGTGGGGGGGGCGGGAAAAAAAACCGGGAATGGGCAAAAAATGGGGAAAAACGGGGAAAAATCGGGAAAAAAGAGGGAAAAGCGGGGCCGGGAAGCACCGGGAGAGCCCCGGGCGGGGCGGGCTCAGGCCCCGTAGACGCTCTCGTCGCTGTAGGCGATGTAAAGGAAGAAATCCTCCTCGTGGTGTTCCTGAGGGGGAAAAAACGGGAATTAGGGGGTTAAAAATCGGGAATTCAAACCGGGAACTCGGGGGTTAAAAATCGGGAATTCAAACCGGGAATTCGGGGGTTAAAAATCGGGAATTCAAACCGGGAATTAGGGGGTTAAAAATCGGGAATTCAAAATATTTGGGATTTCCCCAGATTTTGGGGCTTTTTCCTGGGATTTTTAACACCCCATTCCTAAATTTCCTCCCCCAAATCCCATATTTTTGGGGAGAGTTTTGGGGGAGGTTTTGGGGGAAAATTTGGGGAGATTTTGGGGCAATTTTGGGTAAATTTGGGTAAATTTTGGGGAATTTTTGGGGTTAAGTTTTGAGAGGTTTTTGGAGAAATTTTGGGATTTTTGGGGAGGTTTGGGGCTGTTCTGGGGGGGGTTTGGGGATTTTTGGGGAGAATTTTGGGATTTTTGGGGAGAATTTTGTGGGAGGTTTTGGTTAAGTTTTTGGGGATTTTGGGGAGGTTGTGGGGAAGTTTTTGGGGCTGTTTTGAGATTTTTGGGGAAGTTTTTGGGAAGGTTTCAGAGTTGTTTTGGGGTTGAGAAAGTTTGGAGAATATTTTTGGGGAGGTTTTTGGCATTTTTGGGGCTGTTTTGGAGAAGATTTTGGGGAAATTTTGGGGAGGTTTTGGGGAAGTTTTAGGGAAATTTTTGGTGAGCTTTTGGGGATATTTTTGGAGAAGTTTTGGGCAGTTTTGGGGGATTTTTTGGGGCTGTTTTGGGGAGGTTTTTGGCGAAACTGTTGGGGCTCTTTTGGGGAGAATTTTGGGCATATTTTGGGGGGTTTTGGGGATATTTTGGGGAGGTTTTGGGGACTGTTTTGGGCAGTTTTTGGGGATTTTTTTGGGCTGTTTTGGGGATATTTTTGAGGCAATTTTGGGGAGATTTTGGGGCTCTTTTGGGAAGGTCTGGAGGATATTTTTGAGGCTGTTTTGGCCATTTCTTGGGGCTGTTTTGGGGAGGTTTTGGAGAGGTTTTTGGGGATATTTTTGAGGCTGTTTTGGGGATATTTTTGGAACTATTTTGGGGAGATTTTGGAGCTGTTTTGAGGAGATTTTGTGGATATTTTTGGTGTTGTTTTGGGGATGTTTTTTGGGGCTGTTTTGGGGAGTTTTTTGGGATATTTTTGGGGTTGTTTGGGGAGGTTTCGGGGATATTTTTAGGCAGGTTTTGGGGAGGTTTTGGGGAAGTTTTTGGGCAGGTTTTGGAGTTGTTTTGGGGAAGTTTTGAGAAGGTTTGGAGAATATTTTTGGGGCTGTTTTGGGGAGGTTTTGGGGATTTTTTGGAGCTGTTTTAGGGAGGTTTGGGGGATATTTTTGGGGTTGTTTGGGGAGGTTTTGGGGATATTTTTGGGGTTGTTTTGGGCAGGTTTTTGGGGCTGTTTTGGGGAGGTTATGAGGATTTTTGGGGGCTGTTTTGGGCAGGTTTTGGGCATTTTTGGGGGCTGTTTTAGGGAGGTTTTTGGGGCTGTTTTGGGCAGGTTTTGAGGATTTTTTGGGGCTGTTTTGGGCAGGTTTTTGGGGCTGTTTTGGGGAGGTTTTTGGGATATTTTTGGAGTTGTTTGGGGAGGTTTTTGGGATATTTTTGGGGTGTTTTGGGGAGGTTTTTGGGATATTTTTGGGGTGTTTTGGGGAGGTTTTTGGGATATTTTTGGGGCTGTTTTTGGGATATTTTTGGGGTTGTTTGGGGAGGTTTTGGGGATATTTTTGGGGTTGTTTTGGGGAGGTTTTGGGGATTTTTTAGGACTGTTTTGGGGATATTTTTGGGGTTGTTTTGGGGATTTTTTGTGGCAGTTGTATGGCTGTTTTGAGGAGGTTTTGGGGATTTTTTTGGGGCTGTTTTGGGGAGGATTTTGGGATATTTTTGGGGCTGTTTTAGGGAAGTTTCGGGGCTCTGGGACCTGGTAGAGCTGGCCCATGGTGGCGCTGGTGGGGGGGATGACGTTGTTGACGAAGAAGAAGAGCGCGTCCTCGGCCCGCAGGTGGATCCGCTTCCGGATCAGGAAATAGAACTGCCCCACTGAAAACACCAAAAACACCAAAAAATCAGTGAGGAAATTAAAAAAAAACAGAAAAATCAGCTCAAAAAAACTCAAAAACCAGAGAAAACCCCAAAAACAGCCTAAAAAACCCCCAAAATCAACCATAAAAAGCCCAAAATCAGCCCTAAAAACCCCCAAATCAATCCAAGAACCCCCAAAATCAACCATAAATACCCCAAAATCTACCCCAAACCCCCAAAAACAGCCTAAAAAAACCCCAAAATCAACTCAAAATCTGAGCAGAGCGGCCTCGGCCCGCAGGTGGATTCGCTTCCAGATCAGAAAATAGAATTAAATACACTAAAAACACCCAAAATACCCAAAATCAGTGAAAAAAAAAAAAAAAACAGGAAAATCAGCTCAAAAATAATAATAATAAAAAAAACTAGTGAAAATCCCCAAAATTAACCCAAAAATCCCAAAATCGCCCCTAAAAACTGAGCAGAGCATCCTTGGCCCACAGGTGGATCAGCTTCTGGATCAGGAAACAGAACTAAAAACACCAAAAACACCCCAAAATCAGTGAGAAACCCCAAAATCAACCCCAAAACCCCAAAAATTAACAAAAAAACCCCCAAAAATAAAAAAATCACCAAAAAACTACCAAATTCCACCCCAAAACCCCCAAAAATCCACCAGAAAAACTCGAAATCACCTGAAAAAAAACCGAGAAAATTTGGCAAAACCCCAAAAATGCTCAAAATAACCCAAAAAACCAAAAAATTCCTCACAAAAACCCAAATTTCCCCAAACCCCCAAAATTAAAAAAAAAATTTCCCCAAAAAATTCCCAAAATTCCCCAAAAACCCACCCCTAAACCCGCAAAAATCCACCAGAAAAACTCCAAATCACTCAAAAAAACCCCAGAAAATTGAGAAAAAAACTCAAAAAATTCCCCAAAACCCTAAAAATTCCCAAAATTCCTTCAAAAACCTCAAAATCGTACTGAAAAAAACCCTCAAATCCACCAATAAAATTCAGAATCACCCCAAAAAACCCAGAAATTTGAAAAAAAAATCACCAAAAATTCCCCAAAATTCCCAAGAAGTCCCCCCAAAATTCCCAAATTCCCCAAAATTCCCAAAATTCCCAAAATTCCAGCCCCACCTGTGAGGTCGGAGGGCACCAGGTATTTCTTCTTGTCCAGGTCCCCAATCCGGGCCTTGGGCGCCTTCTCCACGATCACCTGCAGGGAAAAATTGGGAAAATCCCTCAGATTTGGGGGGAAAACAAAAAGAATTTGTGAAGGAAAAGTTTCCTTCAGTTTGGGGAAAAAATCCTGGATTTTGTGGGGGAGAAATTTTCTTAAGTTTGGGAGACAAAAATTGGATTTTGAGGAATAAAATTTGGATTTTTGAGTCCGAATCTGCTAGGATTTTGGGGAATAAAACGCCCAGAGCTTTGGGTACAAAAATTCTTGGATTTTAGGGGAAAAAAACGGGAATTTCGGGGAAATATCCCTGGATTTTAGGGGGAAACTTCCCTGAATTTGAGGAAAATCCTCATGAATTTGGAAAAAAAAATCCCTGAATTTGGGGCGGGGGAGGGGAATCTTCCCAAGTTTGGGGACGAAATCCTGGAAATTTGGGGGAAATCCTTCTGGATTTGGGGAAAATCCCTTAAATTTAGGGATTTATGAGGAATGAATGAGGAAAACCACCTTAACTTTAAAGAAGAAAACCTCAAAAATTGAGGGAAACCCCAAAGAGACACGAAAATTTGGGGATTTTGGGGTTCTCGGGTGAAATTTTGGGGTTTTTGTGTGGAATTTTGGGGTTCTCGGGGAGGATTTTGGGTTTCCCGGATGGAATTTTGGGGTTCCTGGTGGGAATTTTGGGGCTCCTGGGTGAAATTTTGGGGTTCTCGGGGGGAATTTTGGAGTTCCAGGGTGGAATTTCGGGATTCCCGGTGGGAATTTCGGGATTCCGGGTGGGAATTTCTGTGCTCCCGGTGGGAATTTCGGGGTTCCGGGTTGGAATTTTGGGGTTCCCGAGGTGAATTTCGGGGTTCCGGGGAGGATTTTGGAGTTCCCGGATGGAATTTTGGGGTTCCTGGTGGGAATTTTGGGGCTCCTGGGTGAAATTTTGGGGTTCCCGGGGGGATTTTGGAGTTCCAGGGTGGAATTTCGGGGTTCCCGGTGGGAATTTTGGGGTTCCCGGGTGGAATTTTGAGGTTCCCAGGGGGAATTTTGGAGTTCCAGGGTGGAATTTTGGGATTCCCGGTTGGAATTTCGGGATTCCCGATGGGAATTTCTGTGCTCCCGGTGGTAATTTTGGGGTTCCGGGGTGGAATTTTGGAGTTCTCGGGGTGAATTTTGGGGTTCCCGGTGGTAATTTCAGGGTTCCCGGTTGGAATTTTGGGGTTCCCGGTGGGAATTTCAGGGTTCCCGGTGGGAATTTTGGGGTTCCCGGTTGGAATTTTGGGGTTCCCGGTGGGAATTTCGGGATTCCCGGTGGTAATTTCAGGGTTCCCGGTGGGAATTTTGGGGTTCCCGGTGGGAATTTTGGGGTTCCCGGTGGGAATTTTGGGGTTCCCGGTGGTAATTTCAGGGTTCCCGAGGTGAATTTCGGGGTTCCCGGTGGGAATTTTGGGGTTCCCGGTGGGAATTTTGGGGTTCCAGGGTGGGAATTTTGGGGTTCCCGGTGGGATTTCCGGGGCTCCCGGGGCTCCCTGAGGCGCGGCCTCACCGGCACTCGGTCCGGGTACTTCTTGCGGATCTTCTCCCCCTCGCAGCGCCGCTTCTCGAACGGGTGCTCCTCCTTGTACAGGAACTTCATGGCCGGGCCGGGCCGGGACCGGGGCCGGGGCCTGACGGGGCCGGGCCGGGACCGGGACCGGGACCGGGACCGGAGCGTCGGGAGCGCGCAGGGATACGGGCCCGCCCCGCCGCGCCTGCGCCAACGGCGTACGGCACGCCAACGGCGTAAGGAGCGCCCATTGACGGAAACGGAGCGGCGCTGCGCAAACGGCGTAAGGGAAGCGGGAGTGCCCTCAGAGCTACGAAAATAGCGTAAGGAAAGCCGGACTGCCCTCAGCGCTGCGCAAATGGCGTAAGGGAATGGGACGCGCCCTCAGAGCTACGTAAATGGCGTAACGGAACCGGGAGTGCCCTCAGAGCTGCGCAAACGGCGTAAGGGAATGGGAAGTGCCCTCAGCGCTGCGTAAATGGCGTAAGGGACTCGCCCTCAGTGCAACGACTCTTCCAGTTCGTTCCAGTTCCTCGCTGTTCCTCCCAGTTCGTCCCAGTTCATCCCAGTTCATCCCAGTTCCTTCCTAAAGCCTCCCAGGCCTTTCCCAGTCCAGCCCAGTTCCCTCCCAGCTGCTCGGAGCGGCCACGCCGGCGCTCAGGGCGCTGCGCAGACGGCGTAAGGGCGCAGCCCACAGCGCTACGCAAACTGCGTGCGGCTCATCCCGGTCCATCCCAGTTCCTCCCAGTCAGTGCCAGTCCCTTCCGAAGGCCTCCCGGAGCTCCCCCGGTTCCTCCCGGTGCCGGTAACGGGGGAGGGGTCCCGGTAGCGGGGAGGGGTCCCGGGAAGGCCCCGGGGCGGTCCCGAGCAGGCCCCGGGCGGAGGCGCGGAAGGATCCGGGCGGTGCTGCGGCCCTCATGTGACTGACGTCATGTGACTGACGTCACCGCGCGGGGAGGGTCACGTGGCAGGCGGGGACATAAACACGGGGCGCGTGAGCGAAAAGGGGGCGGGGCCAAGGCGGGGCGGGCGGAACCATTGGGGGAGAAACGGGGGGGGGGAGCCGGGTGAGTCCATTCCAGTTCATCCCAGTTCCGTTCCCAGTGCTCCCAGTTCATCCCAGTTCCATCCAAATCAATCCCAGTTCCATTCCCAGTGCTCCCAGTCCCCCCCAGTCCCTCCCAGTTCCATTCCCAGTGCTCCCAGTCCCTCCCAGTTCATCCCAGTCCCTCCCAGTTCCATTCCCAGTGCTCCCAGTTCATCCCAGTTCATCCCAGTTCCATCCAAATCAATCCCAGTTCCATTCCCAGTGCTCCCAGTTCATCCCAGTTCCCTCCCAGTTCCATTCCCAGTGCTCCCAGTCCCTCCCAGTTCATCCCAGTTCCATTCCCAGTGCTCCCAGTTCCTCCCAGTCCCATTTCCAGTATTCCCAGTTCATCCCAGTTCCATTCAAATCAATCCCAGTTCCATTCCCAGTTGTTCCCAGTTCCCCCCAGTCCCTCCCAGTTCCCTCCCAGTTCCATTCCCAGCGCTCCCAGTCCCTCCCAGTCCATCCCAGTTCATCCCAGTTCCATTCCCAGTGCTCCCAGTTCATCCCAGTTCATCCCAGTTCCATCCAAATCAATCCCAGTTCCATTCCCAGCGCTCCCAGTCCCTCCCAATTCCTCCCAGTTCCATTCCCAGTGCTCCCAGTTAATCCCAGTTCCATTCAAATCAATCCCAGTTCCATTCCCAGTCACTCCCAGTTCCCTCCCAGTCCCATTCCCAGTGCTCCCAGTTCATCCCAGTTCCATTCCCAGTGCTCCCAGTCCATCCCAGTCCCATTCCCAGTGCTCCCAGTTCATCCCAGTTCCATTCCCAGTGCTCCCACTTCATCCCAGTCCAGCCACAAACGAGACCCGAACGCTCCAATTTTGGGAAAATCCAAACTTTTATTTTCTTCCCCCAAAAATCCCGGGAAGCAGCAGAGGGAATTTGAGATTTTCCCGAAATTTGGGATATACCCCCCACCAAAAAAAAAAAAAAAAAAACAAATAAAAAAAATTGGGAATTCCAGGAAATCTGGGAATCCTCCCCCAAAAAATTGGGAATTCCCAGGAAATTTGGGATTCCCCTGACCAAAAATTGGGAATTCCCAAGAAATTTATTCCCCCAACCAAAAATTGGGAATTCCCAAGAAATTTGGGATTTCCCTGACCAAAAATTGGGAATTCCCAAGAAATTTGGTATTTCCCCGACCAAAAATTGGGAATTCCCAAGAAATTTGGGATTCCCCCCACCAAAAATTGGGAATTCCCAAGAAATTTGGGATTCCTCCCCCAAAAAATTGGGAATTCCCAAGAAATTTATTCCCCCAACCAAAAATTGGGAATTCCCAAGAAATTTGGGATTCCCCCGACCAAAAATTGGGAATTCCCAGGAAAAAATTTGGGAATTTGGGGTCTCACCCCAAGGAACTTTGGGCCCACTTGGCCATTTTGGGGCCCCCCATGGAATTTGGGATTTCCCACCAAAATTCGGGAATTTGGGGTCTCATCCCATGGAATTTTGGGCCCCCTCAGGATTTTGGGACCCCCAAAATTGGGGAATTTCCCTCAGGCCGCCCGTCCCAGTAACACCAGTGGCACCAGTAAGGGGTTGAGGGGGGGGCACTGGGGGGGCTCGGGGCTCTGGGGGGGCTCTCGGGGGGCGCTCAGGGACCCCCAAAGCCGCCGGAGCCGCCGCCGGAGCCCCCCCGGAGCTCCCAGTGCTCCCAGTTCGGCCGGCAGCGCTCCCAGTAAGGCCAGAACCACCGCGGCCTCTGCGGGGGGGGAAAAGGGGTTAGTACCCCCCAAAATGGGAATGGCAACCCCCGAAATGGGAATGGAACGTCCCCAGTTTGGGACTGGGAACCCCAAAATGGGACTGGGAACCCCCAAAATTGGAATGGAACCTCCCCAGTTTGAACTGGGAACCCCAAATTTTAACTGGGACCCCCCAGTTTGGGACTGGGATTGGCCCAGTTTGGAACTGGGACCCTCCCAGTAAGGACAGAACCACCGCGGCCTCTGCGGGGGGGGAAAAGGGGTCAGCACCCCCCGAAATGGGAATGGAACCTCCCCAGTTTAAACTGGGAACCCCAAAATGGGATTGGGAACCCCCAAAATTGGAATGGAACCTCCCCAGTTTGAACTGGGACGCTCCCAGTAAGGCCAGAACCACCGCGGCCTCTGCGGGGGGGGAAAAGGGGGTTAGTACCCCCCGGAATGGGAATGGGAGCCCCCAAATGGGAATGGAACCTCCCCAGTTTGAACTGGGAACACCAAAATGGGATTGGGAACCCCCAAAGTGGGATTGGGAACCCCAAAATGGGACTGGGAACCCCCAAAATTGGAATGGAACCTCCCCAGTTTGGGACTGGGAACCCCCAAAATGGGACTGGGAACCCCCAAAATGGGATTGGGAACCCCCAAAATTGGAATGGAACCTCCCCAGTTTGAACTGGGAACCCCAAAATGGGACTGGGAACCCCCAAAATGGGAATGGAACCTCCCCAGTTTGAACTGGGAACTCCCAAATGGGATTGGAACCCCCAAAATTGGAATGGAACCTCCCCAGTTTGAACTGGGACCCTCCCAGTAAGGCCAGAACCACCGCGGCCTCTGCGGGGGGGGGAGGAAAAGGGGTCAGCACCCCCCGAAATGGGAATGGAACATCCCCAGTTTGGGACTGGGAACCCCCAAATGGGATTGGGAACCCCAAAATGGGACTGGGAACCCCTAAAATGGGACTGGGAACCCCTAAAATGGGTCAGCACCCCCCGAAATGGGAATGGAACCTCCCCAGTTTGGGACTGGGAACTCCCAAAATGGGACTGGGAACCCCCAAAATGGGAATGGAACCTCCCCAGTTTGAACTGGGACCCTCCCAGTAAGGCCAGAACCACCGCGGCCTCTGCGGGGGGGGGAAAAGGGGTTAGTACCCCCCGAAATGGGAATGGGAACCCCCGAAATGTGACTGGGAACCCCTAAAATGGGATTTGGAACCCCCAAAATGGGACTGGGAACCCAAAAATGGGACTGGGAACCTCAAATTTGAACTGGGACCCCCCAGTTTGAACTGGGAACCCCCAAAATGGGATTTGGAACCCCCAAAATGGGAATGGGAACCCCTAAAATGGGAATGGAACCTCCCCAGTTTGGGACTGGGAACCCCAAAATGGGATTTGGAACCCCCAAAATGGGACTGGGAACCCCAAAATGGGATTTGGAACCCCCAAAATGGGATTGGGAACCCCAAAATGAGACTGGGAACCCCAAAATGGGAATGGGACCCCCAAATTTTGCTCCTCCCCCACATTCCCACCCCCCCCCCCCCAATTTTTTGGGACCTCCCCCCCCCTCCTTAAAATTTGGAACCTCCCGAATTTTTGGGATTTCTCACCTGAAATTTTGGGATTTCTGCTCACAAATTTTTAGGATTTCCCCCCCCGAATTTTTGGGATTTCCCCCTTAAATTTTTGGGATTTCTCTCCCAAATTTTTGAGATTTCCCCCCCACATTTTTGGGATTTCCTCCCCAAATTTTTGGGATTTCCTCCCCGAATTTTTGGGATTTCCCCCCTAAATTTTGGTCCCTCCCAGTTCTGCCCTCCCCCCACCCCAAAACTTTTGGGGACCCCCCTCAATTCCCACCCCCTTTTCCCCCCAAAAAAATTCCCCCCCACTTCCCCTTAATTTTTGGGATTTCCCCCCCTAATTTTTGTTCTCTCTCCCAAATTTTTGGGATTTCTCCCTGATTTTTGGGATTTCCTCCCCCTCACATTTTTGGGGATCCCCAAATTTTGGGGTTCCCCCCCCCCCACTCACCTGCGGGGGGCAGGGGGGGCCCCTCCCCCCCCGCGCTGATCCGCGCCAGGAATTCGTAAATCTTCCCAAAATCCACCTCAAAACCCCCATGATTTTGGGGTGACCCCGAATTTTGGGGGGTCTCCACCTCCGGGGGGGTCTCCGAATTTTGGGGTGACCCCAAATTTGGGGGTGACCCCGAATTTTGGGGGGTTCTGGAGCAGGCGAGGGTCAGGGGCTCGGTGGCCGCCAGTGTCAGCACCTGGGGGGATTTTTGGGGTTTTTTTTTGGGTTTTTTTTTATTTTGGGGGGTTTCACCCCAAATTTGGGGTGGGGGGATTTGGGGGAGCCCCCCCTGAACCCCAAAATCCCCCCCGGGTCCCTCACCTGGGAGAAGGCGGCTCTGGGGGGTCCCTCCAGGGCTCCTCCCACGAGGGTCTCAGCCAAGTCCTGCCACACCTGGGGAGACAAAATCGGGGTGGGAACCCCAAAATCGGACAAAAAACCCCAAAATCCGGGTTTGGAACCCTAAAAATCAGGTTGGGAGCCCCAAAATCGTCCAAAAACCCCCAAAAATCGGGGTGGGAACCCCAAAATCGGACAAAAAAACCCCAAAAATCTGTTTGGGAACCCCAAAATCGGACCAAAAAATCCCAAAACTGCCCCGGAACCCCAAAAATCAGCACTGGAACCCCAGAAACAGGGTTGGGAACCCCAAAATCAGACCAAAAAACCTCAAAATCTGGGTTTGGAACCCCAAAAATCAGGTTGGGAGCCCCAAAATCATCCAAAAACCCCCAAAAATTGGGGTGGGAACCCCAAAATCAGACAAAAAAAATCCCAAAAATTAGGTTGGGAACCCCAAAAATCAGCCAAAAATCCCCAAATCAGCCCTGGAACCCCAAAAATCCACACTGGAACCCCAAGATCAGCCAAGGAACCACAGAAACAGCCAAAAGCCCCTAAAATTGGGTTGGGAACCCCAAAATTCTGGTTGGGAATCCCAAAAACCAGCCCTGGAATGCCAAAATCAGCCAAAAAACCCCAAAAATCAGGTTGGGGACCCCAAAAATGAGGCTGGGAACCCCAAAATTCCCAACTCAGGACCCCCCAAAATCCCCCCTAAATCTCCCAAAATCCCCCCAAAATTCCCCAAATGCCCCCAAAATTCCCCAAAATCCCCCCAAACCTGGATGGGGGCGCGGATCCAGCGCTGGAATTGCAGAAAATTCCGGAATTTGGAGCTCAGGACCCCCCAAACTCCCCCAAAATTTCCCAAAATCCCCCCCAAATCCCCCAAAATTCCCCAAATTCTCCAAACCTGGATGGGGGCGCGGATCCAGCGCTGGAATTGCAGAAAATTCCGGAATTTGGAGCTCAGCGCCTCCCGGGCCGCCCGGCCCCGCAGCCGCACCAGCAGCGCCCGGATCTGCCAAAATTTGGGGCAAAATCGGCATTTTTGGGGCTCCCCGAAATCTTGGGGGGGATGGGAACTCCTGGGGACCCCAAAGTTTTGGGGGTTTTCCTTAAAATTCCACCAGAAATCCAGAAATTATTTGGGAATTGTTTCCCATCCCCATCCCCGTAAAATTCTTCCTCTCAGGAACCAAAAATTTTGGGGATTGCCAAAAATTCCACCCCCAAGGAAGCCAAAATTCCCTCCCCAAGAGGCCAAAATTTTGGGGATTCCCAAATTTTTTGGGAATTTTGGGGACTCTGGGAGGAATTTTGGGGTCCCTGAGGGGATTTTTGGGGTCCTTGAGGGGAATTTGGGGCTCTGGGAGGAATTTTGGGGTCCCTGAGGGGAATTTTTGGGTTTCTGAGAGGAAATTTTGGGTCTCTGAGGGGAATTTTGGGATCCCTGAGGGAAGTTTTGGGGTTTCTGAGAGGAATTTTTGTTTTTCTGAGGTGAATTTGGGGTCTTTGAGGGGAAATTTTGGGGTCCCTGAGAGAAATTTTGGGGTTTCTGAGAGGAATTTTTGTGTTTCTGAGGTGAATTTGGGGTCCCTGAGGGGAATTTTGGGGTCTCTGAGAGGAATTTTGGGGTCCCTGAGGGGAATTTGGGGTCTCTGAGGGGAATTTTGGGGTCTCTGAGAGGAATTTTGGGGTCCCTGAGGGGAATTTGGGGTCTCTGAGGGGAATTTTGGGGTCCCTGAGGGGAATTTGGGGTCTCTGAGAGGAATTTTGGGGTCCCTGAGGGGAATTTGGGGTCTCTGAGGGGAATTTTGGGGTCCCATAGAGAAATATTGGGGTTTCTGAGAGGAAATTTTGGGTCTCTGAGGGGAATTTTGGGTTTCTGAGAGGAATTTTTGGGTCTCTCAGCGGAATTTTGGGGTGTTTGAGAGGAAAATTTGGAAAACCCTGAGGGGGAAATTTGGGAATCCCTGAAGGGGGAATTTTGGGGGTCCCTGAGGAAGAAATTTGGGGTCTTTGAGGGGAATTTGGGCGTTTCTGAGTGAGAATTTTGGGGATCTCTGAGGGGAATTTTGGTGTCCCTGAGGGGGAAATTTGGGGGTTTCTGAGAGGGAATTTTGGTGTCCCTGAGGGGGAAATTTGGGGTCCCTGAGGGGAATTTTGGGGTTTTTGAGGGGGAAATTTAGGGATCCCTGAGGAGGAAATTTAGAGATTCCTGAGGGAGGAATCTGGGGCTTTCTGAGAGGAAAATTTGGGGTCTTTGAGAGCAGAATTTGGGGATTTCTGAGAAAGAATTTCAGGAGTCTTTGACAGGGAAATTTGGGCAAACCTGATGGGAATTTTGGGGTCTTTGAGGGGGAAATTTGGGGATTTCTGAGGAGGGAATTTAGAGATTCCTGAGGGGGGAAATTTGGGGTCTTTGAGGGGGAAATTTGGGCATTCCTGAGGGGAATTTTGGGGGCCGCTGAGGGGGAAAATTTGAGATCCCTGAGGGGGGAATTTTGGGGTATTTGAGAGGAAAATTTAGGAAATCCTGTGGGGGAAATTTGGGAACTCCTGAAGGGGGAATTTTGGTGATCCCTGAGGGCGGAATTTGGGAATCCCTGAGGAGAATTTTGGAGATCCCTGAGAGGGAAATTTGGGGGTCCCTGAGGGGAATTTTCTGGGGTCCCTGAGGGGGGAAATTTGGGAATCCCAGAGGGCAGAATTTGGGGGTTCCTGAAGGGGAAATTTGGGAATCCCTGTGGGGGGAATTTTGGGATTTCTGAGGGGAAATTTGGGGTCTTCGAGGACGGAATTTTGGGATCTTTGACAGGAAAATTTAGGAAACACTGAGGGGAAAATTCGGGCATCTCTGAGGGGGGAATTTGGAGATCCCTGAGGGCGGAATTAAGAGGTTTTTAAGATAAAATTTTGGGGTATTTGAGGGGGGAATTTGCAGATCCCTGAGGGCGGAATTCGGGGTTTTATGAGGAGAATTTCAGGGATCCCTGAGGGCGATTTTGGGGCTTCCCGGGTGGAACCTCCCGGGCTCTCCCCGACCCTTCCAGACGCTCCGAGGGTCTCCTGTGCCCACCCCCGTCCCTCCTTCCCTCCCTCCCCACCTCCTCCTCGCTCCTGCGGGGCAGCCGCTCCCTCAGCGCCGCCGGCAGCCGCTGCTCGGGGAGGCCGCGCACAGCCTCATCCCGCAGCGCTTTTAGCAGCTCCCGCTTCTCCCGCAGCCCCCACGGGCTTTGTTGAGGCCGCTCGGGGCTGGGCGAGAGCCTCGCGAAGCGCGCCGGGATCAGGCGGAGCCGCCGCGGCGGTTTCATGGCGGCGGTTCCATCATGGCGGCGGCTTCTCCCTCACGGCCACAAAATGGCGGCCGCGTCTTCTTGGCGCGCCGCGTGTGACGTCACAAATTGGGCGGGAACCCCAAAATCGGACCAAAATCATCCAAGGAACACCAAAATTAGCCAAAAAAAACCCAAAAATCAGGTTGGGAACCCCAAAATCAGCCAAAATAATCCCAAACTCTGGGTCTGGAACCCCAAAAATCAGGTTGGGAGCCCCAAAATCATCCAAAAACCCCAACAAATTGAGGTGGGAACCCCAAAAATCAGCCAAAAAACCCCAAAATTAACTTGGGAACCCCAAAAATAAGCCAAGGAACCCCAAAAATCGGGTTGGGAACCCCAAAATCAGCCAAAAATCCCCAAAAATTGGGGTGGGAACCCCAAAATTGGACCAAAAAGCCCCAAAACTGCCCTGGAACCCCAAAAATCAGCACTGGAACCCCAGAAACCGGGTTGGGAACCCCAAAATCAGCAAAAAATTCCCCAAATCGGGAAAATAAAACCCCAAAATCTGAGTTTGGAACCTCAACATCAGCCAAAAAACCCCAAAAATCATCCAAGGAACACCAAAATTAGCCAAAGAAGCCCAAAAATCAGGTTGGGAACCCCAAAAATCAGCCAAAAAATCCCAAACTCTGGGTTTGGAACCCCAAAAATCAGGTTGGGAGCCCCAAAATCAGCCAAAAACCCAAAAAAATTGAGGTGGGAACCCCAAAATCGGACCAAAAAACCCCAAAACTGCCCTGGAACCCCAAAAATCAGCACTGGAACTCCAGAAACCGGGTTGGGAACCCCAAAATCAGCCCAAAAAAATCCCAAACTCTGGGTTTGGAACCCCAAAAATCAGGTTGGGAGCCGCAACGTCACAAAGGGGCGACGGCGCCACTCGGCTGCTCCGGACAGCGCCCTCTAGCGGCGCGGAGGACTCAAAGCGCGGGGGGAATTTGGGGAGGGGGCTGCGTTTATTTTGGGGGGAAAACCCCGAAATTTGGGGGCGTTGGGGGGGTTTACAAGGGGGTCTCGGGGGTTTTTTCGTCGTCCGGGGGGCAGTCGATGAAGTCGGCCAGCATGGTGGTGGTCTCGTCCCGCTCCTCCTGCTTCCAAAATGGAGACCCCGCCTCAGTTTTTGGCGGGAATTCGCCTCAGAATTCCCGATTAGGACCCCAAAATTCCCGATTGGGATCCCAAAATTCCCGATTGGGACCCCAAAATTCCCGATTGGGACCCGAAATTTCCGAATGGGACCCCAAAATTCCCGATTGGGACCCAAAATTCCCAAATGGGACCCCAAAATTCCTGAATGGGACCCCAAAATTCCCGATTAGGACCCAAAATTCCCAAATGGGACCCCAAAATTTCCGATTGGGACCCAAAATTCCCAAATGGGACCCCAAAATTCCCGATTGGGACCCCAAATTCCCGAATGGGACCCCAAAATTCCCGAATGGGACCCCAAAATTCCCGATTGGGACCCGAAATTCCCGATTGGGACCCCAAAATTCCCGATTGGGACCCCAAAATTCCCGAATGGGACTCAAAATTCCTGATTAGGACCCAAAATTCCCGAATGGGACCCCAAAATTCCCGAATGGGATCCCAGAATTTCCTCCCTTCAAACCGCATCTGGAGATCCTTGTGCTTGACAGGGCCACCCCAAAATCTCCCCTAAAATCTCCCTCAGGACCCCCAAATTCCCCCAAAATCTCCCTCAGGACCCCCAAATTCACCCAAAATCTCCTTCAGGACCCCCCAAATTCCCCCCAGGATCCCCAAATTCCCCCCAAAATCCCCCCCAGGATGCCCCAAAAACCCCAAATCCTCCTCAGCACTCCCAAATTCCCCCTCGGGACCTTCAAAATTCCCTCAAATCCCCCTCAGGACCCCCCAAATCCCCCTCAGGACCCCCTAACTTCCCCCAAATTCCCCCTCGGGACCCCCAGAATTTCCTCAAATCCCCCCCAGGACCCCCAAATTCCCTCAAATCCCCCTCAGAACCCCCCAAATCTGCCTCAGGACCCCCCAAAAATTCCCAAATCCCCCCCAGGATGCCCAAATTCCCCCAAAATCCCCCCCCAGGGTCCCCCAAATCCCCCCCAGGACCCCCCAAAAACCCCAAATCCCCCCCAGGACCCCCAAAATCTCCCTCAAATCCCCCCCAGGACCCCCCAAAACCCACCTCAGGACCCCCCAAAACCCCCAAATCTCCCCCAAATCCCCCCTCCCCCCCCCGTTACCTGCTCCGTGCCCGGGGGGGGCTCCGGGGGCTCCTCCTGCAGGGGTGGGGGAGGGGCGGGGGGGGAGGGGCGGGGGCTGAGACCCCCGGCGGGGGGGGGGAGGGGAGGGGTGGGGGGCGGCCTCGAGGGCGGGGGGGGGAGGGGCGGCCTCGGGGTGGGGGAGGGGCTCTGGGGGCGGGCTGGGTGGGGGAGGGGCGGGCTGGGGTTGGGGGAGGGGCGGCGCTGCTTCCTCCCCCTCCTCCTCTTCCTCCTCATCCCTCGGGGGGTGGGGGAGGGGCTCGGGGGGGGCTTCGGGGGTGGGGGAGGGGCGGGAGGAGCTTCGTCCACCTCCATGAGGAGCAGCGCCCCTCCCCCACCGCCTTCAGCCGGCCCCTCCCCCGCTGCTTCCTCCTCATCTTCCTCCTCCTCCTCCTCCTCCTCGGACAGCCCCTCCCCCTCCTCTTCCTCCTCGAACTCCTCCTCCTCCTCCTCCTCGAACTCCTCCTCCTCCTCCTCCTCCTCTTCCTCAAACTCCTCCTCTTCCTCCTCAAAGAATTCCTCCTCCTCCTCCTCCTCTTCCTCACCGAATTCCTCCTCCTCTTCCTCCTCCTCCTCCTCCTCGCTGCTGTTGATGTTGATCACCGCCGGCCCCTCCCCCACCCCCCCCTCCTGCCCCTCCCCCACTTCTCCCCCCTCCCCTCCCCCACTCTGCCCCTCCCCCTCCTTTTCCTCCCCCTCCCCTTTCCCCTCCCCCTCCTGGGGTGGCTCCGGCGCGGCGGGGGGGGTGGGGGGAGGCGGGGGAGGGGGCGGTGGGGGAGGGGGCGGAGGTGGGGGAGGGGCGGCCACCCCTCCCCCCAGCCCGGGGGGGAAATTGGGGCTTTTTTTGGGCACGATCACCACGGAATCGTCGGAGTCGCTCTCCAGGGAAATCTCCACGTCCGACGGCTCCTCCCGCTCGTAGTGCACGAACACCGGGCGGCGCGGCCGCGCCCCTCCCCCACCCCCCGGCGCCCCTCCCCCACCCGGACCCTCCCCCTCCCCCCCTGAGACAGCAGCCGGTGGGGGGAGGGGCGGCGGTTCCGCTTTGCCGCCCCCCGGGAATGGAGGGGGAGGGGGAGGGGGGAGGGGGGAGGGGAGGTCGGAGGGGTTGGGTGGGGGGAGGGGGCGGAAGGGAGGGGGAGGGGAGTGGGGGGAGGGGCCCGAGGGGGGAGGGGAGGGCGCGGGGGGCAGCCACGGGCGGCAGAGGGCGCTGGAGAGCAGCAGGAGCGACTCGCGGCACTGCGAGGAGACCTGGGGGAGGGGAGGGAAAAATTGGGGTGGGGGAGGGAGAAATTGGGGGGAAAGGGGGGAGGGGAGAGAGAAATGGGGGAGGGGGAGGGAAATGGGGGAGGTGAGAGAAATTGGGGTGGGGGAGGGAGAAATTGGGGTGGGGGAGGGGAGACAGATGGGGGAGGGGAGGGGAAAGAAATGGGGGAGGGGAGAGAGAAATTGGGGTGGGGGAGGGAAATGGGGGAAGGGACAGAGATTTTTGGGGTGGGGGAGGGGAGGGAGAAATGGGGGAGGGGAGAGGGAAATGGGGGAGGGGAGGGAAATGGGAAAGGGAAATTGGGGTGGGGGAGGGGAGAGGTGGGGGAGGGGAGGGAGAAATTGGGGTGGGGGAGGAGAGGGGAAAGAAATGGGGGAGGGGAGGGAAATGGGGGAGAGAAAAAAGGGGGAGGGGAGGGGAGGGAAATGGGGGAGGGGAGAGAAATTGGGGTGGGGGAGGGAGAAATTGGGGGGAGAGGGAAATGGGGGAGGGGAGAGAGAAATTGGGGAGGGGAGAGAGAAATGGGGGAGGGGAGAGAAAAATCATCAGGTGAGAGATGGAAATTGGGGGAGGGGGAGTTTGGGATATTTTGGGGAGAATTTGGGGATAATTTGGGGTAATTTTGGCATATTGTGGGGTAATTTTGGGATATTTTGAGGATATTTGAGAGAGATTTTGGGGATAATTTGGGAATATTTCAGGGATATTTTCAGGATAATTCGGGGATATTTTGGGGATAATTTGAGGATAAATTTGGGGTATTTTGGGGCTCTCACCTGCACGTCAGGGTCGCGCTGGCCCTGCCCGAAGGCCCGCAGGGCGCAGTGCAGGGGGTGTTTTGGGAATTATTTGGGGATAATTTCTGGATATTTTGGGAATTATTTGGGGATATTTCAGGGCTATTTCAGGGGTATTTTTGGGGACAATTTGGGATATTTCAGGGCTCTCACCTGCACGTCGGGGTCGCGCTGGCCCTGCCCGAAGGCCCGCAGGGCAGTATAATTTGGTGATATTTCAGGGATATTTCAGGGATATTTTGGTGATATTTCAGGTATAATTTGGGGATATTTTTGGGGATAATTTGGGATATTTTGGGGCTCTCACCTGCACGTCGGGGTCGTGCTGGCCCTGCCCAAACGCCCGCAGGGCGCAGTGCAGGGGGTGTTTTGGGGATAATTTGGGGATATTTTGGGTATATTTCAGGGATATTTTGGGGCTATTTCGGGGATATTTTAGGGATATTTCAGGGATATTTCAGGGATATTTTTGGGGTATTTCGGGGCTCTCACCTGCACGTCGGGGTCGCGCTGGCCCTGCCCGAACGCCCGCAGGGCGCAGTGCAGGGGGGTATAATTTGGGGATATTTTGGGGATATTTTCAGGGATATTTCAGGGATATTTTGGGGATAATTTGAGGATAAATTCGGGATATTTCAGGGATATTTTCAGGATAAATTTGGGATATTTTTGTGATAATTTGGGGATATTTTCAGGATAATTTGACAATATTTTGGGAATTATTTGGGGATATTTTCAGGATATTTCAGGGATATTTTGGGGATAATTTGAGGATAAATTTGGGATATTTCAGGGATATTTTGGGGATATTTCACGGATATTTTCAGGATAATTTGGGGCTATTTTGGGAATTATTTGGGAATATTTTGGGTGTATTTCAGGGATATTTTTGGGGTGTTTTGGGGCTCTCACCTGCACATCAGGGTCCCTCTGGCCCTGCCCGAAGGCCCGCAGAGCGCAGTGCAGGGGGGGTGCGGCCCCCGGGGGGGCCCCGAGCAGCAGCGCCTGCAGCAGCCCGTAGAGCGCCCCCCGGCAGCGGGAACTGGCGTAGGGGGACCCCGAAACCGGGACGGGGCCCCCCGAAATCTCCAGCGGGACGGTCTGGGGCAGGCGCAGCGCCAGCGGCACCACCAGCTCCTGCAGGCGCTGCGGGGGGAAATGGAAATGGGGGGGTTAATTCAAATATTGGGGGGAATTCAAATATCGGGGGGAAATGGGGAAAATTGGGGGAAAAAGCCCAAAATTGGGGTGGGAGAGATGGAAATTGGGGAGAAAAAACCCAAAATTGGGGGGAAATAGTCAAAAACTGGGGGTAAATAGTAAAAAATTGGGGTGAGAGAGACAGAAATGGGGGGAATTAATTCAAATATCGGGGGGAAATGGGGAAAATTGGGGTGAGAGAGATGGAAATGGGGGGGAAAAAGTCCAAAATTGGGGTGAGAGAGATGGAAATGGGGGGGAATTAATTCAAATATTTGGGGGAAATTCAAATATCGGGGTGAAATAGTCAAAAATTGGGGTGAGAGAGACAGAAATCGGGGGGAGAAAGTCCAAAATTGGGGGGAAAAAGTGAAAATTGGGGTGAGACAGCCAAAAATCGGAGGGGAAATTCAAATATCGGGGGGAAATTCAAATATCGGGGGAAAAAGTCCAAAATTGGGGTGAGAGAGACGAAAATCGGGGGGAAAAAAGTCCAAAATTGGGGGGAAAAAGTCCAAAATTGGGGTGAGAGAGACGAAAATGAGGGGGGAATTCAAATATTGGGGGGAAATAGTCAAAAATTGGGGTGAGAGGGACGGAAATGGGGGGAAATTAATTCAAATATTGGGGGGAAATTCAAATATCGGGGGGAAAAGTCCAAAATTGGGGTGAGAGAGACGGAAATGGGGGGGAATTAGCCAAAAATTGGGGTGAGAGAGATGGAAATCGGGGGGAAAAGTCCAAAATTGGGGGGAAAAAGTGAAAATTGGGGTGAGACAGCCAAAAATCGGGGGGGAAATTCAAATATCGGGGGGAATTCAAATATCGGGGGGAAATGGGGAAAATTGGGGTGAGAGAGATGGAAATGGGGGGAAATAAATTCAAATATCGGGGGGAAATTCAAATATCGGGGTGAGAGAGACGGAAATTGGGGGGATTAATTCAAATATTGGGGGGAAATTCAAATATCAGGGGGAATTCAAATATCGGGGGGAAATAGTCAAAAATTGAGGGGAACAAGTCCAAAATTGGGGGGAAAAAGTCCAAAATTGGGGTGAGACAGCCAAAAATCAGGGGAAAATTCAAATATTGGGGGGAGACAGCCAAAAATGGGGCGGAAATAAAAATATTGGGGAGAAACGTGGAAATTTGGGGTGAGAGAGACGAAAATCGGGGGAAACTGAAATATCGGGGGGAAACGTGGAAAATTGGGGGGAAAAAGCCAAAAATCAGGGGGGAAATTAAAATATCAGGGGGAAACGTGGAAAATCCCCCCAAATCCCCCCAAATTCCCCCCAAAATCCTCCCAAATTCCCCCAAAAATTCTCCCAAAATCCTCCTAAATCCCCCCAAACTCCCCCCCGAATTTCTCCCAAAATCCTCCCAAATCCCCCCAAATCACCCTAAAATCCTCCCCAAATCCCCCTGAAATCCCCCCAAAACCCCCTCAAATCCCCTAAATCCTCCCAAATCCCCCAAAATCTCCCCAAAATCCCCCAAATTCTCACCCTGTGCGTCTCCTCCTTGATCAGGGGTCCCCCCGTGAGGACGATCCTGCGCAGGGCTGGGGGGGAACCCCAAAATTTGGGTTTTTTTACATTTTGGGGACCCCTCCCCAATTCCTGACCCCACCCAGGGAGGTTTGGGGGGTCCTGGGGGAATTTTGGGGGTCCCAGGGGAATTTTGGAGCCGTTTTTGGGAGTTCTGGGGGGGATTTGGGGGTCCTGGGGGGATTTTTTTGGGGTCCCGGGCTGATTTTGGGGGGATTTCGGGGGGATTTGGGTACCAGGAGCTGATTTTTGGGGTTCCTGAGCTGATTTGGGGCAGTTTTGGGGGTGATTTTGGGGTGATTTGGGAGGATTTGGGCTGGTTTTGGGGGGATTTGGGAGATTTTGGGGCGATTCAGGGGTTTTAGGCCATTTTTGGGGTAATTTTGTTGGTTTTGGGCTGTTTTGGGGCTGATTTTGACATTTTTGGGAATTCTTGGGGGTGATTTTGGGATTTTTTGGGCTGATTCTGTTGTTTTTGGGATTTTTGGGGCTGCTTTTGATGTTTTTGGGACTGATTTTGTTGTTTTTGGGGATTTTTGGGGCTTATTTTGTTGTTTTCGGGGCGTATTTTTCAGTTTTCGGGGGTTTTTGGGGCGGATTTGTTGTTTTTGGCGCTGATTTTGTTGTTTTTGGGGATTTTTGGGGCGGATTTTTCAGTTTTCGGGGGTTTTTGGGGCTGATTTTGTCATTTTTATGGATTTTTGGGGCAGATTTTTCAGTTTCCGGGGCCAATTTGGGGATTTTTGGGCCGATTTTATTGGTTTCGGGGTGGATTTTTCAATTTTCAGGGATTTTTGGGGCGGATTTTGTTGTTTTTGGCGTTTACCTGCCAGGGCGGCGGCGCAGGTGTCGCTGTTGGCCGCCGGTTCCCCTTTGCGGTGCAGGGGGGGCCCCTCCAGCCCCTCCCCCAATTTCGGCCGTTTGGGGGCGCTGGGTTTGGGCTCCGCCCGCAGCTGCCGAAAAATGGGGGTCAGGGGGGGAATTTTGGGGGGATTTGGGGGGATTTTGGGGAAATTTTGGGGTTTAGGGGGGATTTTGGGGGGATTTTGGGAGGGGATTTTGGGGTCGGGGGGATTTGGGGAGGTTTGGGGAGGGGATTTTGGGGGAATTTGGGGAGGGGATTTTGGGGTTGGGGGAATTGTGGGGGGATTTTGGGGGTTTTGAAGAGGGGAATTTGGGGTCAGGGGAATTTGGGGGGATTTTGGGGAGGGGATTTTGGGGGGTTTAGGGGAGGAATTAGGCCATTTTGGGGTAAAAAAGGGAGATTTTGAGGTGAAAAATGAAGATTTTTGGGGGGAAAAAAGGTGGGTTTTGGGTGGAAAAGGGACGTTTTGGGGGGGAAAAGGAGGTTTTGGTGAAAAAGGGAAGTTTTGGGGCAAAAAAGGGCAGTTTTGGGGCAGAAAAAGTAGAGTTTTGGGGTGAAAAAGGGCAGTTCTGGGGAAAAAGGGAAATTTCAGGGTATAAAAGGGAGATTTTAGGGTACAAAACCACAGTTTTGGGTGGAAAAGGGAGATTTAGGGGTGAAAAAGGGCATTTTTGGGGCAGAAAAAGGGCAGTTTTGGTGAAAAATGGCAATTTCGGGGAAAAAGGGAAATTTTGGGGTGAAAAGGGCATGTTTTGAGGCAGAAAATGGCAGTTTTAGGGAAAAGGGAGGTTTTGGAGTAAAAAAGGGCAGTTTTTGGGTGGAAAAAGATGATTTTGGGGTGAAAACGGGTGGTTTTGAGGTAAAGAAAGGAGAGATTTTGGGGTAAAAAGGACAGTTTTGGGTGGAAAAAGGGAAGTTTTGGGGGAAAGGGCGATTTTGGGGTAAAAAAGGGGGTTTTTGGCTGACCTTGGCCCCCTCGCTGGGGGGGCTGATGTCGCTGATCAGGTGGGACAGGAGAACCTCGCCGGGGGTCCCGGGGCCCTGCAGGACCCCCGAGGCCGCGCCGGCCACCTGCACCCAGAGCTCCAGGACCTGGTACAGGCGGCTCCGCACCGCCCTGGGCACCCCAAAAATCAACTCAGGGACCCCAAAAACCCCAAAAACCGCCCCAAAAAACAGCCCAAAACCCACCAAAAACACCCCAAAAAAACCGAAAAACACCAAAAACCAGCCCAAAACCCCCCCTGCACCCAGAGCTCCAGGACCTGGTACAGGCGGCTCCGCACCGCCCTGGGAACCCCAAAAATCAACTCAGGGACCCCAAAAACCCCAAAAACCGCCCCAAAAAACAGCCCAAAACCCACCAAAAACACCCCAAAAAAACCGAAAAACACCAAAAACCAGCCCAAAACCCCCCCTGCACCCAGAGCTCCAGAACCTGGTACAGGCGGCTCCGCACCGCCCTGGGCACCCCGAAAATCAACTCGGGGACCCCAAAAACCCCAAAAACCACCCCAAAAACCCCCAAAACCGCCCCAAAAAACCCCAAAAACCTCAAAAACCATCCCAAAAACCCAAAAAAACCCCAAAAATCACCAAAAAACCCACCCCGAAACCCCACCTGCACCCAGAGCTCCAGGACCTGGTACAGGCGGCTCCGCACCGCCCTGGGAACCCCAAAAACCTCAAAAACCACCCCAAAAACCGCCCCCAAAACCCCTAAAAACCCAAAAAAACATCCGAAAAAAACCAAAAACCTCAAAAACCACCCCAAAAACTCCAAAAAACAGCCCAAAAACCCACCCCTGCACCCACAGCTCCAGGACCTGGTACAGGCGGCTCCGCACCGCCCTGGGAACCCCAAAAACCCCAAAAACCTCAAAAACCACCCCAAAAACCCCAAAAACATCAAAATCCACCCCAAAAACCTCAAAAAACACCCCAAAAAACCCAAAAAACAGCCAGAAAACCCCAAAAAACACCCCCTGCACCCACAGCTCCAGCACCTGGTACAGGCGGCTCCGCACCGCCCTGGGAACCCCGAAAATCAACTCGGGGACCCCAAAAACCCCAAAACCGCCCCAAAAACCCCATAAACCACCCCAAAAAACCCCAAAAATACCAAAAATCACCCAAAAACTCACCCCAAACCCCCCCTGCACCCAGAGCTCCAGGACCTGGTACAGGCGGCTCCGCACCGCCCTGGGAACCCCAAAAATCAACTCGGGGACCCCAAAAACCCCAAAAACCGCCCCAAAAACCTCAAAAACCGCCCCAAAAAACCCCAAAAACCACCAAAAACAACCCAAAAACCCCAAAAATCACCCAAAAACTGCCCCTGCACCCAGAGCTCCAGGACCCGGTACAGGCGGCTCCGCACCGCCCTGGGAACCCCAAAAATCAACTCAGGGACCCCAAAAACCCCAAAACCCACCCCAAAAAAACCCAAAAAACCCAAAAAACAGCCCAAAAACCCACCCCAAACCCCCCCTGCACCCAGAGCTCCAGCACCTGGTACAGGCGGCTCCGCACCGCCCTGGGAACCCCAAAAATCAACTCGAGGACCCCAAAAACCCCAAAAACCACCCCAAAAACAGCCCCAAAACAAAAAAAAAAAAACCAAAACCCCCCAAAAACCCAAAAACCAACCCCAAAACCCCAGGGCTCCAACCACCCTGGGGACCCCAAAAATCAACCCAGGGACCCCAAAAACGGCCTCGGGAACCCCAAAAATGGGTTCAGGGACCCCTTTCCAGCTGTTTTTTCCCTTTTTTTTTGGTGTTTTTCCCCAATTTTGGGATTTTTTACCCCCTTTCCCAGCCGGTTTTCCCCATTTTTTCAGTTCTTTTTCTCATTTTTGGGATTTTTTCCCCATTCCCCAGACCGTTTTTCCCTTTGTTTGTGTTTTTTTTCCCATTTTTGGGATTTTTTTCCCCCTTCCCCAGCTGATTTTTCCCATTTTTTGGGATTTTTATCCCCATTTCCCAGCCGGTTTTTCCCATTTTTTGGGTTCTTTTTCCAATTTTTGGGATTTTTTCCCCCCCCTTTCCCAGCTGTTTTTTCCCATTTTTTGGGTTCTTTTTCCCATTTTGGGGATTTTTCCCCCTTTCCCAGCTGTTTTTTCCCATTTTTTGGGTTCTTTTCCCTTTTTTTGTGTTCTTTTCCCCATTTTTGTGTTTTTTTCCCCCAATTCCGTACCCGAAGGGTCTCTCCTGCCCGGGGGGAGGGTCCCGGGGGCCGCTCCAGGAGCTCAGAACCTGCGGGAAGAGGCGGCCCAGGAGGGACCCCCAACGCACCAGGCGCGCTCCGCACCTGAAATTCCCAAAATTCCATCGGAATTCCCGAAATCCCATCGGAATTCCCAAAATTCCAACAGAATTCCCAAAAAAACACACCCAGAATTGCCCAAAATCCCCCCAAAATCCACCTGGAACTGCCCCAAATCCCCCCAGGCGGGACCCCCAACGCACCAGGCGGGCTCCGCACCTGAAATTCCCAAAATTCCATCGGAATTCCCAAAATTCCAACAGAATTCCCAAAAAAACCACACCTGGAACTGCCCAAAATCCCCCAAAATCCACCTGGAACTGCCCAAATCCCCCCCAGGAGGGACCCCCAACGCACCAGGCGCGCTCCGCACCTGAAATTCCCAAAATTCCATCGGAATTCCCGAAATCCCAACAGAATTCCCAAAAAAATCCACACTGGAATTGCCCAAAATCCACCAGAATTGCCCAAAATCCCCCCAAAATCCACCTGGAACTGCCCCAAATCCCCCCCAGGAGGGACCCCCAACGCACCAGGCGGGCTCCGCACCTGAAATTCCCAAAATTCCATCGGAATTCCCGAAATCCCAACGGAATTCCCAAAAAAACCACACTGGAATTGCCCAAAATCCACCAGAATTGCCAAAAATCCCCCAAAATCCCCCCAAAATCCCCCTGGAATTCCCTAAAATCCACCTGGAATTCCCAAAATCCCCCAAAATCCACCGGAAGTTCCCAAAATCCCCCTGGAGCCCTCTGAGCATCCCCAGTTCCCTCCCAGTTTATCCCAGTATAAACCAGTTTATCCCATTCCCATTCCCAGTTTATCCCAGTCCCATTCCCAGTCCCTCCCAGTTTATCCCAGTCCCTCCCAGTCCCCCCCAGTCCCTCCCAGTTTATCCCAGTATAACCAGTCCCATTCCCAGTCCCCTCCCAGTACATCCCAGTCCCCGCCAGTCCCTCCCAGTATAACCAGTTCCCTCCCAGTCCCATTCCCAGTCCCTCCCAGTATATCCCAGTTTATCCCAGTCCCCCCCAGTTCCCCCCCAGTTCCCCCCAGTCCATCCCAGTCCCTCCCAGTATATCCCAGTATAACCAGTCCCATTCCCAGTCCCCCCCAGTCCCATTCCCAGTATATCCCAGTCCCTCCCAGTCCCATTCCCAGTATATCCCAGTATAACCAGTCCCTCCCAGTATAACCAGTATAACCAGTCCCCCCCAGTCCCATTCCCAGTATAAACCAGTATAACCAGTGGCTCACGCCAGCAGCAGCGCCCCCAGCACGTCCAGCACGTCCAGGTGCACCTGAGGCAGCAGCAGCCCCCGCAGGGGCCCCTCCCCGAACCAGTTCTGGGGGCACAGGACCAGTACGGACCAGTTCAAACCAGTATAAACCAGTAAAAACCAGTACAGACCAGTACAGACCAGTACCAGTCAGTTTAAATTGAAAAAAACAATTTAAAATTGGGATTAAACCACATTCTGTTGGAATAAACCGGTTTAAATTCCCAGAAAGGAGAACAAGCCTGACCAGTAGAAACCAGTAAGGACCAGTTCAAACCAGTACAGACCAGTACAAACCAGTACAAACCAATACCAGTCAGTTTAAATCAAAATAAACCAGTTTAAAATTGGGATTAAACCACATTCTATTGGAACAAACCGGTTTAAATTCCCAGAAAGGAGAACAAACCCGACCAGTAGAAACCAGTAAGGACCAGTTCAAACCAGTACAGACCAGTACAAACCAGTACAGACCAGTACCAGTCAGTTTAAATTGAAATAAACCAGTTTAAATCAGAATTAAACCAGTTTCAATTGGAATAAACCAAACCGGTTTAAATGCTTAGAAAGGAGGACAAACCCAACCAGTAGAAACCAGTAAGGACCAGTACAGACCAGTACAAACCAGTACCAGTCAGTTTAAATTGAAATAAACCGGTTTAAATCAGAATTAAACCCGTTTAAATTGGAATAAACCGGTTTAAATTCCCAGAAAGGAGAACAAGCCTGACCAGTAGAAACCAGTAAGGACCAGTTCAAACCAGTACAGACCAGTACAAACCAGTACAAACCAGTACCAGTCAGTTTAAATCAAAATAAACATTTTAAAATTGGGATTTAACCCCATTCTATTGGAATAAACCGGTTTAAATTCCCAGAAAGGAGAATGAGCCTGACCAGTAGAAACCAGTAAGGACCAGTTCAAACCACTACAGACCAGTACAAACCAGTACAAACCAGTACAAACCAGTACCAGTCAGTCTAAATTGAAATAAACCAGTTTAAATCAGGATTAAACCGATTTCAAATTGGAATAAACCGGTTGAAATTCTCCCCAAACCAAAACCCCCCCAAAAATCCGAAATCACCCCAAAAATCCGTCCCAAAAGAACAAAAATCCACCTTAAAAACCCCCAAAAACCTTTACTGGTTTATACTGGTCCTTACTGGTTTGTACTGGGTGATTTTGGGGTGATTTTGGGGTTTTTTGGGGTGACACTCGGGAGATGTTTTAAGAAGGTTTTTGGGGTGATTTTGGGGTGATTTTGGGGTGATTTTGGGGTTTTTTGGGGTTTTTTGGGTTGACACTCAGGAGATGTTTTGGGAAGGTTTTTGGGGTGATTTTGGGGTGATTTTAGGTTGATTTTGGGATTTTTTTGGTTGACACTCAGGAAATGTTTCAGGAAGGATTTTGGGGTGATTTCTGGGGTAATTCAGGGTGATTTTGAGGTGATTTTGGGGTGATTTTGGGGTGATTTTGGGGTGATTTTGGGGTGATTTTGGGGTTTTTTGGGGTGACACTCAAGAGATGTTTTAAAAAGGTTTTTGGGGTGATTTTGGGGTGATTTGGGATGATTTTTTGGGGTGATTTTGGGGTTTTTTGGGGTGACACTCAGGAGATGTTTTAAGAAGGTTTTTGGGGTGATTTCTGGGGTAATTTGGGATGATTTTGGGGTGATTTTGGGTGTTTTTGGGGTGACACTTGGGAGATGTTTTAAGAAGGTTTTTGGGGTGATTTTGGGGTGATTTGGGATTATTTTGGGGTGATTTTGGGGTTTTTTGGGGTGACACTCACCAGGTTCTTGGTGGTGACGTTGAGGGCGCGGCAGACGAGGTCCAGAATGTCCTGAACTGGGACGGTGACGGGAGCCACGAAATCCTTACTGGGAACGGGGAGAGCGTCACTGGGAGCCACTGGGGGGGACTGGGGGGGACTGGGAGGGACTGGGAGGGACTGGGAGGGACTGGGAGGGGATTTGGGGTCACTGGGAGGGACTGGGAGGAACTGGGAGAGGGTTTGGGGTCACTGCGGGGGACTGGGGCAAACTGGGAGGGACTGGGAGGGAACTGAAAGGGACTGGGAGGAACTGGGATGGGATTTGGGGTCACTGGGAGGGGGTTTGGGGGGACTGGGAGGGACTGGGAGGGGATTTGGGGTTACTGGGAGGGACTGGGAGGGACTGGGAGGGACTGGGAGGGACTGGGAGGGGACTGGGAGGGACTGGGATGGGATTTAGGGTCACTGGGAGGGACTGGGAGGAACTGGGAGAGGGTTTGGAGTCACTGGGAGGGACTGAGAGGGGACTGGGGGGGGAATTTGGGGTCACTGGGAGGGGGTTTGGGGGGACTGGGAAGGACTGGGAGGGATTGGGAGGGGATTTGGGGCCACTGGGGGGGACTGGGGGTAACTGGGAGGGACTGGGATGGGATTTGGGGTCACTGGGAGGGACTGGGAGGGACTGGGATGGGATTTGGGGTCCCTGGGAGGGAGTAGGGGAAACTGGGATGGACTGGGAGGAACTGGGAGGGGATTTGGGGTCACTGGGAGGGACTGGGAGGGACTGGGAGGGAACTGGGGGGGACTGGGATGGGACTGGGAGGGACTGGGAGGGACTGGGAGGGAATTTGGGGTCACTGGGATGGACTGGGAGGGGGTTTGGAGTCACTGGGAGGGAATTTGGGGTCACTGGGGGGGACTGGGAGGAACTGGGATGGGATTTGGGGTCACTGGAATGGACTGGGAGGGGGTTTGGGGTTACTGGGAGGGACTGGGAGGAACTGGGATGGGATTTGGGGTCCCTGGGAGGGAGTAGGGGAAACTGGGAGGGACTGGGAGGGGACTGGGAGGGGATTTGGGGGCACTGGGGGGGACTGGGGGGAACTAGGAGGGAACTGGGAGCACTGGAAATGGGACTGGGAGGAACTGGGATGGACTGGGGGGGACTGGGAGAGGTTTGGGGGTACCCAGGGTGGATTTTGGCGGGTCCCAAAGAGGATTTTGGGGAGGATTTTGGGGTTTTCGTGGCTCCTGGCTGGACGCGAGGGGGAATTTTGGGGTTTTTGGGTGGATTTTGATGGGAATTTTGGGGTGAATTTTGGGATTTTGGGTGGATTTTGATGGGAATTTTGGTATTTTGGGAATTTTGGGGTGAATTTTGGGGATTTTGGTACCTCAGGAGCAGCCTGAGGATGCGGCAGAGCCCCGAAAATCTCGAGTGCAGGGTCAGGACCCATCCAGGGGGAATTTTGGGGGGATTTTGGGGTTTTTGGGTAGATTTTGATGGGAATTTTGGGGTTTTTGGGTGGATTTTGAGGTTTCGGGAATTTTGGGGTGAATTTTGGGGATTTTGGTACCTCAGGAGCAGCCGGAGGATGCGGCAGAGCCCCGAAAATCTCGAGTGCCCCCAGGGGGAATTTTGGGGGGATTTTGGGTGGATTTTGATGGGGATTTTGGGGTTTTTGGGTGGATTTTGACGGGGATTTTGGTATTTTGGGAATTTTGGGGTGAATTTTGGGGATTTTGGTACCTCAGGAGCAGCCTGAGGACGCGGCAGAGCCCCAAAAACCTCGAGTGCAGGGTCAGGACCCCCCCAGGGGGAATTTTGGGGGAATTTTGGGATTTTTGGGTAGATTTTGATGAGGATTTTGGGGTTTTTGGGTGGATTTTGACGGGGATTTTTGGTGTTTTGGGGTTTTGGGGTTTTTGGGGTGAATTTTGGGGATTTTGGTACCTCAGGAGCAGCCGGAGGACGCGGCAGAGCCCCGAAAATCTCGAGTGCGCCCAGGGGGAATTTTGGGGGGATTTTGGGTGGATTTTGATGGGAATTTTGAGGTTTTTGGGTGGATTTTGACGGGGATTTTTGGTGTTTTGGGATTTTGGGAATTTTGGGGTGAATTTTTGGGATTTTGGTACCTCAGGAGCAGCCTGAGGACACGGCAGAGCCCCGAAAATCTCGAGTGCAGGGTCAGGACCCCCCCAGGGAGAATTTTGGGGGGATTTTGGGTGGATTTTGATGGGGATTTTGGTTTTTTTGGGTGGATTTTGATGGGGATTTTTGGTGGTTTGGGATTTTGGGAATTTTGGGGTGAATTTTGGGGATTTTGGTACCTCAGGAGCAGCCTGAGGACGCGGCAGAGCCCCGAAAATCTCAAGTGCCCCCAGGGGGAATTTTGGGGGGATTTTGGGGTTTTTGGGTAGATTTTGATGGGGATTTTGGGGTTTTTGGGTGGATTTTGATGGGGATTTTTGGTGTTTTGGGCTTTTGGGGTTTTTGGGGTGAATTTTGGGGATTTTGGTACCTCAGGAGCAGCCTGAGGACGCGGCAGAGCCCCGAAAATCTCGAGTGCAGGGTCAGGACCCCCCCCAGGGAGAATTTTGGGGGGGATTTTGGGGTTTTTGGGTGGATTTTGATGGGGATTTTTGGTGTTTTGGGCTTTTGGGGTTTTTGGGGTGAATTTTGGGGATTTTGGTACCTCAGGAGCAGCCTGAGGACGCGGCAGAGCCCCGAAAATCTCGAGTGCAGGGTCAGGACCCCCCCAGGGGGAATTTTGGGGGGATTTTGGGGTTTTTGGGTGGATTTTGACGGGGATTTTTGGTGTTTTGGGGCTTTGGGAATTTTGGGGTGAATTTTGGGGATTTTGGTACCTCAGGAGCAGCCTGAGGACGCGGCAGAGCCCCGAAAATCTCGAGTGCAGGGTCAGGACCCCCCCGGCGTCGCCGTCCGGGGGGGGGGGCAGCAGCAGCTCCACCCCGGGACCCTCGTACGGGAGCGGGTCTGGGGCCAAAAACCCCAAAAGTCACCCCAAAACCACCCCAAAACCACCCCAAATCACCCCAAAATCCTCACCTCCCTTCAGCAGCCCTGTGAGACCCCAAAACCACCCCAAATAACCCCAAAAGTCACCCCAAAACCACCCCAAATGACCCCAAAATCATCATCTCCCTTCAACAGCCCTGTAAGACCCCAAAACCACCCCAAATAACCCCAAAAGTCACCCCAAAATTCTCAATTCCTTCAACAACCCTGTGAGACCCCAAAACCACCCCAAATAACCCCAAAAGTCACCCCAAAACCACCCCAAATCACCCCAAAATCCTCACCTCCCTTCAAAAGCCCTGTGAGACCCCAAAACCCCCCAAAACCACCCCAAAACGCCCCCAAATAACCCCAAAATCCTGAGCTCCCTTTAACAACCCTGTAACACCCCAAAACCACCCCAAACCACCCCAAATAACCCCAAGTTACCCTAAAATCCCCAAATCCCCCCAAATGACCCCAAAACTCACCCCAAAATCCTCACCCCTCCCTTTATGAACCCTGCAAGACCCCAAAACCACCCCAAACTCCCCCAAAATGACCCCAAATCTGCCCCAAATCCCCCTTAAATGACCCCAAATCCCCCATAAACCACCCCAAATCCCCCATAAATGACCCCAAATCCCCCCAAAATGACCCAAAATCCCCCCAAATCACCCCAAAATGACCCAAAATCCCCCCAAATGACCCAAAATCCCCTCACCAGTTTCACAGCCCTCGAAGAGAGCCCCCAGCAGCCCGTGCAGGGTGGCCAGCAATGCCCAAATTCCCCATAAATGACCCCAAATCCCCCATAAATGACCCCAAATCCCCCCGAAATTACCGTAAATTCCCCCAAAATGACCCAAAATCCCCTGAAATCACCCCAAATTCTCCTCACCAGTTTCACAGCCCTCGAAAAGGGCCCCCAGCAGCCCGTGCAGGGTGGCCAGCACTCCCCAAGCCCCCCATAAACCACCATAAACCACCCCAAATCCCCTTTAAATAATCCCAAACCCCCCTGAAATGACCCAAAATCCCCCCAAATCCCCCCAAATTCCCCTCACTGGTCTCACAGCCCTCGAAGAGAGCCCCCAGCAGCCCGTGCAGGGTGGCCAGCAGCCTCTAAATGCCCCCTAAATGCCCCATAAATGACCCCAAATTCCCCCGAAATGACCCGAAATGACCCCAAATCCCCTCAAAATGACCCAAAATCCCCCCAAATCACCCCAAAATCCCCTCACCAGTTTCACAGCCCTCGAAAAGGGCCCCCAGCAGCCCGTGCAGGGTGGCCAGCAATACCCAAATTCCCCATAAACCACCCCAAATCCCCCATAAACCACCCCAAATCCCCCCGAATTCCCCCCAAAATGACCCAAATCACCCCAAAATGACCCAAAATCCCCCCAAATTACCCCAAATTCCCCTCACCAGTCTCACAGCCCTCGAAAAGGGCCCCCAGCAGCCCGTGCAGGGTGGCCAGCAATGCCCCAAATCCTCCCGAAATCCCCCCTAAACCCCCATAAACCACCCCAAATCCCCCCAAAATTACCCAAATCACCCCAAAATGACCCAAAATCTCCCCAAATCACCCCAAAATCCCCTCACCGGTCTCGCAGCCCTCGAAGAGAGCCCCCAGCAGCCCGTGCAGGGTGGCCAGCAATGCCCAAATCCCCCATAAACCACCCCAAATTCTCCCCCAAATGACCCCCAAACCCCCCAAATGACCCCAAATTCCCCCTGAAAAAACCCAAAATCCCCCCAAATCACCCCAAATTTCCCTCACCAGTCTCGCAGCCCTCGAAGAGAGCCCCCAGCAGCCCGTGCAGGGTGGCCAGCAATGCCCAAAACCCACATAAACCACCCCAAATCCCCCCGAAAGCCCCCCTAAACCCACATGAATGACCCCAAATCCCCCTGAAATGACCCAAAATCCCCCAAAATCCCCCCAAAATCCCCTCACCGGTCTCACAGCCCTCGAAGAGCGCCCCCAGCAGCCCGTGCAGGGTGGCCAGCACACCCCAAATTCCCCATAAACCGCCCCAAATCACCCCTAAATCCCCCCTAAACCCCCATAAATGACCCCAAATCCTCCCGAAATGACCCGAAATGACCCAAAATCCCCTGAAATCACCCCAAATTCCCCTCACCAGTCTCGCAGCCCTCAAAGAGAGCCCCCAGCAGCCCGTGCAGGGTGGCCAGCAGCCTCTAAATGCCCCCTAAATCCCCATAAATGACCCCAAATCCCCCCGAAATGACCCCAAATCCCCCCCAAATAATCGCAAAATGACCCAAAATCCCCTGAAATCACCCCAAAATCCCCTCACCAGTCTCACAGCCCTCGAAAAGGGCCCCCAGCAGCCCGTGCAGGGTGGCCAGCAGCCTCTAAATGCCCCCTAAATCCCCCATAAATTACCCCAAAATCCCCCATGAACCACCCCAAATCCCCCCGAAATGACCCGAAATGACCCAAAATGACCCAAAATCCCCTGAAATCACCCCAAAATCCCCTCACCAGTTTCACAGCCCTCGAAGAGCGCCCCCAGCAGCCCGTGCAGGGTGGCCAGAACTCCCTGCAGCTCCTGGTGCCAACACTCCGTGTGCCGCAGCCCCTGCGAGAACCCCCGGCCCAGCGCCGGCAGCAGCGCGTAGCACTCACAGGCCAGCTAAAAACGGGGAGAAACGGGGTGAGGGACCCCAAAAACGGGGTCAGGAACCCCAAAAACGGGGTCAGGAACCCCAAAAACGGGGCTGGGACCCCAAAAATCTGATCTGGGGTCCTCAAAAACCCCCCAAAACTGCCCCAGAAACCCCAAAAACTGCCCCAAAATTGCCCCCAAATCCTCTAAAACTGCCCTAAAAACCCTGGCCCATCACATAGCACTGGCAGGCCAGCTGGAAATGCAAAAAAATGGGGTCAGGAACCCCAAAAATGGGGTCAGGAACCCCAAAAATGGGGTCAGGAACCCCAAAAATGGGGCTGGGACCCCAAAATTCCGATTCTGGGACCTCGAAAACCCCCAGAAACTGCCCCAGAAACCCCCAAAATCCCCCAAAACTGCCCCGGAACCCCCAGCCCAGCACACAGCACTTGCAAACCAGATGAAAACAGACAAAAATGGGGTCAGGAACCCCAAAAATGGGGTCAGGAACCCCAAAAACGGGGTCAGGAACCCCAAAAACGGGGCTGGGACCCCAAAATTCTGATCCGGGGACCTCGAAAACCCCCAGAAACTGCCCCAGAAACCCCCAAAATCCCCTCCAAGCCCCCCAAAAAAACCCCAAAATCCCCCAAAATCACCCCAAAACCCCCCAAAAAAAACCAAATCCCCCCAAAAGCCCCCAACAAAATCCCCCCCAAAAAACCCAACCCCCCCCCAAAATCCCCTCCAAACCCCTCCCAAAAAACCCCAAACCCCCAAAAAAACCCACAAAAAATCCCAGACCCCCCAAGATCCCCCATAAAAATCCCCCCAAAAAACCCAACCACCCCAAAATCCCCTCGACACCCCCCCAAAAAACCCCAAACCCACCCAAAAAACCCCAAAAAATCCCAAACCCCCAAAAACCCCCCACAAAAATCCCCCCAAAAACCCCCAAACCCCCCCAAAAAAACCCCGAAATTCCCTCCAAACTCCCCAAAAATCCCAACCCCCCCAAAAAAAACCCCAAAAAACCCCTGACCCCCCAAAAAAACCACCAAAATCCCCTCCAAACCCCCCAAAAAACCACCAAAATCCTCTCCAAACCCCCCAAAAAAAACCCCAAAAATCCCAAACTCCCCCAAATCCTTTCCAAATCTCCCAAAAACCCAAAACCCCCCCAAAAAAACCCAAAAACCCCCACAAAAATCTCCCCCAAAAAACCCCTAAAAATCCAAATTCCCCCAAAACCCTCCACAAAAATCCCCCCAAAAAACCCCAAAATCCCCTTCAAACCCCCCCAAAAAATCCCAAACCCCCCAAAAAACCCCAAAAAATCCAAAACCCCCCAAAATCCCCTCAACACTCCCCAAAATTCCCCCAAAATCCCCTCCAAACCCCCCCAAAATTCCTCCAAAACCCCCCAAAATCCCCTCAACACTCCCCAAAAAAACCCCAAAAAACCCCGAAAACCCCCCAAAATCCCCTCCAAACCCCCCCAAAATTCCCCCCAAACCTCCCAAATATCCTCCCAAAATCCCCTCCAAACCCCCCAAAAAACCCAAAAAATCCCAAAACCCCCCAAAAAAACCCAAAACCCCCCAAAAACCCCCCAAACCCCCCAAATTTGTCCCACCTGCTGCAGCCGGGGGCTGTCGCTGTCGATGCGCGACAGGAAATGCGCCGCCAACTTCCCCTGGGGGGGGAGGGGAGGGGGAATTTGGGGAGGGGTCCCAAACCCGGGACCCCCCAAACCCTCCCCAAATTCCCCCAAATTGCCCCAAAATTGCCCCAAATTGGGGAGGGGGCTCAGGACCCCCCGGGGGGATTTGGGGGGGGTCTCACCCTCATGGAGCCGCAGGCGCCGGGGTAGAAGGAGAGGCAGGACTTGATCCCCTCCAGCGTGGAGAGCTCGCACTGGGGGGGGGGAAAAGGGGTGAGACCCCTCCCCAAATTCATGGGGACCCCTCCCCAAATTCAGGGAGACCCCTCCCCAAATTCCTGAGGTCCCAAAATTCCCAGAAATCCCAAAAATTCCACCCAAAAAATGCCCCAAATCCCATCCAAAATGGACACTTGGGGGGGAAAAGGGGTGGGGGGGGGAAAAGGGGGGGGGAAAAGGGGGTGGGACCCCTCCCCAAATTCACAGAGACCCCTCCCCAAATTATTGGAGACCCCTCCCCAAATTTATGGGGACCCCTCCCCAAATTATTGAAATCCTGAAATTGTCAGAAATCCCAAAAATTCCACCCAAAAAATGCACCAAATCCCATCCAAAATGGACACTTGGATGGGACCCCACCCCAAATTCTGGGAGACCCCTCCCCAAATTCACAGAGACCCCTCCCCAAATTCAGGGAGACCCCTCCCCAAATGCACAGAGACCCCTCCCCAAATTATTGAGGACCCCTCCCCAAATTATTGAGATCCTGAAATCCCAAAAATTCCACCCAAAAAATGCCCCAAATCCCATCCAAAATGGACACTTGGGGGGGGAAAGGGGGTGGGACCCCTCCCCAAATTCACAGAGACCCCTCCCCAAATTCATGGAGACCCCTCCCCAAATTTATGGAGACCCCTCCCCAAATTCACAGAGACCCCTCCCCAAATTATTGAAATAATGAAATTGTCAGAAATCCCGAAAATTCCACCCAAAAAAGGCACCAAATCCCATCCAAAATGGACACTTGGATGGGACCCCACCCCAAATTCTGGGAGACCCCTCCCCAAATTCATGGGGACCCCTCCCCAAATTCACAGAGACCCCTCCCCAAATTATTGGGGAGCCCTCGACCCCTCCCCAAATTATTAAGGTCCCGAAATTCCCAGAAATCCAAAAAATTCCACCCAAAAAATCCCATCCAGCGTGGAGAGCTCGCACTGGGGGGGGAAAAGGGGTGAGACCCCTCCCCAAATTCACGGGGACCCCTCCCCAAATTCACAGAGACCCCTCCCCAAATTCACGGAGACCCCTCCCCAAATTCCTGAGGTCCCAAAATTCCCAGAAATCCAAAAAATTCCACCCAAAAAATCCCATCCAGGATGGACAGCTTGCACTGGGGGGAGGGGAAAAAGGGGTGAGACCCCTCCCCAAATTATTTGAGACCCCTCCCCAAATTCACAGAGACCCCTCCCCAAATTCACAGAGACCCCTCCCCAAATTATTGGGACCCCTCCTCAAATTATTGAAATCCTGAAATTGTCAGAAATCCCAAAAATTCCACCCAAAAAATGCCCCAAATCCCATCCAAAACGGACACTTGGGGGGGAAAGAGGATGGGACCCCTCCCCAAATTCAGGGAGACCCCTCCCCAAATTCATGGGGACCCCTCCCCAAATTATTGAGGACCCCTCCCCAAATTATTGAGATCCTGAAATCCCAAAAATTCCACCCAAAAAACGCCCCAAATCCCATCCAAAATGGATACTTGGGGGGAAAAGGGGTTGGGACCCCTCGGGTTGGGACCCCTCCCCAAATTCATGGAGACCCCGAAGCCCCCAGACCCATTTGGAGCCCCCAGACCCATTTTAGCCCCATTTTAACCCCATTTAACCCTTTCTGTTCCCCTTTTAACCCCCTCTAATCATCATTTTTTCCATTTTAATCCCATTTTTTCCCAATGTAACCCAATTTTCCCCACTTTTACCCCCATAACCCCCCCAAACTGACTCCTCCGAAGCCCCCAGACCCATTTTCAGCCCCCAGACCCATTTTAGCCCCACTTAACCCTTTCCATTCCCCTTTTAACCCCCTCAAATCCTCATTTTTTTCCATTTTAATCCCATTTTTTCCATTTTAACCCAATTTTCCCCACTTTTACTCCCATAACCCCCCCAAGCTGACCCCCCCGCAGCCCCCACACCCATTTGGAGCCCCCAGACCCATTTTAACCCCGTTTAACCCTTTCCATTCCCCTTTAAACCCCCTCGAATCATCATTTTTTCCCATTTTACTCCCATTTTTTCCCGAATTTAACCCGTTTTTCCCAGTTTTATCCCCCAGCCCGAGCCCCCCGAAGCCCCCAGACCCATTTGGAGCCCCCAGCCCCATTTTAGCCCCATTTAACCCTTTCCATTCCACTTTTAACCCATTGAATCCTCATTTTTTCCCATTTTAATCCCATTTTTTCCCAATTTTAACCCGTTTTTCCCAGTTTTACCCCCCAGCCCGAGCCCCCCGAAGCCCCCAGACCCATTTGGAGCCCCCAGACCCATTTTAGCCCCATTTAACCCTTTCCATTCCCCTTTAAACCCCCTCTAATCCTCATTTTTTCCCATTTTAATCCCATTTTTCCCAATTTTAACCCGTTTTTCCCAATTTTATCCCCCAGAAGCCCCCCAAGCCGACTCCCCCGAAGCCCCCAGACCCATTTTAAGCCCCCAGACCCATTCTAACCCCCTTTAACCCTTTCCATTCCCCTCTTAACCCCCTCTAATCCTCATTTTTTCCCATTTTACTCCCATTTTTTTCCAATTTTAACCCATTTCTCCCAGTTTTACCCCCCAGCCCAAGCCCCCCGAAGCCCCCAGACCCATTTTCAGCCCCCAGCCCCATTTTAACCCCATTTAACCCTTTCTATTCCCCTTCTAAACTCCTCTAATCCTCTTTTTTTCCCATTTTAATCCCATTTTCCCCAATTTTAACTTGTTTTTCCCGGTTTTATCCCCCAGCCCGAGCCCCCCGAAGCCCCCAGACCCATTTGGAGCCCCCAGCCCCATTTCAATCCCGTTTAACCCTTTCCATTCCCCTCTTAACCCCCTCAAATCCTCATTTTTCCCATTTTAATCCCATTTTTTCCCAATTTTAACCCGTTTTTCCCAGTTTCATCCCCCAGAAGCCCCCCAAGCCGACTCCCCCGAAGCCCCCAGACCCATTTGAAGCCCCCAGACCCATTTTAGCCCCATTCTAGCCCTATTTAACCCTTTCCATTCCCCTTTAACCCCCCCAATCATCATTTTTTCCCATTTTACTCCCATTTTTTCCATTTTAACCCAATTTTCCCCACTTTTACTCCCATAACCCCCCCAAGCTGACCCCCCCCGAAGCCCCCAGACCCATTTGGAGCCCCCAGACCCATTTTAACCCCACTTAACCCTTTCCATTCCCCTCTTAACCCCCCCAATCCTCATTTTTTCCCATTTTAATCCCATTTTTTCCCATTTTAATCCCATTTTTTCCCAATTTTAACCCGTTTTTCCCGGTTTTACCCCCCAGCCCGAGCCCCCCGAAGCCCCCAGACCCATTTGGAGCCCCCAGACCCATTTTAACCCCGTTTAACCCTTTCCATTCCCCTTTTAACCCTCTCTAATCATCATTTTTTTTCCATTTCAACCAAATTTTCCCCACTTTTACTCCCATAACCCCCCCCAAACCGACTCCCCTGAATCCCCCAGATCCATTTAGAGCCCCCAGACCCATTTGAAGCCCCCAGACCCATTTTAGCCCCATTTAACCCTTTCCATTCCCCTTTTAACCCCCTCTAATCCGCATTTTTTCCCATTTTAATCCCATTTTTCCCAATTTTAATCCCATTTTTTCCCGATTTTAACCCGTTTTTCCCAATTTTATCCCCCAGAAGCCCCCCGGCCCGAGCCCCCCGAAGCCCCCAGACCCATTTGGAGGCCCCAGACCCATTTCAATCCCGTTTAACCCTTTCCATTCCCCTCTTAACCCCCTCTAATCCTCACTTTTTCCCATTTTAATCCCATTTTTTCCCAATTTTAACCCGTTTTTCCCGATTTTACCCCCCGGCCCGAGCCCCCCGAAGCCCCCAGACCCAATTCGGACCTCGGGCCGCAGGGCCAGCAGGGAGGTGAGGATCCCGGGGATGTGGTTGGTGCCGATGTCCCGCGCCAGCTCCGGCAGCTGCGCCGAGAAGCGAAGCAGCTCCCGCAGCACCGAGACCCCCAGAGCCACCGTGGGGGGCGGGTCCTGCGACTGGGGGGACCCCAAAACCCGTCAGGACCCCTCCCCAAATTAGAGACCCCACCCCAAAATCGTCCCAGTTGAAATAACCCACAAAACCCCTAAAAAATGGTAAAAATGTCCCAAAAAAAAGGCAAAAATTAGTCAAGAATGGGGTGTGGGACCCCCCAAAACACCCCCAGGACCACCTTAAGGGGGGGTCCTGAGACTGGGGGGACCCCAAAACCCGTCAGGACCCCTCCCCAAATTAGAAAAACCCCCAAAAAGCATCCCAAGTGAAATAACCCGAAAAAAATAGAAAAAAAAGCAAAAAAAAAGGCGAAAATGGGTCAAAAATGGGCTGTGGGACCCCCAAAACACCCCCAGGACCACCTTAAGGGGGGGTCCTGAGACTGGGGGGACCCCAAAACCCGTCAGGACCCCTCCCCAAATTAGAGACCCCCCCTCAAAATCATCCCAATTGAAATAACCCAAAAAAAAACACCAAAAAATGGCGAAAATTGGTCAAAAATGGGGTGTGGGACCCCCCAAAACACCCCCAGGACCACCTTAAGGGGGAATCCTGAGACTGGGGGGACCCCAAAACCCGTCAGGACCCCTCCCCAAATTAGAGACCCCACCCCAAAATGGTCCCAGTTGAAATAACCCCAAAAAAATGAAAAAAAACGGTGAAAATGCATCAAAAATGGGGTGTGGGACCCCCCAAAACACCCCCAGGTGTGCCCAGGTATATCCCAGGTGTGTCCCAGGTGTGCCCCAGGTGTGTTCCGGTGTATCTCAGGTGTGTCCAGGTGTGTTCCTGATGCCCCCAGGTGCCCCCAGCTGTGCCCCAGGTGTGCCCAAAATACCCCCCAGCTGTGCCCAGGTGTGCCCCAGGTGCCCCCAGGTGCCCCCAGGTGTGCCCCAGGTGCCCCCAGGTGTCCCCAGCTGTGCCCAGGTGTGCCCAGGTGTGCCCCAGGTGCCCCCAGGTGTCCCCAGCTGTGCCCAGGTGTGCCCAGGTGTGCCCCAGGTGCCCCCAGGTGCCCCCAGGTGTGCCCAGGTGTATCCCAGGTGCCCCCAGGTTTATCCCAGGTCCTCCCAAGTGTGCCCAGCTGTGCCCAGGTGTCCCCAGGTGTGTCCCAGCTGTCCCAGCTGTGCCCAGGTGTACCCAGGTGTATCCCAGCAGTACCCAGGTGCGCCCCACCTCTCCCAGGTGTGCCCAGGTGTGCCCGAAATGTGCCCAGGTGTGTCCAGGTCTGCCCAGCTGTACCCAGGTGTACCCAGGTACCCTTCAGGTGTATCCCTGGTGTATCTCAGGTACCCCCAGGTGTATCTCAGGTGCCCTCACCTGGAGCAGGTGCTGCAGGAGGCGGAGCCAGCCCAGGCAGTGCTGCTGGAAGGCGTCGCCGGGGCTCTCACTGACCAATAGGGACAGGAGGCACAGCCCCTCGAACCTGCAACGCCATTGGTCAGCCGGGACACGCCCCCAGCCACGCCCAAACCCCTGATTGGCTGCTGCAGGCACAGCCCCTCGAACCTGCAACGCCATTGGTCAGCGCAGACACGCCCCCCCTGGCCACGCCCACAGCCCTGATTGGCTGCTGGGGACACAGCCCCTTGAACCTGCAACGCCATTGGTCAGCCTGGACACGCCCCCGGCCACGCCCACACCCCTGATTGGCCGCTGCAGGCACAGCCCCTCGAACCTGCAACGCCATTGGTCAGCCGGGACACCCCCCCTGGCCACGCCCAGCCACACCCACACCCCTGATTGGCTGCTGCAGGCACAGCCCCTCGAACCTGCAACGCCATTGGTCAGCCCGGACACACCCCCTGGCCACGCCCAGCCACACCCACACCCCTGATTGGCTGCTGCGGGCACAGCCTCTCAAAGCTGCAACGGCATTGGTCAGCCAGGACACGCCCCCCCCAGCCACACCCACAGCCCTGATTGGCTGTTGGGAGCTCTAAGCCCCGCCCACTTTCCTTATAAGGACAGCCTAGAATGGGGCGTGGCTCACACGCAGAATCTGATTGGCTGAGATGAAGCCACGCCCAACCCACACCCAGCAGCCAATCACAGACAAGCCCCACCCACCAGAATTAGTCACGCGCCCAAGGAACGATCTGATTGGCCAATAACACCACCCAGCCAATCGCAAAGCGCTGCAAAGCCACACCCCCTCCTCCTCATTGGCTGCTCCGCCCCCAGGGGGTAAAACCTCTCCTGATTGGTTCCTCCCTGTCCAATGGCAGCCAAGATGCCCCGGAGAACGATTCCCATTGGCTGCCAAGCCGGCCCCGCCCCCACACTGCGTTCCCATTGGTTTGCACTCAGCCACGCCCACCCCATGGCAGCAGCCAATGAGGGGATGGGAGGGGCGGGGCCTGCGCTGTGATTGGCCGTTGGGGCTGTCACTCACCGCGTCTTCATGGAGCCCAGGCGGGCGCTGGCGACGCCCAGGAGACCCCCGAGGGCGGCCTGGGGAGGGGTCAGAGGTCAGCGGGGGTCACACAGGGGTCAGCGGAGGTCAGGGGTCACCCAAGGGTCACCCAGGGGTCAGGGGTCACCCAGGGGTCACTTGGGGCTTAGGGGTCACCCAGGGGTCAGGGGTTACTCAGGGGTCACCCAGGGGTCATTCAGGAGTCATCAGGGGTCACCTAGGGGTCACAGGTCACCCAAGGGTCACCTGGGGCTCTGGGGTCACTCAGGGATCATTCAGGAGTCATCAGAGGTCACCCAGGGGTCAGGGGTCACCCAGGGGTTACTCAGGTCACCCAGGGGTCATTCAGGAGTCATCAGGGGTCATTCAGGGTCAGGGGTCACCCAGGGGTCACCCAGGGGTCACCCAGGGGTCAGCAGGGGTCAGGGGTCACTCGGGGTTTGGGGGCTCCCAATCCCTCAGGGGTTCCGGTTTTTGGGGGGTCCCGGATTTTTGGGGTCAGATCTTGATTTTGGGGTCAGATCCTGTTTTTTAGGGTCAGATGCCGGTTTTGGGTCGAATCCCCATTTTTGGGGTTCCCACTCCCTGAGGCCATCCCCATTTTTAGAAAGGTGCTGATCCCAGTGGTCATCCCATTTTTTGGAGTTAGATCCTGATTTTTGGGGTCAAATCCCCGTTTTTGGGGTTCCCACTCCCTGAGATCATCCTGATTTTTGAGGCCAGATGCCATTTTTATACTCCAATCCCCATTTTTATGCTCCAATTCCCATTTTTACACTCAAATCCCCATTTTTTCACTCAAATCCCCATTAGTTACACTCCAATCCCCATTTTTATGCTCTAATCCCCATTTTCACCCTCAAATCCCCATTTTTTGTGCTCCAATCCCCATTTTTAATACTCCAATCCCCATTTTTACACTCCAATCCCCATTTTCATCACTCCAATCACCATTTTTACACTCCAATCCCCATTTTTTATATTAAAATCCCCATTTTTTATACTCAAATCCCCATTTTTATACTCAAATCACCATTTTTACCACTCAAATCCCCATTTTTTATGCCCCAATCCCCATTTTTATGCTCCAATCCCCATTTTTTTACACTCCAATCCCCATTTTCACCACTCCAATCCCCATTTTTATGCTCCAATCCCCATTTTTACACTCAAATCCCCATTTTTTGCACTCCAATCCCCATTTTTACCATTCCAATCCCAATTTTCACCACTCCAATCCCCATTTTTACACTCCAATCCCCATTTTTATGCTCCAATCCCCATTTTTAATACCCCAATCCCCATTTTCACCACTCCAACCCCCATTTTTTATACTTAAATCCCCATTTTTACACTCAAATCCCCATTTTTATGCTCAAATCCCAATTTTTTTCACTCTAATCCCCATTTTTACACTCCAATCCCCATTTCCATGCTCAAATCCCCATTTTTTGAGCCAAAATCCCAATTTTTATACTTAAATCCCCATTTTTACACTCTAACCCTCATTTTTATGCTCCAATCCCCATTTTTAATACTCAAATCCCCATTTTTTGTGCTCAAATCCCCATTTTTAAGACTCAAACCCCAATTCTTTGTGCCCAAATCCCCATTTTTAATACTCAAATCCCCCTTTTTTTCACTCAAACCCCGTTTTTAATACTCAGATCCTCATTTTTAATACTCCAATCCTCATTTTTACAATCAAATCCCCATTTTTATGCTCCAATCCCCATTTTTTACACTCCAATCCCCATTTTTAATACTCCAACCCCCATTTTCACCACTCCAATCCCCATTTTTACCATTCCAAACCCTATTTTTTACACTCAAATCCCCATTTTTTATGCTCCAATCCCATTTTTACCACTCCAATCCCCATTTTCACCACTCCAACCTCCATTTTTATGGTCCAATCCCCATTTTTCATACTCAAATCCCCATTTTTTGCTCTCCAATCCCCATTTTTATGCTCCAACCCCCATTTTCACCACTCCAATCCCCATTTTCACCACTCCAATCCCCATTTTCACCACCCCAATCCCCATTTTTATATTAAAATCCCCATTTTTTATACTCAAATCCCCATTTTTATACTCAAATCACCATTTTTACCACTCAAATCCCCATTTTTTATGCTCCAATCCCCATTTTTTTACACTCCAATCCCCATTTTCACCACTCCAATCCCCATTTTTATGCTCCAATCCCCATTTTTACACTCCCATCCCCATTTTTAATAATCAAATCCCCATTTTTTGTGCTCCAATCCCCATTTTTTATGCCCCATTTTCACCACCCCAACCCCCATTTTCCCCTCCCCCTCTCTCCCCTCAGCCTCTCCCCTCACATCCCCCTCACAGCCCCGCTCCCGTTCCCCCGGCCCCGCTCCCGTTCCCGACCTGAGTCCCGGCGCTGTCACGGAGGCCGCGGACGAGCCCCGGGAGGGCCCCGCGGTGCGGGGGCAGCGCCGAGAGCGCCGAGAGCGCCTCGAGCAGCGGCGCGGCCGGAGGGGCCGGAGGGGCCCGCGGCGCCGCCACCGCCGCCATGGCCGCGCGTCTTCGCCGCGCACGGTGATGACGTCAGCGCGCGGGAAAAAAGGGGGCGGGGTTTGCGCACCACCGCCATGGCCGCGCGTCTTCCCCGCGCACGTTGATGACGTCAGAGCGCGGGAAAAACGGGGGCGGGGTTTGCGTGAGGGGGGGTGGGCGTGGCCTGAACAATCCGGGTTATAAATATTAGTAAGGAGCGTGGTATGGGAAATCCGGCTTATAAATATTAATTAGAAGCGTGGCCTGGAGAAATCCGGGCTATAAATATTAATTAGGGGAGTGGCCTGAGAAATCCAGGCCGTAAATTAAAATTAGGGGCGTTGCGTAGGGAAATCCGCCTAATACATATTAACTAGAGGCGTGGCCTGGATAATTTAGGATTATAAATATTAATTAGAGGCCTGGCCTGGGTTATCTGGGCCATAAAAGGAAATTATGAGGTGTAACCTGGGGAAATCCGGTCTATAAATATTAATTAAAGGCGTGGCCTGGATAAATCCGGGTTATAAATGGTAATTAGGGGGCGTAATCTGGAGAAATCCGTGCTATAAATATTAATTAGAGGCGTGGCCTGGATAAATTCGGGTTATAAATCATAATTAAAGGCTTGGCCTGGGAAATCCTGCCTATAAATATTAATTAAAGGCCTGGCCTGGATAATTTAGGGTTATAAATGGTAATTAGGGGGCGTAATCTGGAGAAATCCGTGCTATAAATATTAATTAGAGGCGTGGCCTGGATAAATTCGGGTTATAAATCATAATTAAAGGCTTGGCCTGGGAAATCCTGCCTATAAATATTAATTAAAGGCCTGGCCTGGATAATTTAGGGTTATAAATGGTAATTAGGAGCGTGGCCTGGAGAAATCCGGGATATAAAAGGAGATGAGGGGCGTGGTATGGAAAAAAGTTAATGTATTAATAAAAGCCTTAAATCCCCCACACTCCCCGCCCCGATCCAGTTCTCCTCCCTCCTCTGGAGCTGAGTCTGAGGGGAATCCAGGACACTGCGGGGACTTTGTGGTGCAGAGACGCTCCTGAGGGAGCCGCGAGTGATTTTGAGGCGATTTCGGGAGATTTTGGGGCGGATTTTGGGTGTTTTTTGACGCTGAACAGCCTTGGAGGACCCAAAACCACCGAGACGAGGCGGAGCGGCCGCGGCGCCACCACCGACTTCCGGCTAGAGCGGCCCCTGGCGGGCGCTTCCGCTCACGTGACATACTCCCCGCGCTGCCATTGGTGGAGGGAAGCGGAAGTGGAGGGAAGAGGAGGCGGAAGCGGCGCGGGCAGCATGGCGGGGTTCGGGGTGGCCAACGAGCGGCTGCGGGCGCTGGAGGAGCTGGAGCGCGAAATCGGCGCGTCCCTGCAGAGCGCGGGTGGGCGGAGCCTCTGGAAAAGGGGCGGGGTTTGCGCGGGGGGGGAGGGGCGCGGAGAAAGGGGGGAGGGGCCGCAGAGTTTGGTTGAGGGGGAGGCACTTCCGGGTTTGGGTGGGCGTGGCTTATGTTGCCATGGGGATGTGGGAGGGCGGTGATTGGCGGGGTGGAAAAGGGGCGGGGTTTGAACGGATGGGGGCGTGGTCACTGGAGGGGCGTGGTCAGCGCTCAGGTGACCTTCGAGGGACCAATGGGAGAGGCAGAAATGGGGTCAGAGGTCGCGGGGAGAGGTCACAGGTGTGCCCAGGTGTGCCCAGGTGTCCCCAGGTGGCCCCCAGGTGTCCCCAGGTGTATCCCAGGTGTCCCCAGGTGTCCCCAGGTGTGTCCCAGGTGTGCCCAGGTGTCCCCCAGGTGCCCCCAGGTGTCCCCAGGTGTATCCCAGGTGTGCCCCAGGTGGCCCCCAGGTGTGCCCAGGTGTGCCCAGGTGTATCTCTGGTGTGCTCCAGGTGTGCCCCAGGTGTGCACAGGTGTCCACAGGTGTGCCCAGGTGTGCCCAAGATGCCCCTAGGTGTACCCCCAGGTGTGCCCAGGTGTGCCTCAGGTGCCCCAGATGTGCCCAGGTGTGCCCAGGTGTGCCCAGGTGTTCTCAGGTGTGCCCAGGTGTGCCCCAGATGTGCCTAGGTACCCCCCAGGTGTGCCCAGGTGTAACCAAGATGCCCCCAGGTTTGCCCCAGGTGGCCCCCAGGTGTGCCCAGCTGTGCCCAGGTGCCCTCAGGTGGGCCCCAGATGTGTCACACATGTGCCCCAGGTGTGCCCAGGTGTCCCCCAGGTGTGCCCAGGTGTGCCCAGGTGTGCCCAGGTGTATCCCAGGTGTGCCCAGGAGCCCCCAGGTGTGCCTCAGGTGCCCCCAGGTGCCCCCAGCTGTGCCCCAGCTGTGTCCCGGGTGTGCCCAGGTGTGCCATGTACCCCCAGGTGTGCCCCAGGTGAGACTCCAGCTGTGCCCAGGTGTGCCCAAGATGCCCTCAGATGTGCCCCAGGTGTGCCCCAGCTGTGCTCAGGTGTGACCAAGATGCCCCAGGTGTACCCCCAGATGTGCCTCAGGTGCCCCCAGCTGTGACCAGGTGTGCCCAGGTGTATCTCAGGTGCCCCCAGGTGTGCCCAGGTGTGCCCAGGTGTGACCCAGGTGTGCCCCCAGGGCTGGTGATCCTGGAGCTGTCCAAGGAGAAGCCTCAGGAGCGGCACCTGGACCGTCAGTGCGCCCAGTTCGGGGCCGCCGTGGCCAAGGTGGAGGCGGAGCTCTCGGCCCAGATCCGCTACCTGACCCAGGTGAGCCCCCAGGGGGGGTTTGGGGGGTCCCAGGTGGGTTTGGGGTGTCCCAGGTGAGATTTGGGGTGTCCCAGGTGGGATTTGGGGTGTCCCAGGTGAGATTTGGGGTGTCCCAGGTGAGGTTTGGGGGGGTCCCAGGTGGGGTTTGGGGTGTCCCAGGTGGGATTTGGGGTGTCCCAGGTGGGGTTTGGGGTGTCCCAGGTGAGATTTGGGGTGTCCCAGGTGGGGTTTGGGGTGTCCCAGGTGGGTTTGGGGTGTCCCAGGGGAGATTTGGGGTGTCCCAGGTGGGGTTTGGGGTGTCCCAGGTGGGTTTGGGGTGTCCCAGGTGGGGTTTGGGGTGTCCCAGGTGAGATTTGGGGTGTCCCAGGTGGGGTTTGGGGTGTCCCAGGTGGGTTTGGGGTGTCCCAGGTGAGATTTGGGGTGTCCCAGGTGGGGTTTGGGGTGTCCCAGGTGGGTTTGGGGTGTCCCAGGTGAGATTTGGGGTGTCCCAGGTGGGGTTTGGGGTGTCCCAGGTGGGTTTGGGGTGTCCCAGGTGGGGTTTGGGGTGTCCCAGGTGAGATTTGGGGTGTCCCAGGTGGGGTTTGGGGTGTCCCAGGTGGGATTTGGGGTGTCCCAGGTGGGGTTTGGGGTGTCCCAGGTGAGATTTGGGGTGTCCCAGGTGGGGTTTGGGGTGTCCCAGGTGGGTTTGGGGTGTCCCAGGTGAGATTTGGGGTGTCCCAGGTGGGGTTTGGGGTGTCCCAGGTGGGTTTGGGGTGTCCCAGGTGGGGTTTGGGGTGTCCCAGGTGGGGTTTGGGGTGTCCCAGGTGGGGTTTGGGGTGTCCCAGGTGGGTTTGGGGTGTCCCAGGTGAGATTTGGGGTGTCCCAGGTGGGGTTTGGGGTGTCCCAGGTGGGTTTGGGGTGTCCCAGGTGGGGTTTGGGGTGTCCCAGGTGAGATTTGGGGTGTCCCAGGTGGGGTTTGGGGTGTCCCAGGTGGGTTTGGGGTGTCCCAGGTGGGGTTTGGGGGGATTTCGGGTGTCCCAGGTACAATTTGGGGTGTCCCAGGTGGGGTTTGGGGTGTCCCAGGTGAGATTTGGGGTGTCCCAGGTGAGATTTGGGGTGTCCCAGGTGGGATTTGGGGTGTCCCAGGTGAGGTTTGGGGTGTCCCAGGTGAGATTTGGGGTGTCCCAGGTGAGATTTGGGGTGTCCCAGGTGGGATTTGGGGTGTCCCAGGTGGGGTTTGGGGTGTCCCAGGTGGGATTTGGGGTGTCCCAGGTGGGTTTGGGGTGTCCCAGGTGAGATTTGGGGTGTCCCAGGTGAGATTTGGGGTGTCCCAGGTGGGTTTGGGGAGTCCCAGAGGGGGTTTGGGGTGTCCCAGGTGAGATTTGGGGTGTCCCAGATGGGATTTGGGGTGTCCCAGGTGGGTTTGGGGTGTCCCAGGTGGGATTTGGGGTGTCCCAGGTGGGTTTGGGGGGTCCCAGGTGGGGTTTGGGGGTCCCAGGTGGGGTTTGGGGTGTCCCAGGTGGGGTTTGGGGTGTCCCAGGTGGGATTTGGGGTGTCCCATGAAGGATTTGGGGTGTCCCAGGTGGGGTTTGGGGTGCCCCAGGTGAGATTTGGGGTGTCCCAGGTGGGTTTGGGGTGTCCCAGGTGGGTTTGGGGTGTCCCAGGTGGGGTTTGGGGTGTCCCAGGTGGGATTTGGGGTGTCCCAGGTGGGGTTTGGGGTGTCCCAGGTGGGTTTGGGGCGTCCCAGGTGAGATTTGGGGTGTCCCAGGTGGGTTTGGGGTGTCCCAGGTGAGATTTGGGGTGTCCCAGGTGGGTTTGGGGTGTCCCAGGTGGGGTTTGGGGTGTCCCATTAAGAATTTGGGGTGTCCCAGGTGAGATTTGGGGTGTCCCAGGTGAGATTTGGGGTGTCCCAGGTGGGTTTGGGGTGTCCCAGGTGGGATTTGGGGTGTCCCAGGTGAGGTTTGGGGGGATTTGGGGTGTCCCAGGTGAGATTTGGGGTGTCCCAGGTGGGATTTGGGGTGTCCCAGGTAGGTTTGGGGTGTCCCAGGTGGGTTTGGGGTGTCCCAGGTGAGATTTGGGGTGTCCCAGGTGAGATTTGGGGTGTCCCAGGTGGGGTTTGGGGTGTCCCAGGTGGGGTTTGGGGTGTCCCAGGTGGGGTTTGGGGTGTCCCAGGTGGGATTTGGGGTGTCCCAGGTGAGATTTGGGGTGTCCCAGGTGAGATTTGGGGTGTCCCAGGTAGGTTTGGGGTGTCCCAGGTGGGGTTTGGGGTGCCCCAGGTGGGGTTTGGGGTGTCCCAGGTGGGATTTGGGGTGTCCCAGGTGGGGTTTGGGGTGTCCCAGGTGAGGTTTGGGGTGTCCCAGGTGGGATTTGGGGTGTCCCAGGTGGGTTTGGGGTGTCCCAGGTGAGATTTGGGGGGGTTTGGGGTGTCCCAGGTGAGATTTGGGGTGTCCCAGGTGGGGTTTGGGGTGTCCCAGGTGGGGTTTGGGGTGTCCCAGGTGGGGTTTGGGGTGTCCCAGGTGGGATTTGGGGTGTCCCAGGTGAGATTTGGGGTGTCCCAGGTGAGATTTGGGGTGTCCCAGGTGGGGTTTGGGGTGTCCCAGGTGGGGTTTGGGGTGTCCCAGGTGGGATTTGGGGTGTCCCAGGTGAACTTTGGGGGGTCCCAGGTGGGGTTTGGGGTGTCCCAGATGGGATTTGGGGTGTCCCAGGTGGGATTTGGGGTGTCCCAGGTGGGGTTTGGGGTGTCCCAGGTGAGGTTTGGGGTGTCCCAGGTGGGTTTGGGATGTCCCAGGTGAGATTTGGGGTGTCCCAGGTGGGATTTGGGGTGTCCCAGGTGAACTTTGGGGTGTCCCAGGTGGGGTTTGGGGTGTCCCAGGTGGGATTTGGGGTGTCCCAGGTGGGGTTTGGGGTGCCCCAGGTGAGATTTGGGGTGCCCCAGGTGAGATTTGGGGTGTCCCAGGTGGGGTTTGGGGTGTCCCAGGTGGGATTTGGGGTGTCCCAGGTGGGGTTTGGGGGTCCCAGGTGAGATTTGGGGTGTCCCAGGTGAGTTTTTAATGATGTTTTTTTGGGGTTTTGGAGTCTCCCATGTGGAATTTGGGAGTTTTGGGGTGTCCCAAGCAGGATTTGGGATTTTCGGGGTACCCCAAGCAGATTTTAGGATTTTTGGGGTGCCCCAGGTGTACCCCAGGTGCGTCTCTCACCTGCCCAGGTGAGTTTGGGGCATTCCAGGTGAGTTCTTAGTACTGTTCCTTTGGGATTTTTGGGGTGCCCCATGTGGGATTTGGGATTTTCGAGGTACCCCAAGCAGATTTTAGGATTTTTGGGGTGCCCCAGGTGTACCCCAGGTGCGTCTCTCACCTGCACAGGTGAGTTTTTAGTGCCGTTCCTTTGAGGATTTTGGTTTTTTGGGGTTCCCCAGTTGGGATTTGGGATTTTTGGGTTGCCCCAGGTGGGATTTGGGATTTTGGGGTGCCCCAGGTGTGTCTCTCACCTGCCCAGGTGAGTTCGGGGCATTCCAGGTGAGTTTTTAATTATGTTTCTTTGGGGATTTTGGAGTCTCCCATGCGGGATTTGGGATTTTTGGAGTCTCCAATTTGGGATTTGGGATTTTTGGGGTGCCCCATGTACGATTTGGGGTACCCCAAGCAGATTTTAGGATTTTTGGGGTGCCCAGGTGTACCCCAGGTGTGTATCTCACCTGCCCAGGTGAGTTCGGGGCATTCCAGGTGAGTTTTTAATGATTTTTTTTGGGATTTTCGGGGCACCCCAGGCAGGATTTGGGATTTTTGGGGTACCCCAATCAGGATTTAGGATTTTTGGGGTGCCCAGGTGTGCCCAGGTGCGTCTCTCCCCGCAGGTGGCCACGGGGCAGCCCCACGAGGGCTCGAGCTACGCGGCGCGCAAGAGCTGCCAACTGGCGCTGAACCGGCTCGACTACGCCCGGCGGCGCCTGGCCGAGCTGGCACGCGCCTGCGAGCTGATGCTGGAGCCCTGACACACCTGGGCACACCTGGCACACCTGGGCACACCTGGGGAGATGGCCGGGACACCGCGGGACACACCTGGAATGGCCTCGGGACACCAAAATGTGGAAAAAATTGGATTTTATTGGGGTGGGACACCTTGAAAACAGTGGTAAGAGACTCTGGGCACACCTGGGCACACCTGGGCACTCCTGGGCACACCTGGCACACCTGGGGAGATCGCCAGGACAGCGTGAGACACACCTGGAAGAGCCTCAGAACGGAAAAATTGGATTTTATTGGGATTTTATTGGGATTTTATTGGGGTGTGAAAATGCTGAGAGACCCTGGGCACACCTGGGCACACCTGGGCACACCTGGCACACCTGGGCACGGCGTGGGACACACCTGGAAGAGGCTCAGAACAGAAAAATTGGATTTTATTGGGAATTTATTGGGGTTTTATTGGGGTGTGACAGCCCTGAGGGACTCTGGGCACACCTGGGCACACCTGGGCACACCTGGGCACACCTGGGCACAGCTGGCACGGCGTGGGACACACCTGGGCACACCTGGAAGAGGCTCAGAACGGAAAAATTGGATTTTATTGGGATTTTATTGGGATTTTATTGGGATTTTATTGGGGTGTGAAAATGTTGAGACCCCCTGGGCACACCTGGGCACACCTGAGGCACACCTGGGCACAGCTGGGCACACCTGGGCACAGCTGGGCACACCTGGGCACAGCGTGAGATACACCTGGAAAAGCCTCAGAATGGAAAAATTGGATTTTATTGGGATTTTATTGGGATTTTATTGGGGTGTGACAGCACTGAGAGACTTTGGGCACACCTGGGCACACCTGGGCACACCTGGGCACACCTGGGCACAGCGTGAGATACACCTGGAAAAGCCTCAGCACGGAAAAATGGGATTTTATTCGGAATTTATTGGGATTTTATTGGGGTGTGGCACCTTGGGGAGAGCACTGAGAGACTCTGGGCACACCTGGGCACACCTGGGCACACCTGGGCACACCTGGGGCACACCTGGGCATGGCATGGGTCACACCTGGAATGGACACCAAAATGTGGGAAAATGGGAATTTATTGGGAATTTATTGGGATTTTATTGGAGTGTGGCACCTTGGGGAGAGCACTGAGAGACTCTGGGCACACCTGGGCACACCTGGGCACGGCGTGGGACACACCTGGAATGGCCTCGGGACACCAAAATCGGGGAAAATGGGATTTTATTGGGAATTTATTGGGATTTTATTATGGTGTGACTGCCCTGAGAGATTCTGGGCACACCTGGGCACACCTGGACACACCTGGCACACCTGGGCACACCTGGGGAGATGGCCGGGACAGCCCTCAGGGCACCAAAATGTGGAAAAATGGGAATTTATTGGGAATTTTTTGGTGTTTTATTGGGGTGTGACTGCCCTGAGGGACTCTGGGCACACCTGAGCACACCTGGGCACACCTGGAACACACCTGGGCACACCTGGGACACACCTGGGACACACCTGGGCACACCTGGGACACACCTGGACACACCTGGGATACACCTGGGATACACCTGGGCACACCTGGGCTCACCTGGGACACACCTGGGATATACCTGGGCTCACCTGGGACACACCTGGGATACACCTGGGCACACCTGGAACACACCTGGGCACACCTGGGCACACCTGGGGCCCCCCAGGTGCCACCCCCACCCCTGGAGCCCCCCCAAAATAAAGGGACACCGCGGTGGCCTCGAGACCTGGAGGGGACTCGGAGTTTTTTGGGGGTCCTGGGAGGGAATTTGGGGTCCCGGGGGGGATTTGGGGGAAAATTTGGGGGGTCTGGGGAGAAAATTGGGAAATCCCCACCAGGACCCCCCAAATCCCCCCTAAAACCCCCCAAATTTACCCCAAATCTTCCAAAAATCCCCCCCCAGCAGCCGCGAGTACGTCTGAGCGACCCCCGCCCCAATTTGGGGACCCCCCGAGCCCATCTGGGCCGTGCCCCCCACTCGGGGCTCCCCCCGAGCTGGCACAGGTTGTGCAGCAGGACCCAAAATCACCCCGGGACCCCCAAAAATCCCCCCAAAAATCCCCCCAAAATCCTTTCCAGACA